TCTGGGCCTTTGACGAATTGGCATTGTATCACCTGTGTTTATTTTATGCTTCACCAAACCAGTTCGGCCAATATCACCATCGCTTCTTGAAAACACATCAGAGAATCGAAGAAGTAAATTTCTAGCTTTCATAGTCTCCACTTTTGTCAGACTTTTGTTTTCGTCTAAGATTTTCGTTACAAAGTCTATTCCCGTACTGTCCTTCTTCACAAGATTTTCCGAGCATTTTCTTATCCAGGCCACTTCTTCCAATACGCCCACAGGCTCTCCTTCTTCAATCGTAATTTCTGAATCACTGAAGTTGAATACCGGAATGCGGTTAACATCAGATGACCCCACGACAGTTCTTGCCGGTAGCCATGAATTCACGTGTTCCGATTTATCAATCACAGCGCACCTTCGAGGTAAACTTCCTTCCCTCCTCCTAGGTAATGCGATTGGTACGAGAGTCTGTGATTTTGGTGCAAGAACAGTTCTTCTTAAACAGCAAACTTTTCCCAGGGTTCCACCCTTCATCGGAATTTCCTCAGTTCCACATAGTAATACTCCAGATTTTAAGTCGATGTTACACTGGTGCCCTTGCAGGAAGTCAAGTCCCAGGATGCAGTCATCCAGAATTCTGGCCACAATAACCTCATGTCGATAAACACGTTCCCCAATTTTGATTGTTACATGCAGTTTTCCACTTATCGGTATGCACTGGCCGGTAGCTGATTTCATTTGTAGGCCAACAATTGGTTTAAGGTGTTTCCTGATGTTTTGCTCGAGCAGCCGAACATTTATCACCGTCCTTGAAGCTCCAGTATCTAATGTTAGCTGACTGTTTTTCCCATTTACTTGACCGTCTATCACCAGGGTATTTCCATCGTTAGTTTGCTTGATGTAGATTGTTGGGGTTATTCCACTACCAGCCAGCGCCCACCCCGCAGCCTTGGCTGGATTTAAGTTTCCCTGCTGGTCAGAAGTTGAGACCGCCGCGTCCTTGCGGTTCATCTTCTTCGGGCAGTCGCTCCGTATGTGCCCACGCTCTCCACATCCATAGCACATGAAGTTCCGACGGCGTGGAGGTACCTGCTCCGTTGTCGTCATTTCCCGCAGACGTAAGGTACGGGAGTTGCCACGCACGGCTTCCACTTCCAATGCATGGGCCAGAGCTTCTTTCATGTTCTTGTTATGGCCCAGATGAACAGCAGCTCGTACTTCGGGGTCCCGAATACCGTCAATGAACGCTTGGAGAAGCGTGCCTTCAATCATTGACGGAGTCGACCGGAAAGCTCGACGCACAAGTTTCTCGATTTCCACGGACCATTGCTGTAGACTCTCATTATCACGCTGAGTACGCTCTTTTAATTGCGCTCTGTACACGTGCTCGAGGTGGCTGTCTCCAAAACGTGCCTCAAGTGCGTCGAGGAGGGCACTAAAGCTGAGATCTCCACTTGCGCCGATAGCTTCCAGCACTGAGAGCGCTTGATCACGGAGGGCCAGGGTGAGGGCTGACTGTGCTTCCTTCTGAGTCCAACCATAAGCCTCCATAAGTGTCTCAAACTGTAGCTTGAACGCGGTCCAGGATGTTGTTCCGTCGTAATGGGGAATCTTGAGCCCTTTCGTTGCGCTTAAGGCCGCATTTGGGGTGTCAAAAACGGCTGCAAGACGGCTTCGGCTCTTTAAAGGGCTTGGGTTTGTCACTTCCTGCTTGATTTTGGAGATCTCTTCTTCCAATCTCTCCTCTATCGCCATGACGCGATGTTCCAACTTGCCTAAACCTTCCTCCACTTCTTGTACCCGTTTGACAGCCTTTTGCAGTCCCTTCGTGAAATCTTTATGCATGTCTTCCAAGCGACGCACTTGCTCCTCTTGGCGACGAGCTTGATCTTCTTTCAGCTCCCGCAGCTGTCCTGACTGACAGCGTGCTTGCTCTTCTTGGCGGCGCGCTTGCTCTTCTTGGCGGCGCGCTTGCTCTTCTTGGCGGCGCGCTTGCTCTTCTTGGCGGCGCGCTTGATCTTCTTTCAGCTCCCGCAGCTGTTCTGCCTGACAGCGTGCTTGCTCTTCTTGGCGGCGCGCTTGATCTTCTTTCAGCTCCCGCAGCTGTTCTGCCATCATTTGCTGCAGCTGTAGCAGAAGATCCACCTGCACAGGCTTGGCTTCTGCATCGCTGGTTTGAGCTGCAGCACCCTCTTCTCTCACACGCTGCGCTTCTGACATAGCACGGGTACTCACTCCTCTTACGTCCTGCGGCACTAGCGGCATTTTTCTCCAATCCCACTTCTGACACCAAATGTTACGTGCCTGACGTCACGTTCCTAACTATGCGGGCTTGGGTTACGGGATTGGATGAAATTAAACACTAATACCGGTTTTCAGACTTTCTATTGCACTTAAGTGACAGCGTCCACGGATACGGATAAGTTATCGGCGTTCCTCTCCAGCAGAGTCCGGCCGACTGACACAACTTTGCCGTTCACTGTTCACGCTGACTTAACTCACTTAACTGACTGCACTTCACTATTTCACTGTACTTCACTATTTCACTCACTTTTCTTCTTTTCACTTCTTCCTTTTCTTCCGAATCGCTTTGGACTTAGAACTCAACTGCCAGCGGTGAGCCGCAGTTCCGCTTATATACCCCCGGTCAGGTTCTAGAACATTCAATTTCGTTATTCTTTTTGATCGTCATGCCTCCAGAACCTTCCAATAATTTCGTTATTCATTTTTATTTATTCTCCTTCTCGCTCCTTAATTTTTCATTACTTTCACTCAAATATTCCAGAAAGTTCGACAAAACTTCCATCAACTAAAAAACTTCATGTTTACGGCGGGACTCGAACTCGGGGTCTCTGTGGTGTAATCCACACGCCTTACCGATTACACCAACTCGTGTTGACAATTCACGACGAAATTTACAATCTCTAGGCAACGTTTGACAACCATCCATTGACGTCATGATGTCAAAGAGTTTTCTGTCACATTATTTTCAATTAAAAAATATTAGAAGATCTCCATTAACTTGTGCTCATGATTTCAAATGAGAACGGAGGGCCTACCAATACTTGTTAAAACGCTAGTCTTCCGGACGAGAAAGAGGGATATAGCTCCATCTCTCTTTCTCGCCCAGAAGATTTACGCTTTAACACGTCATGGTAGGCCTACAGGTATTTTTAAAATACGCATTTTTGTTTAGCCTTAGAACAAGAACAAAAAGCAGTTGTAGCCCCAGAGCCGACAGAAAAGAAGAAAAAAGGAAAGAAAGGGAAGAAGGATAAGAAAGAGGAAGAGATACCGGAGTTTGAAAAGGTGAGAGAATCATAAATAGAAAAAAAGACAAAATATTAGGATCTAACCTTTTAATCGCCAAGGCCGGCTTAGAGGACAAACGAAAAATAGGGTATTTCGCCAATTTCAAGCACCGCCAACCAGAAAACATCGTAATTGAGCATATTTGTTTTTTTTTTATGTAATAAGTCGGCAAACGAGCAGACGGATTACCTGATGGTAAGCAATCAGCGCCGCCCATGGACACTCGCAACGGAGGAGTTACGAGTGCTTTGCCGACCTTTTAGGGATTAGGGATTTTGAGATTTAGGGATTGAGGAGGGATTGGGGAAGGGGAAGGATTGGGCCTCCGGTAACCTCACTCACACGGCGAAACACAACGCAGTGGTTATTTCACGCCGGTTTTCTGTGAGGCCGTGGTATCACTCCGGTCGAGCCGACCCATTCGTGCCGAAGCATGGCTCTCCCACACTTGGTTTGTCGGCTATAGCCAATCATGACGGTCTAAGGGTTAAAGAGTCACCAGAAGGTTTTGTTTTGGAATGGGTTGGTATGGCAATAGTTTTCCTGGTGGTAAGCAATGGTGTAGCTTACAATAGACCACTCTTGATCATAACCAACCTATTCACTCAAACCTAGAAGACCCAGCAGGCTCCACGCTTGCTAGGTCTCTTTAAGGCCCGTTCTCTTCAAGGTTGATTCTTCTCCTTTTGGGGAAGTTTTTGGCAAAATGAACATTTATAAGTTTTAATGATATGTATGACTGCACGGTTAGTGCGGTGGCTTGGCAACTAGCTGCCGCGCAACGTGTCGCGAGATCTGTTCCCGCACGGAACAACTCTTTGTGTGATCCACAAATTGTTATTCCGTGACTGGGTGGTTTTTGAATTTGAATTTGTATAATAGTAATTACACCTACGACACTGGAGAAAGTCCGCAAAATCTGCTAGGTAAAAATGATATCAGAATGTTTTAGGAATGTTTTTTGAGATTGATAATGTAGGATTTTTTTCAGTTTTTGCTTTATAATTTTATTTGAAAGTTTTAGAGACAAATCAAGTTATAGATTTTTATATATTTACAAGATCAGGACCTACTCATGAGATTTTATCACACGCATTTTGTAGTTAAAATATAGCTTTGTTGATACAACCAAATGCACAATATCGTGGTAAAATACTATGTTAATATCACTACACAACACCACTTTGCTTTCAATATTGTAAATTAGCTTCAATTGTGGCATCGCACGCTTAAAAATGAATGTATCCAGGGATTTTAAAAACAGAAACTTTAAAGCGAGCGCTCAACTATAAAACGCAAATCAAGTATAATTTATAGCCTATAGCACTCAGGAACATTGCAGCTACATATCTATCAGTGAAAGAAATTTGGAAATCCGACTATCGGTTCCAAAGATTACCCCCTATATACAAACTTACAAGTTACCTCTTTATAATATTTTTAGTATTAGTATGAATAATTTATCAACAAATTCATCATCTAACCTTCTTCCTATTTTCGCATTTTATATGAAATAGAAATATAAAGTTTTTGACGAATATACTCGACTAGTTTCAAGGCACGGCGGGGCACAAAAAGAACAGCTTTGCTGGACAAACCTTTTTCTTGAGACGGGAATGTCATCAAATTGATTCGCTCTCCCAAAAGTTGGCGAGAAGGAATGTAAGACTCTTACTGACTAAAAACCATTTTCATTCCTTCTCCTGATGGACACAGCAGCCTTGGTCTGGCCAAGGCAGCTGTGCCATATTGCATTTGCCCCGCAACCTACGAGGCGGCCAGACTCGAGCGTACGGCGCGTAGCGTTTCGCGCGCGCCTCCAAGAGCCAATAGACCACCACAGACAGCCCTATAGGGCTGATGTTCAGCCAAGGTTGCGGGGTAAGCGCAATGAGGCACCGCGACCTCGGCCCAGAGCAGGAGATGGAACAGGGGGGTTTTTAGTCAGTAAGAGTCTTACACTCCCTGCCCGACCCTGGGCGGGAGAAGTCATTTGATGATTTTCCCCTCACAAAAAAAAAACCTACGAGGGACGTCTCAAAAATGATACCAAAATTTAGAATTTCATTCGAAAACTTTAATTTCAGAATTATTGGCAATAAAAACAATGTTTTATGGCATTTAACAATGGCAGTGATATCTTAAGGCACAATAAAGTTGCCCTTTACAATACTTTTAGAATTTTAATACAGGCTTATGGTCTCGTCACACGAACATTTCGTGTTTTGAAAAAATATCGTCAAATGTTCAGTCGCTCTTTACTATTGCGAAAATAGAGTTGTTCTTTAAGGTGTTGTCTGAAATAAATTGTTTCAAAGTTTTGTATTGAATTGTTGTTACTTAAAGTATTAATAAAGATATTTTCTTCACGAAATCTTAGCGGGAAAGTGATGATAATAAGGCTTTCTTTTTTTTGTTTTTTCCAACGTGTTTTTTTACGATGTTCATGGATTTGAGGAGTGTTTGAGCAGTTTTTTTATTTAAGAAAAGTTTTTTAGTGTCAAATATTACGTTTTAGAACTTAGGTTTCGGAAAAAAATTGTGATATTTTGTTGAGTTTTGATAAAAGATTGCAATGAATGTTGATAATCATTCCCTTGTAAGTATTTTAGAGGTTTTTAGAATTAAATAAATTAATTAATTAATGACTGCAACACTGGCTGGACATTTGGCTACTGTGCTGTGCCGTCGGGTCCAATTCCCGCACGAAACAATACTTTGTGTGATCCACAAATTGCTGTTTCCAGTCTGGGTGTGATGTGTATGTGATATTGTATGTTTATAAACGCACCCACGACACGGGTGATAAAATCTGTCGATTAGTTATAAAGGTACATACTACCATACCTACGGTACATACTTATCGTTGTTTTTTTTATAATTATGTTATAAATAACGGTTTTTTGAGATTGAAACCTAGCGTCCCGGCTTAGCACGGGTGAAATGCTGATACTAAATTTCTCCGCTATTTAATATGTGTTATTATACTTATAAGTAAAGCTTCTTCTTCAATCTCTCTATATTACAAAAACCGCATCAAAATCCGTTGTGTAGTTTTAAGGTTTGAGCATACATAGGGATATAGGGACAGAGAAAGCGACTTTGTTTTATCTTTATATAAGTATAAAAATGGATCGCAAAATGTGTTGGTAAACTCAACAACGCCTGGACCAACTTTGCTAATCCTTTTTTTGTTGTGTTTGTTCTTGTCAGGAGAAGGTTCTTATCAAAGAAAATATTAGACAAGTAGAGGGGAAGATTAGGAAAAAGTGACCCTTTGATAGCGAGATAGTTGGACCCGTGCGAAGCGGGGGCAGGCCGCTAGTATTATATATTAATTACATACTTTTGAAAAGGCGGAAATAGAATTACATAGAAAAAACAATTGTCAATATTAAAGTTTAAAAAGGTCTGTACTAGATCTAGGCTGGTATCAATTTATAGTAGATTGTAATAACATTATAACGTATTCTTCTCATAGCCGAAAGCATGGAAGAAGATGCAAAAGAAAGAGCGAGAAGCCTGGCTCGTCCAGAGGATAGAAGAGTGGAGAGCGGAAAAAGAAGCTGAGAAGTTAGTTGTAAATTATAGTATTTTACTAAAGCTACCATCATAGTTAGGATCAAACAAAAAACCGGTGTAAAACAATACCTAACTGCGTTTATTTCGCCGTATGAATTAGCGAACTCCCATGCCCGTCCCACACATCCTCAATCCCCAAATCCCCAACTCCCCGAATCCCCAAATCCCCAATCACCAAATCCTCCAATCCCCAAATCCCAAGTCTCTCAATCCCTAAATTCCCCAACCCTTCAATCACCAAATCCCTAAAACCGCATATCCCCAAATCCCTCAAATTTCACATCTCTAACCCTAAAAGGTCAGCTAAGTAATCAGTGTGTGTCACTGTGGGTGTACTTAAGTACACGAATATGTAGAAAATATTTTATTGAAATAAAACCTTACAATGACATTCTATTTGCTTGCGGTCGGTTGAATTGTATATCTAAGTACATCCAAACTAATATTATAAATGCGAAAGTAACTCTGTCTGTCTCTTTATCTTTACTTCACGCCTAAACTACTGAACGTATTTGTGTGAAATTTTGTACAGACATAGTTTGCAACCCGAGAAAGGACATAGGATAGTTTTTAAACCAAAAATCTGCAGGAAGTCACTATTCCACGCGAACTAAGTCGCGGGCAAAAGCTAGTGTTACTATGTATAATTATAATACTCCTTACAAAATCTCAACTAAAACCTTTTCGTATACTTATGTTCCTAACATAATCCTTATTGATTTATAACTTCTTTTATTTTATTTTAATAAACCTTTTTTCTCTAATCACGGCTATAACTTTTTTGCACTCGAAATGTAGACTCACGTGCGTCACTGCAGGGGTGTCCACTGAAAATCAGTGCTGGGCGACTTGTATGCCTAGCTTACACTGAGTGGGTAACCCATTCAGCATGGGCATGTTGTAGCGTCTATTTTCTGTTTCTTCTGTTTTAATCTTTAACTCATGTTTATCTTACCTCTACTGTCACACTTTTATTGTCTTTTTATATACTGCATCGTGCCTCGTGCTGAATAAATGTCTTTTCTTTCTTTCTTTCACGCTTTTTGCTAGCATGTATAAAGATATTATTCTTTACGTTACAAAATAAGTGATTCGTAAACCATGAAAACACTGAAATACTAAAGTCCATCTCAGGGACATAATTAACTTTCTGACTGCATGGTTGGGGCAGTGGCTGTTGCACAACGTGTCGCTGGTTCGATTCCCGCACGCAACAACTCCTTATGTGATCCATAAATTGTTGTTTCGGGCCTTAGTGCAATGTGTATGTGAAATTGTATGTTTGTAAACGCACCCACGACACAGATGAAAATCCTAGTATAGGGCAACTGTATTTAATTTAAAAAATATATACCTAATATTAGGGCTGATATTTCAATAGTCAGATAAATGATTATTGTCTGAGGAATAAAATTGTTGCTGTCACTGTCTTATACAAACATTCTGACGCGACAGCAACAGGGTCTGGGTGTGATGTGCATGTGAAATTGTATGTTTGTAAACGCACCCACCACACAGGAGAAAATCCTAGTGTGGGGCAACGTTTTTTAAACAAAAAAGAAATTATTCCCCAGATAACTTTTATCTAACCAATGAAAAATCAGCCCTTAGAAGAGAAAAAATCAAAATAGGAAAATATTTCCGTAACTATTCAATTCTATTTGTGTTTCGGGTCTTGCTTGCTGATTATTGCTTACCATCAGGTAATCCGTCTGCTCGCTAGCCGTCCTATATAAATGTTGTATGTTAAAAACACGACAATTGGGTAGTTTCCTAGGTGAAAAATGAATTATTTCGACGTTTCATTACAATAAAATAATGAAAAATAGCTAAACTTTTAGTCATCGATCGATATATTAAATTAATAGATATTTTTTAACTAATTTTTAGGTAATAAGTACGTTAAACTATTTGACGCAAATATACTATGACGTCATAACTCAGCGTTTCATACAAATTTCATAGAAAAGTATCGTTTTTAACATTTGGATAAAAGTATTGAATTTGACTAGTTGGAAACTACCTTATTAAAGTGCAGCGAGCGCCGATTCCATAATTTAAGTAGCTTTTTATAGTTTTCCTTTTTTGGTTTTGATGTTGGTGATAATTATATTTTTGTTTGACCCTTAGACAAGCAATCCTGGCGGGGGCAAAGGAGAAACGCGCTGCCCTTCAGAGGGAGCGCAATGAGCTGATGGCAGCCGAACTAGCTGAGCAAGAAGTCAGGAGAGATCTGCTTCAGAAGACCGTCAATTTGTTTCAAAGTATGCATACTTACATGTACATTGGGTTACCTTATTTAGGACTGATTTTTCAATAGTCAGATAAATGTTATTTGAGGAATAAAATTGTTGCTGTCACTGTCTTATACAATCATTCTGACGCGACAGCATCATAATTATTCCCCAGGTAATTTTTATCCAACCATTGAAAAATCAGCTTTTACTTGAGAAATACTATATACATATAGTCTCAGCTCATGAATAATAACCCCGGTGTGACTTGAAACTAGAAGAGCTTCTCGGTTATCCAGATCATCATCATTCATAAGAGAAGGATTGAGCAACTATCACTACGTGCGGATTGGCGATTTCAAACTTATAATTAGAAATTATAAGCCCAGGTTTCCTCACGATGCCGAGGTTGCGGGTTAAGCGCAATGAGTCACCGCGGCCTCGGCCCAGAGCAGGAGAAGGAACGGGGGGTTTTTAGTCAGTAAGAGTCTGACACTGTCTCTCGCCGCAACCTGGGCGGAAGAAGCTATTTGATGATTTTCCCCTGACAAAAAAAACAGGTTTCCTCATGATGTTTTCCATCACCGTATGTTCGAGGTAGCTAAATAAACTTAGTAAAGTAAATATTACTTGGAAAACGTCACATTGGTACTTGCCAGGTTTCAGCCCGCACCTTCATACATAAGACGGACGCCTTAACCAAGACATTTACTTGACTGGTTTATTCACATACTTCAGTCGTTTTATTTTCACTAATTTTAACTATTCTGCGTTTTTAATTGCTGTCTCCACAAATTTAACTACGAATTCTTAACCCGACAAAGAAGATTTAAAATTATTGCAGATACAAAAGTTAATAGGTAACTTTCTTCGTTTCAGGTTTTGAAAGGCAAAAAATGAGGTACGAACAGAAAAAGCAAGAGGTAGCAGAGGTAAGAATGAAAAAATTAAAACGCCTAATAATATTTAACGCACCTCTCAACGCTAAGACCCCGTAACTTAGGATCACTCTTATGAATCACCTGGTAAACGATCGGTGTTGCCAATGCACACTCGCAACCAAAGAGGATCTCGCTACACAAGAGATATCACAAATGCGTAGTCGTCCCTAAAGGAGTACGATCTTTCTTTGAAGGTTTGAAGGTCGTAAAAGTTCGAAAATACCGACGGGGATAGTTCATTTAATAATTTAGCTGCTTGCAAGGCAGAAAGTTCCGTGGTAAAACTGCATAGGGCTGAAAATTGCAAGACTGTTTCCGGCTCTTTGGGGGTTCATGTAACGATAATTGGAGGATATAAGTATAATAAGACTGGAGCATTGTAACAAAGAAATGAATTGTAAAACTGATTGAAAAAGAGTAACCTTGGAGTTTCTTGCTCGTTCTTCTCCATCGGATATCTACACTTTGGAACGAGCAAATAGCTTCACTAGAGGACAGGCGGACAGACTGACACGCTTAAAGTTAAAGCACTTGAAATACTTATTTCCTTTTTTTGCTAGTAAAGTACCTATTGTGGTCTAATTGAAATAAATGATTTTGACTTTTGACTTTTCACTTTTGATTGCTCTTCCGATAACAACAAAGCAAGCATGGCTCAAATTTAAATTTTTGTATTAGCTTTCCATATGTCCCCGGTCGGATTTCTGTGACGCCGTGGTATCACTCCGATCGAGCCGGTCTATTTATGGCGTAGCATTTTTTTATATAACGAGCACCAGATTACCGAAACACAACAATGTGGTATTCTGTGAGCTGACCCATTTGTGCCGAAGCATGGCTCTCCCATGCTTAAAACCGACATTAACCTTCACTAATGTTCTTCGAACAGTGGCAGCAATATCTCCGGTGTGATGGGCTCCCGGACCCTCGCGTGGTGACAGAACTGAACACCTTCCTCCACCTCTGGAAGCAGAACGAAAAATCTGATGATGACGAACTGGACAAGAAATTCGTGGAAGTTCTCCCGGTAGGTAATTTATACTTGAGAAAATAAGCTAGGCAGCACTTGTGGAGGAATATTTCTCCCTATAAAACCACCAAGAAGATCGTAATAGTAACCATGCCAACCATGCGACCAATTATAAGGCACATCTTGATATGATAGTGCATCGTGATGTCATGACGAAATTCAACTTTTTTTATGAGATAGGTCGGCAAACGAGCTTTCGGATCACCTGATGGTAAGCAATCAACGCCGCCTATGGACACCCGCAACAACAGAGGAGTTGCAAGTACGTTGCCAGGCCTTTTGGAGATGGAGGGGAAAGTTTTGGCCTCGGGTAATCTCACTCACACAGCGAAACACAACGCTGCGACTCCAGTCGAGGTGACCTATTCTTGACATTGATTCGACAAACACTTCCTTAAGTGTTTTAGTCAGTAAGAGTCTGACACTTCTTTTCGCTCTTACCAAGACGGGAGAAGTCATTTCATGAGTTTCTTACTCATCATCATCAGGGTATAAGTGACCACTGTAAAGGCCTCTTCTCATACGGAGAACCACCATGTTTTTTTTAGGGGGATTGGTAATTTCACACTTATAGTTAAAATTTCTAAGTCCAGGTTTCCTCACGATGTAGATATTATTATTCTTATTCTTTTTTAAAACGTTGCCTAACACTAGGATTTTCTCCTGTGTCGTGGGTGCAGGTAAACATATAGTTCAATATCACATACACATGACACCCAGACCCGGAACAACAATATCTGGATCACACAGAGTTATTCCGTGTGGGAATCGAACCCACGACACATTGCACGGCAGCCACCTCACCAACCGTGCAGTCAAATACTTTTCATATCCTATTATATCCAAATGTAATTTTAGAGAAACTAAAACTAGCTCTTTTAATTATTTGAAATCGTACTCATATGGTGTTAGCTTTTAGCCAATAGACCACCACAGACGGGGCCCTATATTGGGGCTGATGTTCAGCCGGGGTTGCGGGGTAAGCACAATGAGGCACCGTGGTCCCGGCTCAGAATGAGCCTGACACTCTTTCTCGCCTTACCATGTTAGGGAGAAGTCATTTGATGACTTTTAGCTAAGCAAAAATTTAGAAGAAGAAAGTAATGTAATTTTTTTTCAGATTTTGGAGATGCTTGAAATCATTCTTCATAACTCAAGACGGTTTACACAGAGGCAGGTCAATAATTATGAGGAGGTGAGTGAATTAAAGAATATTTAACATTACATTTTTTTTTAATACTTTTTGACAATGGCGGACTTAATCCTGATAGTATTTTCTATCAGTCTGCCTTAGGGTGACACAGAGATAGGTCGTGGTACCAACTGTATACCATGGCTTCGATTTAAATCACCTCAAATCTGGATGAATCAGGATGCTCCCGCAACTTGGCTATAAAGGAAAGTCTGCTCATATTTTTTCTGAAAGACCATATCAGAAATATAGTAATAGCTGGAACCATTAAAGTAATCGACATAGTCCAAAGGAATAGCAATCAAGTGGCAGTGGGCAGGTCACATGTGTCCAAGAACTGATGAGCGTTTGGGTAGACCTATTCTGGAATGAAATATAGTTTGGGATGCCCTCCAGCTAGGTAGACTGACGATATCCGCTATGGCTGGCAGTGGTTTGACAAGAGCTAAAGATCAAGCTCATTGAAGAGGAAAGAATAGAAAAGAGGTCTATGTCCAGCAAAGGATGGGAAGGACCCATTGATGAAGAATAATTATCATGTAAAGAGGCATTCCAATGGTTTATGTCGCACGCATGCGCGTAGTGTCACCGCTCGACCCTGCGTAGGCGCGAAACGCGAGTAGACTCGCGGGCCAGTGACCGTAGCTCACGTGTCCGCGATGTTAATTTTCACCGCGAACTATCGATCATTGTTGTTATAGCATTTAATGAAGCGTCTGAATATATTAGTTTTCACTGATAATCGCATGTCCCAACTCTATTTCACGCCCCTGAAGACTTCATTGAACCCTCACTACCTACAATTATGATTTTTGTTCCAGGTCCGTTTAGCTCTTAGGGCGCAACTAGCCAGCGCTATAGAAATGGCATCTTATTCCCTTCTTCGAAACATTGAGAAAAACCTAGTATTTGAATCAACGAAAGTGGCGACTTACCAGAGAGAGTTCAAGGGAATGCGGTTGAACATTTGGGTTGCTGTAAAATGGCCTACGAAGAAACCGAAACCAGTGGAACATGAGCCGTAAGTTTTCGTCTTCTTAAAATTTTCGTTAAAACAAAGTCTTTTTTTATGGGATAAGTCGGTAAACTAGCACTTATATTACCTGATGTTAAGCAATTGTTGGTTTCTCGCACAGAACATACTTTGACCGATCCTCATTTTTTGTTCCTGGTCTGTGTGTGATGTGTATAATTCTATGTTATAAACGCATCCAATTCAAACATGAATTTAAGTTTGAAATCGCTAACCCGCCTTGAGCAAGCGTGGTGGTTAATGCTCAAACTTCTCCATGTGAGAAGGGCCTTTTCTAAATATTATACACATTTTGTGTGACAACAAAAAAATATGGAAATACAAAAATATTCAACAACAAATAATACTTTACTTAAAAAAGAAATCTCGACTCTACATATTTCGGTAATCAGTTGCCTTTTACATCCGTTGAACCAACAAGGCAACCTATTACAGTGCTAAAATTAGCTTAACCTCTTTTTTGAGAGAAGAGGAAGAGGAGACCCTTTCTGACTAAAACAGGCTGGAACCCTTACAGGCTGGAACCGCGGTACATCATCGCTTCCGCATACTAGTTTGAGGACCATCTGGACGACACGGTAAAGGCGCGAAGCGACCCGCGCGTGCCTCAAAGTGCCGATATACCATCACATATGGGGCCCTATAGGACCGATTTAAGGCACCGTAGGGCGTAGACTTTGAGGCACAGGAGAAAGAACTGTGGGTTTTTAAGTCAGTAAGACTCTTTCTCGCCGCAACCCTAGGCAGACTCCTCTACCTACCCTAATAAAATAACAATCCCATTTCAAATTTCAGGGAACCTGTAGAACTGTCTTTTCCGTCAATGAAAGTATCAGTGAAATTACCGAAGATAATAGACGGGTCCTGCGTGTGCGTACGGGCGGCTCGCTCCGAAATCGATCTGCTTAGCGAACTATCAAAAAGTTTCGCTCTAAAAGCTGATATTCCGAACAGATATCAAGGTATGGTATAATAAAATAGTAGTTATGTAGGATTATAAGCATGAGTGAGTGAGAGAAAGAGAGTTATATGTGTGTGAAAGAGTAAAAGGATGGAATACAATTCAAAAAATAAAAAAGATGGCATCGAGTAGGATTCGAGGTGCTGAGTTTTATCCAAACTTAATATTATAAATGCGAAAGTAACTCTGTCTGTTTGTCTGTCTTTTCTTCACGCCTAAAGTACTGAACCTATTTGTGTGACATTTGGCTGCTGTGCAATGGGTCACGGGTTCGATTCCCGCACGGAACAACACTTTGTGTGATCCACAAATTGTTGTAACGCGTCTGGGTGGTTTGTGTGTGTGAATTTGTATGTTTATAAACGCACCCACAACACTGGTGAAAAGCCTAAAGTGGGGCAAAGTTTCTTGAATTAACAAAAAAATAACTTTTAATAACTTTCGCGTTTAAAATTTACAACATATAGTTACGCGGCTATAAACGCGGAAAATAAATATATAAATACCTTGGTAGGCTTGACGTTTCGACCTGGTTGCACAGGTCGTGGTCACAAGCACACTGAAACCCGACCAGACCAAAAATTGGTAAAAATCCATCTATCATAAAAAAATATGCTTAGATAGATCTCATCTTTCCTTTCAGATCTTTTTATATTTAGTGTAAAAGAACTAATTGAATCTCAAAAGTTGAAAAAGTTTCAAGACGAGACGAGAGCCAAGTTCTACAAGGATGTCCGTGACAGAGTGCGGGAGTTGGAGGCTTATATAAAAGCTAATCTGTAAGTGAAAACGATTTTTATTTTTTTTATGTAATAGGTCGGCAAACGAGCAGACGGATTACCTGATGGTAAGCAATCAGCGCCGCCCATGGACACCCGCAACGGAGGAGTTACGAGTGCGTTGCCGACCTTTCAGGGATTAGGGATTTGGAGATTTAGGAGGGGAAGGATTGAGCCTCCGGTAACCTCACTCACACGACCAAACACAACGCTGTGGCTGTTTCATGCCGGTTTTCTGTGAGGCTGTGGTATCACTCCGGTCGAGCCGACCCATTCGTGCCGAAGCATGGCTCTCCCACACTTTTGTTCTATAGACTCTCATAAAATAGTACATCATGGTACAAGTGTGTGAAGTTGGTGATTACCGCAAAGGCGCATTGAGGCCCGAGCCGTAAAGCGAAGGCCTTAAGGACCCGAGGACGGTAACCATCAATACACACGTGTATCTGAATCATACGACGTTTTTCAACACACTCCTGAATAAAAAACTTCAAAAGTGAAATCGAGACGAGTTCTCTCGCGCGATTTCACCCGTTGCTCGGTTCCATTCGATTTTAGCGTGATGGTTTATAGCCTCTAGCACTCAGGAACATTGTAGCTATCTATCATTGAAAGAATTTTGGCAAACCGACCAGCGGTTCTAAAGATTACCCCCCTACTTACAAACATACAAACTTGTATGAAATTAGTACGCAAAACCCTATTTTCATCGCTAATATTATTAGTAAGATTTCAATAAATTTTCTTCTTCTCTTGTGTCCTTTATTTTAAGTGGACAAATTAGGTATTATCTACCAATTTAACACAATTTCAAAGGCACGCTAGCCCGCGACTTTGTTCACGTGGAACAGTGACATGTCCTTCGGCTCGAGTTCCAAACTATGTCTGAACCAAATTTCACACAAAAAGGTTCAGTAGTTTAGGCGTGAAGAAAAAACAGAGTTAAGAACAAAGACAGAGTAAAGGAGTTACTTTCGCATTTATAATATTAGTATGGACTTGCTAATCTCGCGCGGTTTCACCCGCTGCTCGGCTCCATTCGATTTTAGCATGATGTTTAATGCTATGGCATTCAGAAACATAGTAGCTACTCGTATCTATCGATGAAAGAATTTTGGCAAACCGACCAGCCGTTCTAAAGATTACCTACCTCCTACATACAAACTTACAAATTTTATCTATTTATAATATTAATATAGATTTTCAAAGGCATGGGTACTTACAATTTGATACATACCCAGTTTTTGGGAGGAGAAAATCATCAAATGACTTCCCTCTCGCCCAGGGCGCGGCGGGAAGGAGTGTCAAACTCTTACTGACTAAAAACCCCCCTGTTCCTTCTCCTGCTCTGGGCCGAGGTCGCGGTGCCTCATTGCGCTTACCCCGAAACCCCGGTAGACTAGGTATTAAAATGCGAATCATGCCTTTTATATCAAAAAGTTTCTAACTCTTTCAGATATTTGAAAAATGAAAAAGAGAAAGACGAATTGGATAACTTGAATATGTCGGAGCCGGCATACATGCCTCCACCTAGAGAACAAATAGCCGCTGAATGCGGTAAGTTATCAACCTGTTTTGAACTTTTTTTTTGGTGTCGGATTGGAAAATCCTCATGGAGACCCACCGCATCGCTCTCGGGAAAGGGCGAAGGTTACTGTCACTGACTAAACATCAACCCGGTGTTTCTTCAATTACCCATGTGTCGGAGGGGCGGATATCGCCGAAGCATTCGTCGCATCCCCCCGACGGGTATTGGCTCGCCAGATGGTTAGGCGGGCACCGTCACCCACTGCGGCCGTCACCCCGACCGCAGGACTCATCTATGAGGCGCGCGCGGAACACGGCGCCGCCGCCTCGAGGCCTGCTGCTGGTCGGACGACAAGAACGCTCCGAGTCTGTCGTCCACAGGCCGCGCCCTACGGTGGCCGCAGGTCGGCCACCCTACGACGTCTAGTGCGTCTGCTGCGGGAGGGAAGAGAGGAGGCAGGCTCTCTCTCCCTTTCCGCAGCCTCCTGTGCGAGCATCACGGCCTCACAGAAGTTAGCGACGGCACTCCACCCTGACTCGCTCTCGACCATAGTCGACACTACAGCCGGAAGCGAGAGATTTCCCGCAGCACCTGCCGCCGCGACCAGGTCACGGCGCTGCTCGGCCTAAGCTGGGCTTTCCGCCAACGTATCGTCGCGGCATTCACCACAGTGGTGGCACTGAGAAAGTTGATTTTTCCCTGATTTGACCTGTTCAGTCCTAGCAGGACCTGATCAAAGCGAAATTGCCTCGCCAATAAATTGTTGAAATTTTAATATTATGACTAAGTATATATTTTCTTTTATTGTCATAAACAGTCTAAAATGTTAGTCATGTAATAAAAACCTTTGTAGTAGTTTCCTCGTTCTATAAAGTTTTTATGTTTTAAACATGAACTTAATTAATTATACCTACTAGTATTTGTGTTATCAAATTGGAGAAGATCGAGCATTTTTTCTGACGTGACCTGATCTGAGCTGACTTAACACAACATACCTAATAATTAACCTACTGTTAATAAAATCCATTTGCCAACAGAAATCGAATTCAAGAAATATTTGAGATCGTGCAAATCAAAATTGCGATCGGGCGAGCTGAATTTACGGCGATATAGGTAGGTACAGTCAGCTGTGTTTGAAACATTTATGTAGTACGTCCCTACATATCATCATCGTCATCATCATCATCATCATCATCATCATCATCATCATCATCATCGTCATCATCATTATCACCATCATCATCAACAGCAATAACAGCAACACCAACAACAACAACATGTATTATTGATTATTTATCTTTAGAGTTCTCAAAAAAATTCACCTTTTTCATTGTGTTAGTTACTTTAACTTATCTTTATTAAACAACAATTTGTTGATCACGCAAAGTGTTGTCCCGTGCGGATCGAAATCAAACTCGCGACATGTTGTAGAGCAACTAGTTGCCCAGCCTCAACCGTGCAGTCGAAATTCAGTGTATAAAAAATTAAATATTTCCTTTTTTCAGGATCTGTGGTGGAGTGCTGAATCTGGATTTGATAGTGACTCCCCCACAACCGAAACGGATGCGACATTCAGTTATTATAACCACGTGTAAGTATTGTCTTTAATTTTTCTTCTTTATGAAGGTCGTGTTTTCATAATGACTGTAAGCGGTGCTTACCGTCAGATGACCCTCTCGTTTGTGGACCATATAAGCTTTTTTGGCTGATACCTATATATTGGGTCTAGGTCTTGTAAGTGTTTTTAACATAGAAAAAAAATACATTTATAGTGTCGTTGTGGCAGTAGGTGGGTAAATTTCATCCACTGGTCCGGAGGTTTCTATTTAAAATTCAGCTTGAGGAAACGCCCGAGTGTCGTCATTGTGTGGACCACCTAGAGGACACGGTGGCTCATACTGTTGCGGTGCTTGGGCTGAGCACCACTGTACCCTCAGGGAAGTGGTCTCAGTGAAGTGGGCAGGAGCAAGAGTCTGACACTTATTTCCACCCAACCCTGGGCGGGAGAAGTTATTTGATGATTTTCCCCTCACAAAAGAAATCACATACGGGGCCCTATAGGCTTGATGTTCAGCCGTGGTTGCGGGGCAAGCAAAATGAGGTACCACGGCATCGGCTTAGAGCAGGAGAAGGAACGGAGTGGCTCTTAGTAAAATAACAGTCTGACACTTTCTCTTGCCTCACCCAGGACGAGATAAGTCATTTTCAACCCTCAAAAAAAACTGTAGGTTAAAAATGTGTAGCAATGTTGGTGCCAGGTCAACGTGCTTTAAAAAAAACTTCGTTTGATTTTAGTTTCGTTTTTATTAAACAACATTTTTGGTTCAATGAATAACAATGAATTTTATTGCTATATGTATTACAAACTTAGGGCTTATAAAATAATACAAACTCAAGTACCTACTTATCTTCTGCCGACATTTTTGGATCATTGCTTTTTATATAACAAAATATAATAATAAAATTGTTGTAATTTTTAAGATTAAAAATGTTTTAATCTTCTTATTTTGCATACATAAATTATTTGAGTACAAAGCAGGTCACAGCCTACCTTTCCAAGATAATCAAAGTGCCCAAGCAGACAGTAAAAATATATGTTTTAAAAATAATTAAAAAATGTTAATATTCATTTCTGAGAATTTCAAAAATATCTGTCTTCTAAATCATATAGTTAAGTGTTTTTCGGAACTTCAAAATAAAAATCTTATCATTTTATTAACACCCGTAGCGCACCAGAGGGCGCTGCGTACGAAAATGGACGAACACTCGTTAATTTTTCAAAAACCAGATCACACATTAAGCTAACGATACATTATCCGATGGTTTGGTCTTTTGAGCTATTAGGGTCTTCTTTAGTCTTTTCCAGAACATTGGTCTTTCGGACTCGTCTTTTGGCCAGACTATATAGGTCTTTGTCAGCATCAGGTAATGCAGAGTGTTAGGTCTTAGACGCCGTGGTATGTCTTCCAGAAGAATCAGTGTTAGGTCTTCTCGGCGCGTTTCTAAGAGTCTGGAAAAATATAATAATTTGATTGCTTTAAATCTCTTAAAAAACTTGGAACTTGGAATTTCAAGTCATCACCAGCCTACCACGTCTCAATGCTGAGCAAACAGCAACTTCTTCTCATTTGACTTCTCTAAATGAGAAGAAGTCTTGAGAAGGAGTAGTGACTTTTTAACTCGACTTCTCCTTAAAGCAAGCAATATACAGGAAAAATGGTGTTAAGGCGAGTGAGAGAGAGTTCAAACTTGTAATTCAAAATTGCACTTCACTATTTCCTTGTGATAATCCTATCTTTTAACTAAGCGATTACGAAATAAAATTAAACCCCCTTATACAAAACAAGGTTTATCTTAAGTCCATGTATTCGAAATACGAAAATTCCTAGACTAAAGTAAAACCTTGTTTTGTAATAAGTCAAAAGTTAAAAGTCAAAAGTCAAAAATCATTTATTCCAATTAGACCTTTACAGGCACTTTTGAACGTCCAACAAAATTTTGAATATATAGTGTCAGTCTGTCGGTCAGTCAATAAGGCCGAAAAAGTATATAAATACATGACTACATAACGAATTTCCAATCCACTATGACACCCTCATGTGGTCATTGCTTTAGAAATAGTTTTAACCCTCAGTCTTTCTAGCTATTGAGTAAGCCTTAACTTTAACTATTGCTCTAATAAATGACCTATTTTGAAAAAAACCAACATGATGTGTCAAGATTCTCACCTGTGTTGCGCAAGATGCATCTCAAATTGACACCACTGGCTGAGCAGGAACCTCTGCGAGAGGATTAACATGATGGACCTGGATCGGTCCATGCAGGAGACTATGTTCTCCAGGATTGAGAGGCCCACCTGATTGTTGAAAGGAAATAAAGCTTTAATACGAGGAAATAATTAATACTTAAGTTCTATAAGTCACAAGTACGATAGCCTAGCAAGGGGATTTTTTTGTTATTTTTTTTATTACAGTAATTGTACGTAATCTAGTATCAGTACGCTGTATAGGTATAAAAATATTAGTAGATGATATACCGTTGCCTAATTTGTCTCAAAATATATTTATGATTAGACCCTTTATCTTAAAGTAACGTACATAAATTGACGAGATATATTAGTATTACTAGCGCCCCCCCCCCCCCCCCTTCGCACGGGTCCAACTATCTCGCTATCAAAGGGTCATTTTTTCCCAATGTTCACCTCTACTTTTCTAATAATTTTAGCAAAATTGGTCCAGGCGTTGTTGAGTTATGCGCTTACCAACCCATTTTTATATATTACTAGCGGCCCGCCCCCACTTCGCACGGGTCCAGCTATCTCGCTATCAAAGAGTCACTTTTTCCTAATCGTCCCCTCTACTTTTGTAAAATTTTCTTTTATAAGAACATTCTCCTGACAATAAATAAAAACAACAAAAAAAGAATTTTCAAAATTGGTTTAGGCGTTGTTGAGTTATGCGCTTACCAACACATTTTTATATATAAGAAGATAAGCATAAAATTGACACCAAAACTCCTCACAAGTGCGACAAGTCATTTGATGATTTTACCCTCCTCACTAGACAATCAAAATCAAATCTATGGTCTTCTCCACAAAAGACCAAGTAGACCAGTAGACCAAACTTACAAGAAAGTCCCTCTCATGTAAACAAGCGCTGATGCTGCACTCGGTCTCCATATGAGGTAGCAGATGGTCCAGCACCCAGCCTCGATCCTCGTTACAGTAGGATACGAACACATCGTAATTAAAGATTGTGTTATCTGAAACAGACAGCATCAAGGAATTGTTGATAATGTTACAAATTAATTAAAATTTGCTTAATTTTGCTCTCAATCGATGACCAGAATGATTAGGTATCTGATTGAATGACAGATTCTTTAATCTAATTCAATTTTAGTAACGGTTTATTTGACATAGTGATTCGATGTGATGATCGGAGTTCCGCTCTAACGTATATTCGATTTTTTAAGACCTTCCTAGTGTGATGTCACACATTTTACAATTGTGTAAGTACCACGAAATAATAATTTAATTAAAATAGCGGTTGTTACGAAATTTATTATTTTGCTCATATCGGCCACGTAAATTGTATTAGTTTTTTAAAAGATGACGCCGCTGTCATGGCGTACTTTAGATACCTCCACCCCCACCTTTCCTTAACGTGTGACGTTATTTGTGGATGACCCGTTATGTATGAGCCATGTTATAGAGGGTGATCCTACTGCCTTATATCGGGCAAAACTTTAGACTGATTAACCAAATGTTCTAAAAAACTCCGATTACTTTACCCCAGAGAGACGAAAAAATTTCTATTTTAAGACTTAACCTATATTTATTTCTTCCTACCCTATGAGCTAAAATGAATTTCTTAATTCGCAGGCGTTCGCGCACCTATTGTTTTTCTAAGTACTGCGTCTTTAATTGCCACGGTTGAAAGGTTAAATTATGAACCTAAAATTAAAACAAATCATACTCACCATCAACCACATCCTTCTTATTAATCAAACTCAGCATTGCAGAGTTTCTCATTGTGATATAAAAATATCTGATGCGACGTCTGAACATGTAAACCATTCCACCTATAATCATAACACATGGCAGAGTCAACAAAGCTAAAAGCTTTAATCTCCCCTCATCCAACTCTTGCTGATAAATCTCTTCCCTCGACGCTCTTCCACAACTAAACACATCTGCGATCTGAACTGGCTTACTTTCCCCAACAGGCAAGCAAATATAAGTATCATTAGAATAATCCACAAAACGAAATTTGCCAGAAGCTCCTATATCTTCAAAACATTGATCATCGCAATCAGACGGGAAATCCACTTTATTCCTATTCTTTATTATATCATTATAATATTCAAAAGCAGTCTGATGAAGTCCAGTCTCTGTTCCGCGTACGAAAATTTCATTAAATAATATGTCATTCTTGGCGGCCATCTTGTACAAGTCTTTGGAGTGACAATTGCAAATCAATGAATTTTCTGAAAGAGCCAAATAGTCCACATACATCAAATCCATGATCATCTCTTCTGTTATTAAGTTAATGTTATTATCTTTTAGTGATAAATAACTTAGATCTGGCATCAAGGAATAAGTTCTTTTAAACCAGGAATTAATTCTGTTCTTATTTAAATCCAATACTTTTAAGCTTCTTAAGTTTTTTACAGCGATATCGTCAACATTGTTAATTTCATTGTTAGCTAGCTGGAGTATGACTAGTTGTGTGAAATTTTGGAAAATATTCATTGTGTTCAAACCAACTTCTTGGGCGTATAAGACTATAAGGGAATCTTCTATGCCTTTTAAAGGTTTGGTTCCTTGTAAAATCCCATTATTTCTTGATACGTCAAGAATTTGTAGAGAAGTTGATATAAAAATGTCATCGTGAAGACCATTCAGTCCTGTTTCACATAGCGAAAGACTTCTAAGGGTTTTACCGAGGCTTTTTAACATGCCAAGATTTCTCTGTGTCAGTTTCGTATAAGATAAGTCCAAAGATACCAGATTGAGGTGTTGAAAAGCATAATAGCTTTCGGTAGCAAGATTTTTTGGGTTCCCATTCTCATCGAATGCTTGGTTTCTGCTAAAATCTAGATGGACTAATTTGGTTAGCCCCGTAAATGCGGTTGAGTCGATGAAGAAGATTTCGTTCTCTCCGATATAGAGAGCTCGTAATTCGGTCATGCCTGTAAATAGGTTCTGTCCTAAAACCTGAATCGAGCACGCTCTCAAGTCCAGCTCTTTGAGTCTTGTGAAGTTCACCGCTGCAAATCCGGATGACCAGACGTTTTCAGCTGCAAAAGAAAGTAAAATATTTATTTATTTCTCTTGATCTTTATCTTTTGTAGCTTCTCAAATAGATCGACATATTCAATTTATGTTTTTAACTAAAAATTAGACGCTCACAATTTTTTGGTGTAACTCAAAAAATATTTTTCTTTTTATTGTAACATTTAATACTATTTCTTTTTCTTCTTCTATATCATGATCATAGTCATCGGTAGAACATAAACCTCTTTCCTTCCAGTTCCAGATTAGCCTGTGGGGCTAAATTTACAGTGACCTTCGTCTGTCGATCTTATCGGTGTTTTCCCTGATATTTGTTTTATTGGATTGTTTGGCAAACGAGCATAAAGATTATTACCTCGTGGTAAGCAATCGGCGCCGCTCATGAGCTTTCGTAATACCAAAGAAGCAACTACAAGGGCGTTGCTTTTTGAAGGTTATTGACTTGAGATTAGGGGATTTGAGGATTGAGGATGGGAATGGACGTTAACCAGACTCTCTTGTCACTTTACTCACACGGCGAAACAAAACATACTTAGGTGTTGTTTCACGCCAGTTTTGGTGAAGCCGTGGTATTACTCCAGTCTAGCCGGTCCACTCATGCCTAAGCTCTCTCCCACACTTAACTAAATGCTGATAAAGCTTATAAGTGCCATCTTTATTATAATTGGAATAATTGCCCTTACCTTGTGTCTGTGGTGAGGATCCCAAGTTCATAATGGTTGCTCCTGTAGCATTGAAGCTCAGGGTATAATGCTCTCCAGCAGCACTCATACCTAGGAACTTATTCCCATAGAATGTCATGTATTCCAACATGGTTGACAGCTGCCTTTCCTGTGAGTCTTCCAACTGGAAAATCTGTAAAAATAATGAAATTTTGTTGGTTCTTGGTAAAAATTTGGCTGTCGGTTTTTGTATGAAGAATATTTTATTTTTGAATTGTAAAAAAATAATTTGTCACTGGTTTTTACCCGACTACGGCAAAGCAAAAAGCAGGGTTATGATTTTAACAGGCTGTGTATGTATGTATGTCTCACGTGTACATATGTTCATATGTTCCCTTGTAACCTCTAAACTACTTATCAGAATTCGACCAATGACATAATTTATTAGAAATGTCTTAATTGTCCGCTGTTTATAGGCTGTATGGAGTATCACAAAATCTAATGTGGCGTCCTCTAGCGGACAAAACATTCAGAGAAAAAAAAATTAAGTTAAGATAAATATGCCGATTTACTTGTACATTTTGAATAATATATATTACTAGCATTTGCTTGTGACTTTACCTGTATTCATGGGCTGATTGCATATAATTCATATCTTTTAATTCATAGCTTCTTTACTAATCAAATCATGAATAATTTATTTCTCTTATTCGGAAAATCTTGTTTTATAATTTTTTAACGTCGCTTCTTGTCGTAGTTGGGTTTAAGTTTTTCTACTCTATATAATTAGTTTAATGTTTAATGAAAATTATGTCTCTTCTCTACATACGAAACACATTTATCATTTTAATACCTACTTATGTCTCTGTCAAATACTAATCTACATTTTTTTTTATGTAATAGGTCGGCAAACGGGCAGTCGGATTACTTCATGGTAAGCAATCAGCGCCGCCCATGGACACCCGCAACGGAGGAGTTACGAGTGCGTTGCCGACCTATTAGGGATTAGGGATTTGGGATTTAGGGATTGAGGAGGGATTGGGGGAGGGGAAGGATTGGGCCTCCGGTAACCTCACTCACACGGCGAAACACAACGCTGTGGTTGTTTCACGCCGGTTTTCTGTGAGGCCGTGGTATTACTCCGGTCGAGCCGACCCATTCGTGTGCCAAAGCATGGCTCTCCCACACTTACATATTTGTATCATCATCGAAACCTTATCGTTTAAGTTTCTAATCAAAACTGTGTGTCTATCTATTGTTATCTTTAATTGTTATCTGACTATCAGCAACATGTCTATGCGAAGATATTTGAAAGAACTCATCTTTTTTGTCTTTCTTATTAAACATTTTATGTAGATTTTTCCTCTAGATTTCTGTGGTCTTAGTTCTTGTATTTCGGTCGTTTACTGGGTGTGCAATTAGATGTGCACGTATAAAATACTAGCTACTCTCGCGCGGCTTCACCCGCTGCTCGGCTCCATTTGATCGTAACGTGATGTTTTATAACCTATAGCACTCCGAAACATTAAAGCTATCTATCAGTGAAAGAATTTTGCAATCCGACCAGCGGTTCCAAAGATTACCCCCTACATACAAACTTACGAACATACAAACTTACGAACTTACAAACTAATAAACTTATAAACTTACAAACATACAAATTTTACTTTTTTATAATAATACGTGCGTGTGTCTAATACACACGTATAGATAGTACGTGTGTAATATTACACTTTTCGTCAGGTATCTTTTGAGCCGTATATAACAATCACATCTCATCATTAGCATATAAGTGCCCACTGCTGAGTAAAAGTCTCTTTTTAAACGGAGAAGGTTTGACCATTATTCGCGTTATAACTTATCCTGCGGAGAGGCGAGAGAGACAGTGAGATTTTTACTGACTAAAAATCCCCCGTTAGTTCTCCTGCTTTAGGCCACAGTATCTTATTGCGTCAGCCCCGTAGTCCCGGCTGAACACCAGCCCTGTAGAGCCCCCTCTGATGTAGTTTATGACACATACTTTTACTAATCGGGAGTTGAAATAACGAGCAACTTACCGGTGGCACCCTTGTCAGGTCGCATCTAGCCATACTCAGGTACCTGACGGACCGATGCGATGACTTCAACATGTCCATATGATGGTGTAACATCTTTATCGGATTTGAATTCATTGAGAGGTCTATTGAGTTCTGTTTCTCCGCTGGAAGTATTAAAATTACAGTTACAATTATTAGATCTAATATTATTAAGCACTAGTGTCCTGATAAACTAAGTGCTGCCTTGAAAAGTTGAGATTATAAAGCCAGTAATCGTTGCCCTACACTTGATTTTCTCCTATGTCTTGGGTGCGTTTACAAACATAGCACTTCCGACTGGAACAACAATTTGTGAATCGCACAAAGACTTGTTCCTTCATCATCATCATCATCATCATCGTCAGCCGGAAGACGTCCACTGCTGAACAAAGGCTCTCCGCGTCGAACGACATGTCGCCACTCACATCCATTCGCTCCCCGCGACTCTGACGAGTGTCGCTCCACCTAGCAGGAGTCAGGACTTGTTCCGTGCGGGATTCGAAACCGCCACAAGTTGCACAACAGCCGTTTACCCAGCTACCTCGTCACTGTGCAATCTAGTAAGCATACCTACAGAATATATACCTAAGTTTTGTTTTTATACAATGACAGAATTTTCAACATTTTAATTAAGATACTTAAATGAAAATTCATCACAATCGAGCCAGTAATTTAGGAGTAAAAGCACAACAAACATATAAACGCGATGATTATTTGTCACACAAAACAAAAACAAGTTGTTTTAAACTCTCTGTCAACTGACCTTGACTTGTAAGTAGGTTTCCATGCTCGTCTACCCAGTTCTGGACATCTGTCATATATCCAGTTAGACATCGTGGCTTAGAGTTGTTTGCTGAAGAAAATACTAGACTGCAGAAAAACCTGAAAGGAGAAGGTGAAAATTAGGAAGTTAGGTTCACATTGGTATGTTTTTATTCTTGGAGATAGCTTTTTTTTGTCAGGGGAAAATCTCCCGCCCAGGGTAAGGCAGAGACAGTGTCTGCGAAGTATAGGACTTCTCCCGCCCAGAGTCACGCAGGAGGGTGTGTCATACTCTTACTGACTAAAAACCCCCCTGTTCCTTCTCCTGCTCTGGGCCGAGGCCGCGGTAACTCATTGCGCTTACCCCGCAACCCCGGCTGAACATCAGCCCTGTTGGGCCCCGTCTGTGGTGGTCTATTGGCTGTTTGAGGCGCGTGCGGAACGCTACACGCCTTATTCTTAGAGATAGCTTACGAACTAATTATGATATTATGGGTAGAGCCGCTTCGGCCCAATGCAGGATAGGGAACGGGAGATTTTAGTCAGTAACCACCTTATTACAAAACAAGATTTATGTTTAGTCTGCCATGTTTAGGTTAAGCCATTGAGTCAGGTTTTACATTTTGAAACTTATTCTCACCTACCTTCAATAAGAAACTGTCAATGCTTTAGACCTTAAGAAAAACTAGTTATAAGGCCGTTAAAGTCTGACACTCACCCTCGCCTAACCGTGGACGGGAGAAGTCATCTGATGATTTTTTGATGAATCAGAGCCGCGACCCCGTCTCGTACGGGGTCGCTGCATTATGCTGAGCGTGGGCCATTAATTCGCGTGCTTGGACGCATATTTTTCTCCTACCTACCTACTTTTGTGATAATTATTGTTTTTACCATGCTTAATGTATTTTATTCTTAACTTTATTTTATTATCTTGTTTTGTATCTTTTATGCGTCCCAGACGCGAATAAATACTTTTTCTTTCTTTCTTTCTTTATTTTCCTCTCACAAAAATAAATAAAAGAAAATGTGTAACATATTATAAAACTTAAATTGTCAATAACAACCGTCCACATATTTATAATTTTAATATGTCGTATACACATTCAAAACTTTTTTCCATAGGTGCTTTTAATTTGAGAGTAATTTGCCAGTTACATTATTCACAAATTCAATTAATATTAGATGCCTATATTCATTCATAAAAAAATAGGATTTACCAAAACCTTCGACCTAAAAATATTGCGGGTAACGTTGTACAATATTGCGGGTACAGTTATGGGAAAAATACTAATCTCTATACAAAGAAAAATCTTACAAGTAAGCTGGAACATTCCTATTACACCTAACAACAACAACTTTCCACCAAACATAGCTAAGAGCTCTCTCAACTGATATACCTTTAAAACAAAATACCGCATCAAAATCGGATCATCCGTTTGAGAGCTAAGATGCCACAGACATACACACACACAGACACATCAAACTTATAATACCCCGTCGTTTTTGCGTCGGGGATTAAAATAGATAGAAAAATAGAAGAATAGAAGAACGCTTTAAGCCTACCTATACTTCGCTGCCGGGGTTGCGGGGCAAGCGCAATGAGGCATCGTGGCCTCGGCCCAGAGCAGGAGAAGGAACGGGGGTGTTTTTAGGCAGTAAGAGTCTGAATCTACACTCCCGCTCGATCCTGGGCTGGAGAAGTCCTATACTTCGCAGAAGCAAAAGGTACGGGAAGCAGTATATTGGTCAACTTGACTGCTTGGCTCGCGTATTTAGCCAGGGTTGTGAGTGTACGCGCTATAGTTTACCGTAGCCTCAGCCTAGAGCAGGAGAATGAACGGGATGGATTTTAGTCAGTAAGAGTCTGACACGTAGAAGAATTTTGATTATTTTCCAACCTCAAGAAAGGCTAAGAAAATGGCTAATGCCTAATGTGTATCAGGTTCAATTCAAGCACGAAATAATTGTTTAAGTGTTCCAACAAATTATTGTCTTGCATCAAAAAATGGCTCTAATCGAATAATACATTCTAATAGTATATCTAGTTAAAAACGAGTACGCATTGATAATACTGTGATTCATTTATTCTTTCTAAAATTGGATCTTGTGAAATAGAATGAATATTCATCTATTTCTCAAAGAATTAACTTAAATGTTGTACTATTGAACATTCATTTAAATTGAAATACAATATTCGAAATTATAAATGTTAAATTGTAAGTGTAGAAGAGCCAAGGTTAGGCACTAATGGGTCGTCCCAACCAGAGCCACCAGATATCACGGCCTCAAAGAAAACAGGCGTGTAACAACCACAGCGTTGTGTTTCGCCGTGTAATTGTGGTTACCGGAGGACCAATCCTTCCTCTCCTCCAATCCCTAAATCTCCAAATCCCTAATCCCCAAAAGATCGGCCACGAACTCGTAACTCCTCTGTTGTGGGTGTTCACGGGCGGCGCTGATTGCTTACCATCAATCTGCTTACGATCAGACGGATTCCAACCTATACCATAAAAAATGCGCTTCTCAACTTAAATTCTTCTTCGGAACTGTGCATTCTAGTGCAATTAGTATGCGATGACGTTCTAATATATGGTTAGGCTCTACTGTGTTTCCTTTTATGGAATAACAGCCATTATTTTTTTTATGAAAGGATGGCAACCGATCTATGATCACAGTTAAATATAATAAAGTCAAAGTCAAAGTCAAAATCACTTATTTCAATTAGACCCATATAGGTACTTTTGAACGTCGAACAAAATTTTAAAGATATAAAGTGTCAGTCTGTCGGTCAGTTGTCCTCTTAGTGAAGCTATTTGCTCGTTCCAAAGTGTAGATTCCGATGGAGAAGAACGAGCAAGAAACTTGGGGTTACTCTTTTCAAATCAGTTTCACATAACACACAGTTTCAGATTATTTGGTACATTATTTAATTGGTTTGAATATGTGACAACAGTGTAATACTAATATACAGAGAAACATAAAAAGAAAATAACCTTAAGGACAATAAACAGTCCGGAGCTGACCAGTTCCAATTGACGGCGCCCGTTCACGAACATGACACACACGCATCGCCCAACATAATATAGGGAATCGAGCGATCCAGTGCCCGTGCCACCGCCAATGTGACCTTTGAGTGAGCATGACAACTCCAAGCTGATATTTAGACCGAAATTCTGCTAGTCTATCTAATTCATCATCATCAGTCTATAAGTGCCCACTGCTGAATAAAGGCCTCTTTTCATAAGGAGAAGGTTAGAGCATTAATCACCACGCTTGCTCAATGCAGGTTGGCGATTTCAAAATTATAATTAAAATTATAAGTGCAGGTTTCTTCACGATGTTTACCTTCACCGTATGTAGTAGTAGTGTCTAAATAATCTTAGAAAGTACATATAACTCGGAAAAAGTAACTTGCCAGGTTTCGAACCCCCATGCATGAGAAGCGGGTTCCTTAACCTCCGGGCCACCACGACTAGTCGGCTAGTCTAATTGTAATTGATATAATGTAAAAATGCTTTTTCGTCTTTCTTTCAAATCGCGAATGGTAAAATTTTTATGGTGTCCTTGCCTGGCCTTCTAAGTAACTTTAGTCTGGCTAGAAATATGACCTAAGAAACGCGAACAAATATAAGATAGTTACTCCACTGTTTTTTCCTTCCGACGGATAACAAGCATAAATATGTTAGGTATATGATATGTAGGTAATGTTATATAGAAATATATTATTATAATTAGTCTCTATTGTTGATAAATAAATGCTGATAGTAATCATAATGACAAATCTATTTTTGTAAAATATCAAAGTCAGGAAGCAAAAAGCGAAATCATCAAATGACTTCTATGGTTGAGGGCGAGGGGGAGTGTCGAGACTATTTTTTACTAAAAACCCAACGTTCCATCTCCTGCTACCGAGGCCGCGGTGCCTTATTGCGGTAGCCTTGCAACCCCGGCTGAACATCAGCCCTATAGGGCCCCGTCTATAATGGTCTAATGACTCTCTGAGAACCGCGCGGAACGCTACGCGCTGTACGCTCGGATCTGGTTCTGGTCGGGCGGCGAGTTACCCTTGCTCGCGGCCCGCAAATCAGGTGGCCTGACTTCTCGATCGAGAAACGCTCCGCCATCATTTTTCATATTTCACGTATGTCGGAGTTTAGGTGTTTAAAAACTCTCAGTAAAAAAAGAAATGGCTTAAAATGTTTGTCAGTTTAGTTAATTCGATATTTAATTCGGAATATAGACGTGAACATATTAAATTTATTAAAAATATCGACTTACGTAAATTAACTTATAAAGCTCGACTATTTTCAAGTAACAACGGGACTCTTACTAATGAGCAGTTAAATTTAGTATGATATACATTTCTCACATACCTAATTTACTTTTTAAAAATTAACAAAAAACATATGAGAGTAGAAGTTAATAAATCTTTGATGGATCTAATTAATATTGTCTGGACTTCAAAAGTCTCTTCGATCTCTTTTTTACGGGTAAAAATCATCAAATGTTTTCTCCTGTTCCGATTGGAGAGAGAGTGTCAAACTCGTACTGACTAAAAACCTCCCGTTCCTCCTTCTGCTTCAAGATTAGAGAGACGTGAGGTAAGCGTAGGAGAGCCAAGCTTCGGCACGAATGGGTCGGCTCGACCGGACCGGAGTGATACCACGGCCTCACAGAAAACCGGCGTGAAACAACCCCAGCGTTGTGTTTCGCCGTGTGAGTGAGGTTACCGGAGGCCCAATCCTTCCCCTTCCCGGACCCTTCCCCAATCCCTAAATCTCCAAATACCTAATCCCTAAATCCCTAAAAGGTCGGCAACGCACTCGTAACTCCTCCGTTGCGGGTGTCCATGGGCGCCGTTGATTGCTTACCATCAGGTAATCCGTCTGCTCGTTTGCCGACTAATTAAAAAAAAAAAAAAATCCGGAGTTTAGATGACTAAAAACTCTCAGTGAAAAACAAATGACTTAATTTTTATATCAGTTCTATTAATTCGGAATATAGACGTGAACATATTAAATTTATTAAAAATATCGACTTACGTAAATTAACTTATAAAGCTCGACTATTTTCAAGTAACAACGGGACTCTAATTCATGAGCAGATAAATTTAGTATGATATACATTTCTCACATACCTAATTTACTTTTCAAAAAATAACAAAAAAAAATATGAGAGTAGAAGTTAATAAATCTTTGATGGATCTAATTAATATTGTCTGGACTTCAAAAGTCTCTTCGATCTCTTTTTTACGGGTAAAAATCATCAAATGTTTTCTCCTGTTCTGATTGGAGAGAGAGTGTCAGACTCGTACTGACTAAAAACCTCCCGTTCCTCCTTCTGCTTCAAGATTAGAGAGACGTGAGGTAAGCGTGGGAGAGCCAAGCTTCGGCACGAATGGGTCGGCTCGACCGGACCGGAGTGATACCACGGCCTCACAGAACACCGGTGTGAAACAACCACAGCGTTGTGTTTCGCCGTGTGAGTGAGGTTACCGGAGGCCCAATCCCGCCCCTTCCCCTATCCCTTCCCCTATCCCTTCCCGATCCTTATATCTGCAACCCCTATCCCCAAAAGGCCGGCAACGCACTCGTAACTCCTTTGGTGTTGCGGGTGTCCATGGGCGCCGCCGATTGCTTACCATCTGCTCGTTTGCCGACTTATACCATAAAAAAGACATTATCTAAATAATAGAGAAATTATTACGGTACCGCGGTACTGAGCTTGGATCTCCTACCCAAGCTGGCACATTCACTAGTTTAAAAGATATTTAAAAATTAAAGGCAGTATTAAAAAAAGATACTTTATTATACCGCTTCTAATCGACCTAGAATATCATAATCTCGATTTAATTGGAATGATACTGGAAAATGTACAAGGTAACCCGGAAACTAAAAAAGTATGTATGTAGTAGGTATTAAATTGCGTTCCGTTTTTTCTGTCTACCCAAATAGAATGGATTCGTAATATTATTTACTACCACCTACTCTCGTTTCACCCGCTGATCGGCTCTATTTAACACCTAGCATGATGTTTTATAGCCTATAGTACTCAGGAACATTGTAGCTATCTGTCAGTGTAAGAATTTTGGCAATCCGACCAGCGGTTCCAAAGATTACAAACTTACAAATTTTACCTCTTTATAATATTAGTATAGAGTTAGATTCAAAATGAGAACTAAGAAAACATGCGTAAAATTCGCAATTATGAAATTTAGCGAACAATTTCTTTTAAAAATTTTTGTTCTAAATTTGAAACGTGATTATAAATTGAAAATTCCCGCCAAACCTGGTTCAACGAATTATTGTGTTAGCTTGGTTTATTTTTAACAGCTGAATGACATAGCTTTTAATTTTTACACTATCCTTAAATTAATCCTAACTAGATTGATTTATTGGCCCCAAAAACCCTGTATGTCATGCACACTAAATTTAATGAAAATCGTTGAAGCCGTTTCCGAGGTTAAGTTTATACATAATCCAAATTCAAACTAATATTATTATAATAAATGCGAAAAGTAACTCTGTCTGTCTGTCTATCTTTACTTCACGACTAAACCACTGAACCGATTTCTGTGAAATTTGGTACAGACATAGTTTGGAACTCGAAAAAGGACATAGGATAGTTTTTATACAAAAAATCTGCAGGAAGCCACTATTCCACGCGAACGGAGTTGCGGGCAAAAGCCAGCATATTTTTTTTTCTTTAAAAAACGTTTTTCCACACTATGATTTTCTCCTGTGTGTGATCCACACAAAGAGTTGTTCCGTGTAGTGCAGGAATCGAACCCGCGACACGTTGCGCGGCAGCCAGTTGCCTAGTCACCGCGCCAACCGTGCAGTCAATTTATTTACAAGAATTAATACATGTTATAAAAGTATCAATTCTACAGAGTGCTACACGATTACCACGATACCTACATAGGCGAAAAAAGCATTGGCGAACAAAGAAAATTATAAAGAAAAACTTACACGATTATCCTTAAAATCATTGTTTGTTCTATACGAAATAGCACAAAATATTCTCACTGCGTCACGTTACTTACATGTTCACAGTTTTACACACTAAAAAAACACTAAACACATTTCCTAACACATTTTAATTCACAAAATGTCACTAAAACACACTGTGTCAACAATAATTTAGTGTTTATTTAACAAAAAAACACTTTTTAAATGTAATTCTTTTTATAATATTATTGTAATAATAGTATATTATGTGGAGTTGTTGTATTTTTGCACGAATTTTCTATCAATAACGTTATCTCAATGAATTGTGATAGCTATATCTAATCTCGGTTGGTCAAAGACAAGGATGGGAGCCATTTTGAATATATCCGCGTTAAACTTGAATAAATTGTGACGTAATATTAAAATGAGTGGTGATTGGTCGGTTGAATTTAGCTAAAATTATGTTTGAATTTTTAAATTACGAATGTTATTTATGGTTTTTCTGTTGTTAATTACTGAAATATGTTTTTTTTTGTTTTATTCACAATCTTAGTAGATTCGGGTAAAATTCAATTTTCTTCTGTCGTAGATCGGCAAAAAGTGCCAACGGATTACCTGGTGGTAAGCAATCAGCGCCGCCCATGGGCACTCGTATCTAGTACCAAAGGACCGGCCTCTTCTTGTGGGTAATTCGGAATTTGAGGATTGAAGATGGAGGGGGAAGAATTGGGCCTCCGGTAAGCTCACTCACACGGCGAAACACAACGCTGTAATTGTTTCACGCCGGTTTTTCCTGAGGCCGTGGTATCACTCCGGTCAAGCCGATCCCTTCGTGCCGAAGCATGGCTCTCCTACACAATAATAGTCAAGTCAAGTCAAAATCATTTATTTCTATTAAACCCTTACAGTCACTTTTAATCGTCAAACAAAGCTTAAAGATATAAAGTGTCAGTGCGAACGAGCGAGAAACTCCATGGTTACTCTTTTTAAATCAGTTTCACATAAAGATTCTTTGATATATTATTTAGTTGGTTTGATTATGTGAGAACAGTGTAACACTAATATGTCTATACTATATACTATAATATTATAAAGGGGTAAAATTTGTATTTTGTAAGTTTGTATGTAGGGGGTAATCTTTGGAACCACTGGTCGGATTCCCAAAATCTTTCACTTATTGATAGCTTTATGTTCCCAAGTCTATAGGGTATAAAACATCACGCTACAATCAAATGCAGCCGAGCAGCGAGTAAAACCGCGTGGGAGTAGCTAGTTTTATTAAAAAAAAATACAAAAATGAAAGAAAATAATCTTAGGGACATATACATATATACCCATTTTGATATACATTTTTCTTTGTTTCAGTACAACTACCAAAATGCTTGGCCCATGTCCAGTACCAGGTTCAGTACAAGGCCCCTGGGCCCCCGCCGCCGGGGGTCACAAGGACCCCGGAGGAAATAGAACAGGAAATCAAGAAGGTGGAAGCTCAGTATGAGAAATTAGCCATGGTTTTTATTGAGTAAGTAGACTTATCAGCCATGAATTGGAGGCAGAATTATTTATCACCACCGTTTCTCTTTCCGCGGGTGTATAGGACCCGACCGCTAATCAACACATTTTATGGCTATGCTAGAGCAAGATTTTTTAGGTAAAAATTTCTAAGGAGTGGATTGCCAGAGTCTTATATATTTTTCTAAAAAAATCTGGATATCTTCAAGGCTTAAGTGGATAGGTTGCTTATGGATAGGGACGCTCTCTCCTAGGACTCATCATTGCTTGCCACCAGGCGTAAGGCCCATTACGAAATAAAAAAATATAAAAACAAAAAAAAAACCGACAAAAAAGCTAAGATCCCTTTAAAAAGTACAATTTTTTACGTTCCCCTAACCTACATTTTTAGTTTTTTTTTGTCTTTTTTACTTTTCGTAGGTATTTATCATTGTCATCAACATCCCCTTTAGTGCGCTTTCATTGGCGACCCCACTGAAGTATATTTGCGGTTACCCTTCCCTACTTACACCGGTATAACTTGTAAACGGCTCAACCAATTTTCATCAAACATATCTAAGAACACTCGCTCGTAAGTCACCTTTAAATACAAAAAAAAAAACTAATTTGAAATCGGTTCATCCGTTCAGGCTCCAGGATGCCACAGACAGACAGACACGTCAAACTTATAACAACCCGTTTTTTCCGTGGGGGGTTAAAAAGAAAAATATAGATAAATATAGATATTAATATTTTATTTTAAAGCTGTACTGAGTTCGCCTGATCATTAAGTATCCAATAAGTATAAAAGACCAATGTGACTTTTTCCAAGTTATATTTACCTACTTTCTATGATTATTTAAACACCACTGACATACGGTGAAGGTAAACATCGTGAGGAAACCTGGACTTATAATTTCTAATTATAAGTTTGAAATCGCCAACCTGCATTGAGCAAACGTGGCGATTAATGCTCTAACCTTCTTCGTATGAGAAGAGGCCTTTGCTCAGCAGTGGGCACTTATTGACTGAGATGATGATGAAGTATAAAAACATTCTTCTTGCAGTCTCCCTCAGGATGTGATGTGGAATGAGCCGCCCGTCATCTGCCAATGGCACGACGCTCGCAAAATTTGGACGACAAATTATGTCAACGATTACAAGTTCAATGAAGATAAACTGACTATACAGTTCAGAACTGGAGTTCTTTGTGAGTTTATTTTACAAACTTTTGAGCATAAATCTTTTGTGGAATGGCAATAATTGGTTCCGCCTTTAGTTTTTGTCTGGGGAAAATCATCAAAATGACCTCTCCCGCCCAGGGTAAGGCGAGAGAGAGTGTCAGATTATTACTGACTAAACCCCCCCCCCCCTTGTTCCTACTCCTGCTCTGGGCCGAGGCCGCGGTGACTCATTGCTTTTAAGCCCGAACCCCGGCTGAACATCAGCCCTATAGGGCCCCGTCTGTGGTGGTCTTTTGGCACTTTGAGGCGCGCGCGGTACGCTACGCGCCGTCCGCTCGGGTCTGGATCTGGTCGGGCGGCGAACAACCCTTACTCGCCGACCGCAGACCCCGGCTTACGGTGGCCGGAGATCTCTCGATCCCCGACGACCGGATTGTCCCCTACTGCTCCGCCTCCTCCTGCCCATGATGGACACCTACAATATCATAGGAGTTACGAGTGCGTTGCTGACCTTTCGGGATTAAGGTTTGAGAGATTAAGGGATCGGGGAGGGATAAGGGAAAGGGCCTTCTCCGATTACCTCACTCACACATTGAAATATAACGTTGGTGTGGTTTCATGCTGATAATTCTGTGAGGCTGTGGTATCACTCCGTTCGAGTCGACCCATTCGTAGCTCTCCCACACTTTAAACCCAAACTCTAACTGACGACACGTTACAAGGCAGCCAGTTGCAGCTTCCACGTCAACTGTGCAGTCTTAGTTTTAATAGGTTGGACAGCAAACTGTGTCCTTTGGGTTGAGGAGATCATCAAATGACTTATCTCGACCATAGTAAGGCAAGAGTTGGGTGAGAGGCAGTGTCAGACTCCACTGACTAAAACTCCCGGACCTTCTCCTGCTCCAGGATGAGGCTGCGGTATCTTATTGCGCTTGTCCAGTGTAGGGGATACCTATATATACGTAAGTAGCTATTACGCTGAGTATGTAGTCGCAAATATACGGAGTTAACGTCATCATTTCGTAATCAACGTTTATCATTTCTCCCACCATCTACCCAACACCCCTATATATGGTGATCCCGACGTGATAGTTACGTGATAGATACGTGATACGTAATAGTTCGTTAGTGTTGGAGTAGATAAAAATAGTGGAAATGGATCCATCACCAGCTCAGCCCAAGGTCAAAGGGTAATCCACCTTAGCCAGCATAACTGTGTCATCGAGGAAACCCAGGTATTTTGGGCAGATCAACCGCGACTCTGGTTTGCCCAGTTCGAGGCCACCGTTGAAGGACAGCGATTAGGCGGCGCAAAGCAGAATTTAGTGATTACAAAATTGAACAACACCGCCATTCAACAAGTGAGCGACTTGTTACTTACTCTACCCAACACCCCCTTATCCAGCCCTGAAAACCTGGTGGTAAGCAATAAACGTCGCCAATGTCACCTTCAATACCGAAGATAATTAGATTAAATGCATAAGCGTTGGTTAATGCCGGTCTCCTGTGTGCATCACTTCAGTCGACATCTTTGTTTACAGGGCCCATTGGTATCGCGACATTGAGGTACAGCAATCTGCCGTATCAAGCATGGGACATCAAACCGGATCCAGACGGGTGAGAATTCTTGAATTTTTTTTATGTTGTAGAGCCGTAAACGAGCTTACTGAAAAACTGATGGTAAGCAATCAGCGCCGCCTATGGACATCCGCTACACCTTAGAAATTACGAATGCGTTTCTGGTAACCAAGGTTCTGGAAATTTAAAGATTTGAAAGGGATTGGGGGAGGTGAAAGATTATGTGTCGTGGTGGCCTCGAGGTTCGAACCCGGGCAAGTAAAGAAAGAAGAAAGAAAACACATTTCTTTGACAAATACCAATGTGACTTTTACCTATTTATATGTAGGTACTTTGTATGATTATTTAGACACCACTGACATATGGTGAAGGTAAACATCGTGAGGAAACCTAGACTCATAATTTCTTTAATTATAAGTTTGAAATCGCCAACCCGCATTGAGCAAGCAAGCGTGGCGATTAAAGCTCAAACCTTCTCCGTGTGAGAAGAGGCCTTTGCTCAGCAGTTTGCACTTATAGGCTGTTGATGATGATGAAAGAATAGACCTTCTTTAACCTCACTTACACGGCGAAACACAAAGCTGTGGTTGTTCCTCGTCGGTTTTCACGACACAGTTGAAAAACATAATGTAGGGTTTTAAAAAAAATACAAAAACCCCAACATCTTTCTGCTCATCAGACGCGGTGTGATCGTCACGGTGACCGGTCTTTGTGTCACCGTCACATTCGTCTGCATGAGTAACTGGGTGAAACTGAAGTCCATCACCAACGCGTCCACCGCAGCCCTGTCTGAACACTTCAACAAGCCTTACTCCGTGAAGCAATTGGTTCGGGTAATGTACCTACCATCCTTTGATTTAAAAAGAAAGGCGATTTTTAAGTATTTGGGAATATGCATAAAAAATATGATAATTTATGCTAACATATGCATATCATCATTAATGCCCGGTTCCTATATTTAACGAATCGTCATTGTATACGCATTACGACCAAATGACATTACGAATAGTTATCTTGACCGTCTACTGACGGTTAAAATATTTATAGGAACACCACAGACACCATAGATCTCCATACAATTCGCTTACCGACATCCGTTAGTTGCAAACCGTCAGTAAGTTGCACGACGAGACGTTTATTATAGGAACGGTTTTAGCTTACGAGTCGTATATAAAACTACTATTCGTAATTAAAACGGATCGTTTCTCAATTATAGGAACCGGGCGTAAAGAGATTTCTTTTGTATGTAGGTACTAATCTGATAGAAAATAAGAAAGAAAAGTGACTTTTTATGTGTTCAGTAAACGAGCATACGGATTACCTGATATAAGCAATCGGCGCCACCCATGGACACCGGACACCGGAAAAGTTACGCGTGCGTTACCACCGTTTTGGGGATTAGGGTTTTGGGATTGGGTAGGGATGGGGAGGGAAAGGATTGAGCCTCCAGCAACCTCTATTAATTCACGCCGGTTTTCTGTGAGCCTTGGTGTCACTCTTCTCCAGAAGGTCCGTTGAAGCCGAATCTTTACTACTCTTCCGACCACGCGACCAAAGAGGAGGACTAGTAGACAAAAACTTATACAATTATGGGTGGCGAAGGTTCATTGGAAGAGGCTTCAACGAAGCTTTACTGCTCCTCCATTACGACTAATTTCTTTAAAATAATATAGCAGGCGTGTAGGCCAATTTAAATTTATTCCGTCGTTTATCAAATTATCTGGAAATATAACCAGATGAGCGCGATTTCTTCGGATATCTTTTCTCCTCGTCAGAAAAATCGAAATCTCTCCATGGCGTTTAATGTTTAATAGAACACTTTTACATTTTTATTTTTCTAATGGTAACTCCATTTCAATATTGTCGACTATATTGCTAGTGTCTAGTACGGACGGCAGATTATAGACTCTTCGAATTTTAACTTCATGGCAGTTTGTCGTAAGTAGGTAGGAATAAAGCGTTTTCTTTACCACTGCGAACGAAATTACACATTTTTTTTTTTTTTTTGTATAACGCAGTTTCTTGTCGCGCTTTCCGAAAGGGGGCTACACGAAAAACTCTCCCTCTCTCTTTCCCTTTCCCCCATATCCTCCTCTCTCTCTATCATAAAAAGTAAGCAAGCTATTTTATTTTCATTTTGTCTTTGTATTTCGTATTGATGCAATGTGGTGATGCACTTTTTACTGGCTGCCGAGTGAACAATACTTTCTGTGATGTACAAATTGTTGTTCCGTGTCTAGGTGGTTTGTGTATGTGATTTTTTTGTTTGTGAACGCACCCACGACACAGGCGAAAAATCCTAGAGTGCAACGTTTTTTTCCTCCATAGATAATGCGCGAAGCTGCCTGCGACTTCTTTCCAGACTTCGACGCTCACAACCACGTTAAGGGGTCGGCTCCCAAAGAATGGGTGGTGGAGAGGCACACGTACCATGCCATGGCGTTCCTGTCCAAGGCATACAACTTCCAGTCTAGCAGGTAAGGAAACTTAATAAGGTAGCTGACTCGACAAACTCTGTATCGCTTCAAAATATTTAACTATGTGTAATAGACACTAGAGTCACTATTCTCAGGTTTAGGTATAATGCGTGGGTTTTCGATGGATCGGAGATGGAAGGAAACGAATCTATTGTTACGAAAGTCTGTGTATATTATAGTAAAAGCAAATAGAGTAAAGTTTGGTGATATAACATAAAACTAAATACAAAACACAAAAACTGGGAGCGAGCGAGAGCCGCGATAGACGTATAATAAAACATGTGCTGTGCACTGCGGCGTCGGCGCGACTACGCAGCGTTGCGTACCTACATGACCGGCGGCGGCCGGCGCTGGCGCGTTGCGCGCGCAGCCGTTTCTAACCGTGCGCCGCGCCTGTACATTGTACACGCTCCGCAAACCCTCTCAACGACCGCGCGCTATATATGTTATTTTATTACGGCACGGCAAACGAGCAGACAGATTACCTGATGGTAAGCAATCAGACTGCACGGTTGGTGCGGTGGCTGGGCAACTGGCTGCCGTGCATCGTGTCGCGGGTTCGATTCCCGCACGGGTTTGGGTGTCATGTCCATGTGAAATTGTATCCTAGTTTTTTTTTTAATAAACGCCACATGGGATTTCCCCAGTGTCGTGGGTGCGTTTACAAACATACAATTGCACATACACATGACACCCAGACTCGGAACAAGTTGTTCCGTGCGGGAATCGAAACCGCGACACGATGCACGGCAGCCAGTTGCCCAGCCAACGCACCAACCGTGCAGTCTAAAAAGTGTGGGATAAAGATTAAAAAAAAAACAGCGCCCCTCATTGATTGATACCCGCAAAAATGTTGCCGACCTTTTGGGAATTGGGGTTTGTAGGATTTATTAGGGATTGGAGGAGATAAGGGTTTGGGCTTCCACGCTCACAGGGTGAAACACAACGCTATGTTTGTTTTACGCCGGTTTTAAGTGAGAGCGTGGTATCACTCCAGTCGATCCCACCCATTTGAACCCAAGCATGGCTCTTCCACGCTTGGGCCTTTTAAACTGTGATCTCTTGCGTCAGCCATACCCCTTTTAATTAAGTGTGGGAGAGCCATGCTTCGGCACGAATGGGTCGGCTCGACCGGAGTGATACCACGACCTCACAGCAAACCGGCGTGAAATAACCTCTGCGTTGTGTTTCGCCGTGTGAGTGAGGTTACCGGAGGCCCAATCCTTCCCCTTCCCCAATCCCTAAATCTCCAAAAGGTCGGCAACGCACTCGTAACTCCTCCGTTGCGAGTGTCCATGGACGGCGCTGATTGCTTACCATCAGGTAATCCGTCTGCTCGTTTGCCGAGCTATTACAAAAAAAAAAAATTGCTATTTGGGTCTTATAAGGCGTACAGGTACTATTTTTTATATCTTCAGGTGGAATCAAGGAGGTGGTTACCGGAATATCATCCTGCAATGCAGAGAAGCTGTCGATAAGAAAAGATCGGTACGTTACATATATATGTATAACTCTTCATTACATAGTATAAAACAAAGTCGCTTTCTCTGTCCCTATGTCCTTATGTATGCTTTAATCTTTAAAACAATGCAATTGATTTTGGTGCGGTTTTTTTTAATAGGCATAGTGATTAAAGAGAAACTTTTTGTGTAGAAAAACATTTATTACATCCCATCCTCAGCCTGATAGTGCTCACTGCTGAGCAAAGGCTTCTGCTCACACGGAGAAGGTTTGAGCATTCACAAGCTTTGTTTTTATAATAACTATCGTGAGACATACTAAATTAACTAAAAATCGCGGGTTACTCACGTGTATAAATTGAGAAAAGCTCTACTAGTTTCGAACCACAGAGGGGTTCTTCCTCACGAGTAGCGTGCGCGGCCGCGGCGAGTGTGTAACCCGCGATTTTTAGTTAATTCACAAGCTTGCTCAAGGTGGATTGGCGATTTCAAACTTATAATTAGAAATTTTTAAGTCCAGGATACCTCACGATGTTTAACTTCACCGTTTGTCAATGGTGCCTTAATAATCATAGAAATTACATACCTATGATTCGAAAAAAGTCACATTGGTACTTGCCAAGTTTCGAAACCGCACCCTCATGCATAAGAAGCGTGCGGGTTCAAAACGCCTTAACCTCCGGACCAACACGACAACATCTTATAAAAAGTAGAAAAATGTAGTATCAGTATTGAAACCACACGGAGTCTCAGCCGGGGTTGCGGGGTAAGCGCAATGAGGCACCGCGGCCTCGGCCTAGAGCAGGAGAAGGAACAGGGGGCTTTTTAGTCAGTAAGAGTCTGACACAGTCCCGCCTTACCTTGGGCGAGAGAAGTTATTTGATGATTTTCCCCTCCCAAAAAAGATTCATACGAAGTCGGGGCGGGTCGTAGTTACTTAATATTTTTTTGCTTGGACTTCGTTGCAGAAAAGACTTGATGTATTGTATTGATATGTTGACAGTCAAAACTACAGCTGATGCTGGTAAACCCTGAACGAGCAGTTCTACTGAAATGCACGGAACAAGCAAACGAAATCAACTACGATTCACAGCCAGGACTGAAGGTTTGTATATTATTTTTATAGTGTGGGCCAGCAAACGGATTACCTGATGGTAAGCAATCAGCGACGCCCATGGACACCAGCAACACCAGAGTGCGTTGCCGGCCTTTAAGGGTAAGGGTATTGGATATTTAAGGATTGGGTAGGGATGGGGGAGGGGCAGGGATTGGGCCACCAGTGCTCTCATTCACACGACGAAACATAACGCAGTGGTTATTTCACGCTGGTTTTCGGTAAGGCCGTGGTATTACTCCGGTCGAGCCGACCCATTCGTGCCGAAGCTTGACTCTCCCACACTTATTTTGTAATGTTATCCAACTAATGTTGTAAATGTGAAAATTTGTGAGAACCTATGGATGTCTGATTATTATTCTTTCACACCACAACCGTTGGACGCCAAACACCAATCAAGTCTGTAGATAGGTCGAGAGATGATCTCAGGCCACCTAGAGCGCGGGTCTGCGGACGGCGAGTAAGGGTAGCTCGCCGCCCGACCAGAACCAGACCCGAGCTTACGGCGCGTAGAGTTTCGCGCGCGCCTCATGTAGCCAATGGACCACCACAGACGGGGCCCTATAGGGCTGATGTTCAGCCAGAGCAGGAGAAGGAACGGGGGGGTTTTTAGTCAGTAAGAGTCTGACACTCTCTCCCGCCTAACTAACCCTGGGCGGGAGAATTCATTTGATGATTTTCCCCTGACAAAAAAAAAGATAGATGATAGGTCAACATATCACGCGGGTGAAGCCATAGGTAGTAGCTTGGACTCCCAATTTCCCTTGGTCTTGCCATCGTGAACGTCTAAACCGATTTCGATAATTCTTTTTATACTGCGGAATAGTAAGTGTGGGAGAGCCAAGCTTCAGCACGAATGGGTCGGCTCGACCGGAGTGATACCACGGCCTCACAGAATACCGAAGTGAAACAACAACAGCGTGGAGTTTCGCCGTGTGAGTGAGGTTACCGGACGCCCAATTCTACCCTCCCCCGATCCCTCCCAATCCCTAAACCACTAAAACCCTAATCCCTAAAAGGTCGACAACGCACTCGCAACTTCTCCGTTGCGGGTGTCCACTGGCGGCCCTGATTACTTACAATTAGGTAATTCGTCAGCTCGTTTGCCAACCTATTCCATAAAAAAAAGAATACTGCGTTAACTAAGATCAGGAGAAGGTTGTTTTAAAAGAAAATTGTTAAAAAATAGAGGGAGAAAATCTATTAAGTGTTGGTTAAAACTAATGTTTTTGTTTCAGTTCTTCCCTGGACTATTCACGTTCAATATGCTCTACGGATCCGTCGACGCTCGTCGAATAACTTTCAATATGAAATACAAACTAGTGGAGACTGTTTTCGAACTTTTACAAGAAATTAAACCGTGTAGCTACTCGTAAAATTAATTTAAGTCTATAATTGTCAACCGGACCCCATTTAAAGCAGGCCCATTAGGGATCCACGTGACTTTGTCCGGGCCCCTGACTCGGGGGGCCCAGTCAAAGTTGCTTACAATTTTTTCTTCGGTCTTAATCATTAATTAACTTTTCTAAAATGATAGAAATAAACCTCATGTACTAAAAATATGCATAAGTAGATTACTATAAATTGTATATGAAATATCATTTTTATTTGCAGATACAAAAGATTATGTTATATTGTGAATAAAAATTGAAATACATAGTATTTACATATTATGAGAACTATTAAGTAAGTGCTTGTTTTATTTAAAAAAAAATCTACCGAGGTTATTGTTTATTTATTTATTTCAGCTTTTGCACAAACATTAATGTACAAGGTGGACTTAATGCCATAGGCATTCTCTATCAGTCGAACCATTGGGTGATGTAGAGGAGTAAACGGCAGGTCTAAGAAGCAAGCAAAATCGAGATATTAACAATAATATTTTATATTGAAGATATATGTTTTATCAGACTAGCTCTGCAGTCTATCAATTTTTTTTTTATATTTGCTATCTGTTTGGCCAATATCTCGCCTGATATAAACGATGATGCGACCTACGATGGAGCTCGACTACCCATAAGCTTACCTATTCACTCGATCCTTGAAGACAGCCTGGGAAAACAGATTCTTGCATAGAATACCCGAATGGTCCCATAAACTCATTTCAAACCTAACCCCCGCTAGAGCCAATCCAGAAATGTGTGTCTTGCCATAAGGGATGTCAGTTTGTTTTTAGCGTCGCGTTTCGATGTGAAGTGACTATTTTTGAGGGAAGGAAATCAAAGTTTTCTCTCGAAGGGCGAGAGGGAGTGTGTGCCCCTTACTGAACTTAAAACCACCCCGTTCTTTATTCTCCGACCTGAACGTGAACGTTTGAACATTTCTTCTAAAGTCTGTGGATTAAAAAAAGTTCCGCCAGGACAACGTTCGCCCAGCGGAGTCAGATTTTGGTTAATTTCTCCATAATGGCTGCATACACAAATTTTTACCACACACAATTATAGGACGTCATACACTAATTATCTGCATAATTAAATCTTTAAATTCAACATTCCGCTGCGCAAACGCACACGACCTGAACCTCGAATGACCTCATGTGTGGTGGTCTATTGCTATGGCTCTTTGAAGCATTTAAATTTAGGATCAACGCATCAGACCGGTGTGGATTTTTATGTGATAGTTCGGAATACGAGCAGACGGATTACCTGGTGGTAAGTAATCAGCGCCGCCCATGGATACTCTCAACAATTGAGGAGTTACGAGTGCGTTGCTTACTTTTTGGGGTATAGGGATTTGGAGATTTTAGGATTGGGTCTCCGGTAATCTCACTCACACGACGCTGTGGTTGTTTCACGAAGGTTTTCTATGAGGCCGTGGTATCACTCCGGTCGAGCCGACCCATTCGTGCCGAAGCATGGCTTTCCCACACTAACAACCGGTTTCCGAAAGGCCGATCAATGTTAAAATCAATTTAATCTCTTGTCAAGTCATCTGATTGGTTGACTGAATTATCAACAACCAATCAGATAACTTGGCAAGAGATTTAACAGGAGATTAGTTAATTTTAGCGTTGACAAGCCTTTCAGAAACCGGGTGTAAGTGTTAGTTGTGTTTAAGATTTAAGTCTTTTGTTAGATTTTAATGGACCCTTCATCAACTCTTACCTTAGGACACCCGCTGGAAGTGTTATGGCATATATTCCATTCGAGAGGTAAATAAAACAAAAATTATTTCTATAAACAATTTATACTATTTTTATTTATCGGATAAAAAATAACTAAAAACTACTTGTAGTAAAAAAAAGAATACAACACGACCATTCCTATCAAATCATGGAAATCTTAATGTTTTTTACAAAAAACAAAATAATAATAATAATTTGGTTTTTTTTCCAATTTTTTTCACGATTTTTTTTTTTGTTGTTTTTCATTTTTTTTCTCTCTGTATTTTTATTGGCAGTTTGGTATTTACAAATTTATATAATAATCTATACTTTTACAGTAATTGCTTCACCTTTGAGTGCGAAAAACATCGATAAAACTTATCGATAATCAGAACATTTCATTTACGTCAAAATGAGGATACATCGACACAATAGTGATGTACTTAGTCGATAAAATGTCAAAGCCGTCGATATCGATTTAAAAATATATAACAATCGACAGTGTTAGTAGCCAATATTAATTAATCTATTTATTGCTTATATTAAAGAGCGCACACAAAAGTCAAGCTTTCTATTTTGCATTAATGTCAAAGACTCATTTTTTCGATAAAAAATATTCATTGAGTCTATATTTTTGGGCCAAAACAACTTAAATACTTAACTTTCTAATGTGGCTTGGGGTACAAAGCTGCGTTAGATTGAGATAACAACTTTTATAAGTAATTAATGTGATGGAATTATTCCTACCCAAATCTCAAGCCACGGCTAATTAATATTAACTAATAAAGAATCCCAAAGTCACATTAAATAAAAACAAATGTTTAAATGTGATTTTGCATTAATTAAATTTTAATTGGGGACTGACTTTTTATCACAAGCGTTATTAAAACAAATAAAAATCGCTTAAAATATATTTTAACTTGAATACACGAATCACAGTCGATAAAAAAAACGAATCCAATTTCTTAAAAGTCAATCCCCATATCGACTTGAAGTTGGCAACGCGTTATTGTAATAAGAATAAATGTGAAGTTAGTCGCAATTGCCAACTTCAAGATTAAAATAGAGAAAGGGTTCACCGGTACCGTGTTAACATTTCATTTTTACAATTCAAAAATAATGTCAAGTTTTTCAATTAATTATTTTGACATTATACGAAAAGGTTTATGACAGAAATTAGGGTCAAGTTGTCAAAATTATTAATAAACCCCCCACCTAAATGACCCCTCTAATTAACCCCCATATAAAATTGACACCTAATCCCTCTCATAGATTTTAATAAATTAATGGAATTCATGGAAAAACCCTTTCTCTTTTTCATTAATTATTATAATTAATAATTATTATTATATTATAAATGTATAATATGCTCCATGAATTTTTATGGATTCTAAAACATATGATTTCCATATTTTTAAATTCAATGGATTGGTAGAACAATATTGTAGAGCCCTCTGAATGATAAAAAGCAGGATATTTGCTTTTAAAATTAATAATTTCTACTCTATATGAAAGATAAACCATTTAGTATCTTTACTTATTATATTTACAAGGATAAATGATTAAAAGATAAAAGATATTTACGTTTACAGGTGACCGTTAGTTACTTTCTTTTTAACAAAGAAAAGATATACGAAAAGAAAAATTATAAATACCATAATTATATAATAATAGTAATAATTATCTACACAATTATTGCGTACAAGTGCTTATTTTTTTTCAATTTTAAATTACATTTTTTTTACTAAAAATTGCCTTGTTCCAATTGATTTAATGTCAATGTTTTGGGGGTCGACCCCCATACATTTTTGGGGTGATTTTGTGAGCATTTACCCTAATTGGGGGTGAAATTTTAAGTGGTTTAAACACCCCCTAGTACTAAGCGTACATCGAGTGCATAAAATTTTATAAATACTTACATAAACATACAGATACAGACATTTATTAAATCAAAATTTCTAATTTTCCATTCATTTCATTATCGAACTGTTTTCTTTGAAATCAAATGCTTTATTTTTTGAAATTCAGACACGAATAACTCCAATGTAATAAGCTTTTAAGAATACTTTTTGAATTTACAAGCGGACGACAGAAAATTATGGTGATATTAGTTTTAAAAAAAGAACCGTATAGCGGTTTTTTGTAGGCGAAAAAAATTGTTTTTTTTTTAATATTTTCTGCTTTTAAATACCATTTATTGTATAGGGATAAACAGAGGTCGATAAATTCAATATAAAACCTATTTTCCCACAATTATGTCAATCACGAGTCCTTTGTCCTACGAATTTATTGTTATTCTAAGACTGTGTGTGAAATTACTAAGAATTATCAAAAAACAAAACTATAGCTCATTTAACTATTAGGATAAAGAATAAGATTTTCGGTAGTAGTAATTTTTTTGCTGAATTCTCAACTTGACCCAAATATTAACTGATAGGGAATGTGATATGGTATTAAGTCGGCTTTATGTACCATTTTTTTTTTAATTTTGTCTACGTAGGTCTTAATAAAAAACACTAAGAGGGTAAGCCTATAATTTCAGTTACTTATTGATAAGAAAAAATACAGTTCGATTACCATACTCATACAACATTATTTGTAATCAATAAAAATATTGTATGCCCTTATCCATACCATTTTATGTATCATTTTTCGATATCTTCCATCTTTACACACAAAGAAAATATTTTTTGAAGATGTTTTTTTAAAAAAAAAAGCTTGGATATTTCAGCTATGTTTTATACATTTATATGGAAAAGAGATTTAAGATATATATATAATCTTATCAGAAGTTATTCAGGGTGACTATGGTAGCTATCTCGTTTCTTCTATACTAATATTATAGAGAGGTAAAATTTGTAAGTTTGTATGTAGGGTGAAATGTTTGGAACCGCTGGTCGGATTTCCAAAATTCTTTCACTGGTAGATAGCTACAAAGTTCCTGTGTGCTATAGGCTATAAATCATCACGCTACGATCAAATGGAGCAGAGCAGGGGGTGAAACCGCGCAAGAGTTTTATATAAAGTTGACTTGTAAAAGTACCGTATAATGTCTGCCTCGGTGAGAGAAGTCATTTGATGATGATTGATTGATTGATTGATTGATGATTTTTGATGATTTTACCTAAACAGCTGGACGCTCGCCATTTTAGCCAATTTTAATACAAGATAGACAAGAATTTGAAGATAAGTTATAATCATTTCGGATGCTAAGAAACTTTTAGATTAGGTTAGGTAATGTAGTTTCGGGTCTCGGAAACTAATCCGGAATTTGAAGAAGAGGTTTCGAATCCCGTTTATGATATTTGTTATAACAATATTTTGTAATCAATATACATATACAATACTACAAAACTTATGAGTGGACGCTAAAGTCCAGTCACAGGTATAAGTTACTATTAGTTCGATTTCGCATCGATAGAGGCGCCCATGGGGTGCAAGGTGCCAAAACTATGAACTGATCAAATCAATTATTCTTACAAACATCAGACCCAGACCCGGAAAAACTTGGATGAACACATATTATTGTTCCGTGCGGGAATCGAACCCGCTACACATTGCGACAGTCGGTGTCCCAACAGCTCCGCTATCTGTGCAGTAAAATTTTGTGAAAGCTTTAAATAAAAATATTTGACATAACCTTACGCCTCATGAGCGCCATCTATTGAGGATTGTAAAAAAATATTGTTTACTCTTGATTAGCTTGTCATAAATATTATGTGAGGAATAAAATTGTCTTTTGCAAGTAAATTGTATTGTACTAGCTTATTCCCGCAACTTTGTCCTCGTAATTGATAATCGCTATCGCGTGGAAACGCTTTATTCTTTCGAGAAAAAAGATTCTTTCTAAAATGAAAGCAGTTAATGCTTTTTACATTAGTTACCTACCAATAAAATTCCGGTCAAAATCGGACCAGCTATTCCAAAGGTTAGCCGGAACAGGCAGACAGATAGAAATTGTAGTGTTATTTTTGTGTATTATATATATTTAAAATCGGTTATTACAATACTACAAACAGAGACTCCGATTTTATGAATACGCATATATTGTGTTGAAATATAGATATGGATCTGTATGTCTTAAGGCATTTTTTGCATATAAATGTATAAAAAATTGCTGCTGCATTTACTATGATTTTGAAAAATATTCGCTGTTTAATAACTAAGCAAAGGTACTTGAGATTTTGTGAAAATAATTCTTGAAGTCTGCTTTTATAAAGAAAAAGACTTACTTCACAAATAGGATTCATCACTCAAAATTAAAAAAATATATCTCACAATTAAACGCAATTTTTCAATGGTGAGATAAAAATTACCTGGGGAATAATTATGATGCTGTCGCGTCAGAATGTTTGTATAAGACAGTGACAGCAACAATTTTATTCCACAGATAACATTTATTATCTGAATATTGAAAAATCGACCCTAAGTGTCTAATAATTTATCTGCTAGATAGTTCTATCTAGGACTGTGAAATTTTAAAACTAGCGTGAACTCAGGCGAAGATCGATTTAAAATGTTTGATAGCAAGCCATAAAGGCAGGTCTAGCTTTTCTATACTTCTATTGTTAGTACATCTAGCGGGTACTTGTCTGTGTTTCTATATTTCTGTTTCGCTGACATTCAGAATAGGGATGTCTCCTGGGTTAAAACAACAATATTCTAATTAGTCCGTCAGTTAGATTATAGAAAAATACTCGATACGTATTTTTTTATTTGTCCATACGAATAATATTGACAAAGATACAGGACATTCAAATTCAGGAGTAGAGGCTCGTGACGTCACTCTTTCGTAACAATTTTACGAAATAATGACGTCGCGCGAGCTTTCGCCGCTCTGTAACTTTGTTATTTTAAGTTTTAGAAGCAAAAGAAAAAGTACGTATCAACTATTTTCTGGCGTTTTAAAAGATGGACTAATTATTATTTTTTTAGTCACCATCCCTATTGTAAATAGAGTAAGAGATCCACTCGACGGAGAAGCGATGTTTTATGTGATGGATCGGCAAACGAGCAGACGGATTACCTGATGGTAAGCAATCAGCGCCCATGGACACCCGCAAAACCAGAAGAGTTACGAGTGCGTTGCCTGAGATTAGGGGTTTGGAGGAGGGAAAAGATTGGACCTCCAGTAACTTCGCTCATAAGGCGAAACAGAACACTGGTTGTTTCATGCCGGTTTTCTATGAGGCCGTGGTATAATTCCGTAGTATAGAACTTTTATCGGTTAACTCAAATAAGAAGTTATTTTCAATTAAAAAAAAAATTGTCGCGATCTACAGGGAATTCGACCCTCATGGTTTGTTAAAAAACATTTCAAATCGATCTTCGTCTAAATAAAGAATTAGTTTATCAATTTATTTCATCATAGTTTTATGTAGTTATGCACTAGATGTTCCAATCTGTTTCTTTTGAAGCTTTTTATTGTGAGATCAGGCGTTTTCCCTGAAGGGGGTAAACTTAGGTGCTGATTCTATATAGGAACTTATTATTAATATACTCCGTAAAAAATCACAATTAGAATTTAGAAAAAAAAAAAACACTTTTTTTAATAAACTTTGCCACACACAAGGATTGTCTCCTATGTCGTGGGTGAGTTAAAAACATACAATTTCTTTCACATACACACAACACCCAGACCCGCAACAACACAAAGAGTAGTTCTGTGCGGGAATCGATCCCGCAACACTTTGCACGGCAGTCAGTTGCCCGCCACCGCGCCATTCGTGCAGTCAGCTTTTATTTTTTAATATTTTTAATCTGTCTCTCAAATCGACATCTTTTTTATCTGTGTAACGGTCGATATTTAAAAAGAAAACACAGAAAGGAACATTAAGGCATACCCACTATAACAAAACAACAAAAATACAATGAAAAACAAGCATTTAAACAATAAATGTGTTATTATTGATATATTTACAATCAACGGTCGTCATCTTGATTTTATATATAATCAAATTAAAAAAAAAACCTGAAGTACTCCACTTCCTTTATCCAGTACCTAAGTCTTTTCATATAAGACTCCTGAAATACGTCTTGGATCAGCTGTATTTTCGTGAAAATACTATAGTCTGTAAACATTGTCGAAATGTTTGAAAAATCGATTGAATATCAACATAGGTGTTTAAGCAATTGTTCTGTGACCTCAGATTTCGATATATCCGCGAATTCAGCCGTCTTACCCCGCTGTAGGATTTCTATAGTGCTCCTAGAATCTAACTGTTTCATATGAAGCAGTAATTTGTTGCTTGATATTGGCTGTAAAGGCCTGGCAACATTCAGGGTTGTGTTTTTCAGCGCTCTGGCCAACGTTTTGAGGAATTTCGACCATTGCCGCTCGTTAGATGTCGCTTCGGGCGTGTTCACTAATATGGCGGCTTTCTCCATTAGTGCGCAAACGCAGCTTAAGGTGAACTGGAAGGGAGAAATGATTTTTTTGTTAGTTTTTGTGTGGTAATGAGGTAGGGAGATGATTTTGTTACTTGGATTTTAGATGGACTAGTCTTGGCAATACTAACATTTCGCGAGAAATACGGTATTTTCCAACTAGATTCAAATTTAATACTTTTATTTAAACGTCTAAAACCATACATCTTTATTAACTTTGTATGACCTCGCAACGTATGACGTCATCGTGTTTTTACGATCATCAATTACACCATACTTAAGTTTCAGAATAATTTGCAATAAAAATAAAAGTATTATTATATTCAAATAAATTAATAAAAGTATGATTACGTTTTAATAATTCATTGTTTTGGATAGTTATAACAAATTAATTTTGATCTAGGAAACTACCCAATAATCAAAACGATAGTTTTACATGAATTTACTAGAGAATTGTGTGTTGTAACAGGTTTTTTTAGTTTCAAACGACACATAGGTTTATTGAAGATTAGCTAAGAAAAGATCCTTATATTAATTATATAGTAAAATCAGTGAATATGAGTGTTATTTCTGAATATTTTATAATATAAATAAGACTAAATGTGGATGGATGGAAAGGGAGAGGGAGAGGGAGACCAAAGAAAATATGGATGGATTGTGTGAGAAGTAATATGGAAGACAGAGGAGTTAGAGATAGCGTGACGAGTGACAGGACAGAATGGAAGAAAAAAACATATTGCGCCGACCCCAAATAAAAGGGACAAGGACAGGAAGATGATGATGATAAATAAGACTAACACCCGGTTTCTGAAAAGCTTGTCAACTCTAAAATTAACTAATCTCCTGTTAAATCTCTTCTCAAGTCATCTGATTGGTTGTTGATAATTCAGTCAACCAATCAGATGACTTGACAAGAGATTAAATTGATTTTAACATTAATCGGCCTTTAGGAAACCGGGTGTAAGTCAGTCAGGTTAGTGTACAATGAACAGATTCAATTGGGTAGTTTCCTAGGTCAAAAATAAATTAATTCGATGTTTCAATACAATAAAATATTGAAAAATAACTGTACGATCGATTCATCAATCGATCGATACACCAAGTTTTAGATTTTTTTAGCTAATTATTGTGAAATAAGTAAGCTATTTGACGCAAAAATGTTATGACGTCATAGCTCAGTTTTTCATACAGATTTTATAGAAAGGTATCGTTTTTGATGTTTGGATAAAAGTATTGAATTTGACTAGTTGGAAACTACCGTATTCCCAGGTCGGAAAAAGTACTTACAGGTGTAGTCAGAGCGTAGGGCGTCCTCGCAGGATCGAAGGCTTCAGCCAGCAAGCTGCAAGACTCCAGGATGGGTGACCAGCCTGACGTGGACTGTATGTAACTGGGAAATAATAAATACATTGTTTTATTACGGCGTTATATTTTTGAGTTAGGTATTTCAGGATAGGGGTTATGGGGATTCATGGTTGGATCAATAACTTATATATAAAAATGGATCGCAAAATGTGTTGGTAAGCGCATAACTCAACAACGCCTGGACCAATGTTGCTAATTCTTTTTTTGTTGTGTTTGTTATTGTCAGGAGAAGGTTCTTATCAAGGAAAATATTAGAAAAGTATAGAGGAAGATTAGGGAAAAGTGACCCATTGATAGCGAGATAGTTGGACCAGTAGTGCGAAGCGGGGGTAGGCCGCTAGTATAATTATAATTAATCAAAATTTTGACTAAACGCAGTGGCTAGGCAACTGGCTGGTGTGCAACGTGTCGCGAGTTCGATTTCCCGCACGGAACAACACTTTGTGTGATTCACAAAATGTTGTTTCGTGTCTATATGGCTTGTGTATATAAATACGTATGTTTATAAACGCACCCACGACATAAGAGAAAATCCTAGTGTGGGGCAACGTTTCTTATGTAAACTAATATTATAAAGAGGTAAAATTTGTATGTAGGGGGTAATCTTTGGAACCGCTGGTCGGATTACCAAAATTCTTTCACTGATAGATAGCTACAATATTCTTGAGTGCTATAGGCTATAAAACATCACGCTACGATTAAATGGAGCCGAGCAGCGGGTGAAACCGCGCGGGAATAGCTAGTTTCAAATAAGTAACGGCTTCGCCGTGTTAGTGAGGTTCTTCCCATCCTCAAACCTTAAATACCAAATAACCTACAAGAGGCAGGCAACGCGCTTGTAACAACTCCTTAAGTACTACGAGTGTCCATTGAGGGCGGCGCTGATTGCTTACCATCAGGTAATCCGTCTTTTGTTGGCAGCACCACAATTTGGATATTTAAGGATTGGGACGGGAGGGGGAGTGGGATGGATTGGGCCTCTGGTAACCTCACTCACACGGCAAAACACAACGCTGTCTGCTCGTTTGGCGACCTATGACATGAAAATAAAGTTAGTTAGAAAGGTATACTGACTTGCGGTAGTGGGGGGCTAGTGGCCCTAGGTAGTTGGGGTCCCGGCGGGCGGCGGCGGGCAGGCCGCGGAGCAACTTCCCCCACAGGGAGCGCAGGCGGACGTGAGACGCGGGGACTCGACCCACGAACCGGGATATCAAGGTCTGAGGAGGAAATCATATTATTATCATAATTTTCATTATCAGCCTATAAGTGCTCACTGCTGAGCAAAGGCTTCTTCTCACACGGGGAGAAGGTTTGAGCATTAATCACCACGCTTGCTCAAGGCGGATTGGCGATTTGAAACTTATAATTAGAAATTATAAGTCCAGGTTTCCTCACCATGTTTTCCTTCACCGTATGTCAGTGGTGTCTAGATAGTCATAGAATGTACATGTAACTCGGAAAAAGTCACATTGGTACTTTCCAGGTTTCGAACCCGCACCCTCATGCATTATTAGCATAGCCCTTATGCATTAGAAGCGGCGCCTTAACCTCCGGGTCACCACGACATATTTTTAGCAGCAGTAGTTTATTACCGGCATTTTTCCACCACCATATTGCCTAAGAACTGTTCAGATCTCACAAGTTTCCCTAAAAGTAGTGATTTCAAAGGTTGGAAGTTCAAACCATCGTAAAACCAGCCAGGAGCGTATCGGGCTACGCTGACTGTAGGGTTCTGTAGTTGCTCGTCTGTCACAATAAGAGTGCAGTTCCATTGAGGCGGAGCGGAGCAGAGCGCACAGAGTAGAGAAAAGCTGTGCCGCGATTCACCAATCCCATGGCTTGAAATCCACGTCTGTGGATCTATTTCTAATGTGAACTGCACCCTGAGTATCCCCAATTAAAGAGTTATTTCAAATCTTAACACCGCAATCCAGCGTAAGCAGCAAAAGTACAACGCCATCTCTTAGGGAATCGAGTTACTAACTTATACAAACTCTTTTTATTTAACAACTTTGTCGGCGTGATTGATATAATTATGTACACATTGGTGCCAAATTTCAGCTTTCTAGTACTAACGATCACGGACAGACAGACAGACAGACAGTCATGGCGAAACAATAAGGCTACCTACTTTACTATGGAACCATAAAAAGCAAGATGGACGACATATCACAAATTCAACCGACCTGAAATTCTTTCTCGAAAACGTTGCTAGCTCCCATACTATAAAAGTAATGATTTCAAAGTTCAAATCACCATAAAATTGTTATAATAAAAGGTTTCCTTACCCGTCCTTTCCTAACAGTAAGCATCTGCTGTATTCTGTCACTATGCAGTAAGCCGGCAAACATTTTGTTCACCAACTCATCCTTATCTTCGTCCAGTAAGTTCTTCGAGGGAGCCGGCTTCTGATTCACTGCTAGGTTTACCACCTGGGGAGAAAAGGAAACATTTTATCTAAATACTAGCGGCCCGCCCCCGCTTCACACGGGTCTAACTATCTCGCTATCAAAAGGTTACTTTTTCCTAATCTTCCCCTCTACTTTTCTAATATTTTCTTTGATAAGAACCTTCTTCTGACAATAACAAACACAACAAAAAAAGAATTAGCAAAATTGGTCCAGGCGTTGTTGAGTTACGCGCTTACCAACACATTTTGCGATCCATTTTTATATATAAAAGGAGAAAGTCAAATCAAATCAAATAATTTATTTGTTAACATAGATAAATAAAATACAGATATTATAATGTTGTTGACACAGAGCGCTATGTTATGCCAGGAGGCGTACAAATTTAATATGGTGTGATAACCTACATAATTGAGAAATATGATAAAAAAATTCGAAGTAATAGAAAAACAAATTACATGTCAGTTATCAATAACTCCCGAATTCCAGATAAATTATAAAAATTAAAATAGATTCCATTATCGAAAGAAATAAGATAACATTAGAGACTTGTTTAACAAAAATAGAATGTCAGAAGTGACTGACTGACTGACATATCCACGCACAGCCTAAACGGTTAAACATAGGCACTTTTATAGGAAATTTGGAAGGGACGTAGCTTTAGTACCATAGAGGTGCACTAAGAAAGGAAAAACCTTTTGTATGAAAAATGTAAACCGCTATCGATTTTAACGGGTTTTAAAAACAAAAGTCTTTAAAAAAAATCACGTTAAAGGATCTGCCATCTCACGGCGAAAGTTTTCGAAAACCCTTATTGAGAAATAAAACGTCCTTCCATACTTTCGCGTTTCTTATTTTAGAAGGATGGAGATTTAATGAGTATTTTTTGTGTAAAAAAGTATCAAGAATAAGCAGAAAATTTATGTAACTATCAAAAAAAAATTCAAAAACTGACCTGTCGTTTATCTATACTCTCGCTTTTAGGACTGTCCTGCTTAGGCCTTCGCTGCACGGACTCAATGTTCTTCAGGAACAAATTGGCAACTTCTTGCTGTTCACTCTCTTCCTTCTGCGCTGCTTCCAACTGCTTCTGTTTCTCTTCTCTCTCCTGGAAGGGAGAAGGATTAAATAATCATCATCATCATCATCAGCCTATAAGTGCCCACTGAGCAAATACCTCTTCTCACATGGAAAAATTTCGAGTATTAACCGTCATGCTTGCTCAAGATATTTAACTTAAAAAAGGAGTTAATAGTTAAAAATCTTATATCTTAGGTATAAGTTAAAAATCTAACTAAACAATCAGCGCCGGCCACAGACACCCGTTCCCAGCCGTTTGGGTATTAGGTTTTCAGAGATTCAGGGATGGAGGGGGAGGGGAAGAAGGAATGGACCTCCGATAACCTCACTCACACGGTGAAACACAACGCTGTGGTTATTTCACGCCGGTTTTCTGTGAGGCCGTGGTATCGCTCTGGTCCAAGCCGACCCATTCGTGCCGTAGCATGGCTCTCCCACACTTATGATTATAATGGCGATGATTAGTAAAATAAATAAAATAATTACCTTTAATATAAGCGCGTTGGATATCGCTAGGGGGTCGTTCAACTCCTCCAGCCGTAACAATATTAAGTAAAGTGCCTCAATGTCCAACAGTAACTGTTTTGTCCTCTTCATCTCTCTGGGAACCTGAAATATTAAGATTCATTCACACTGCTGTATTTGAAATGGTCCGGTATTGGGACCCCATTTCGTTACTTATAAGTTAAAGGGGCGTCCATAAATTACGTGAGGTGTATTTATTTTTAATTTTCTGTGCCTTCCTCCCCCCCCCTGGTCAGATGTCGTGGGTTTTTATTCAACCCCATCCCCGAATCTCAAGTGAGATTTTTCAAAATGTGACTTTCTAACGTAAACGCGTTGGATTGTTATTGTAAAAAGAAAAAAAAACAAATATGCATCGACCTTTTATTAGTAAATGATCTTAATCGTACTACGATTACGCTTAAGAATAAATCTTAAGCCTGTACAATCTGGATTAAATAGACCAAAACAGTATAATTTTTTTTTTTCAATCAGAAAAATAATTGCATGATATTTGCCGAGACCCCCTCTCTCCAACGGAAGATTAGATGAGATTTGACTGGACTCCCTCCCCCCCCTTAAATACCTAACGTAATTTATGGACGCCCTCTTAGGTACTTAAACCCAGACAAGAACCCAATACTACACAGGGCCGAATTTAAAACAAATGAGGTCCCAATATTTTACAAGGGGTTACCCAATACTTAGCACTGCCATATTTAAAACAGTTCCAACACAACACAGGGACCCAATTTTGTTACATATATACTTAAAGTAGGACAGGAACCCAACAACACACAGAGCCATACTTAAAACAAGACAGGGACCTAATACTACAGGGCCGTACTTGTTAAAGTTCGGCCGGATCCCTGTGTCGTTTTAAGTACGGGAATGTGTAGTGTCCTCCACAGTACAGAGGGCCGTAGTTACCTCAGTGGGATGCGTGGTGCTGGCGACGCTGGAGGCGCGCGAGACGCGGGAGGGCGCGGCGTCGGCGCCCACCACCTCCACGTCGATGATCTTACGCGGCGCCGTCACACTGCCGCACTGCACAATATACAAACTTACATTTACTCACCTACATAGGACCTTTGAATTTGTTTCGGCATTTCTTCTCAGAATAGTCAGATAGGAAATGTCGGCTTCATCTAGTGTTTTTATACACAATTGGGTAGTTTCCTAGGTCAAAAATAAATTAATTCGTCTTTTCAATACAATAAATATCGAAAAATAACTATACTTTCATTCATCGATCGATCGATACACAAAGTTTTAGATTTTTTTAGCTAAATATTAAGAAATAAATAAGCTATTTGACGCAAAAATGTTATGACGTCATAACTCAGTTTTTCATACAAATTACAATTTCAGGTATTTTGACGTGTAAAACTACTAACATTAAATGTAACAAAAAAACATATTGACAAGTTCAGGCATAGTTTACCATGAAGGCATGAAAAAGACAAAAAATCAAAGTATTTATCCAGAGACAATAGTATAATACGGTAGTTTCCAACTAGTGAAATTCAATACTTTTATCCAAATGTCGAAAACGATACGATAATTACGACGTCATAGTATTTTTGCGTCAAATAGATTACTCATTTCTTAAAAAATTAGCTAAAAAATTCAGTGTATCGATCGATCGATGATTAAAAGTATAGTTATTGTTCAATATTTTATTGTATTGAAACATCGAATTAATTCATTTTTTACCTAGGAAACTACCCAATTAAAAAAATTACACATAAAACTAGGTGCACAAAAAACAAACAAAATATCTTCCTCAGCAAGTGGTTCTAGGCGACCTAGCCATAGCATGGCCCTTCTAGATTAAAAAAAAAAAAGTAAATAAATCTTACCTGCAACTTGCCGAGCGAGTTCTCAAACTGCGTGGGCACGTAGGTCCGCGGGGTGGCGCTGTCCTCGCTCGTAGAGTTGTGACGGTTCGAGTTGTGACGCTCCCGATGTGTGTGAGTTTCTTGTTTTACGCCTATATACAATTAAAATTAAATTAACATTTATTTATTTATTTACTAGATACTTTATGATGATGTTTTATAGCCTAAAGCAATCAGGAACATTGTAGATATCTATCAGTGAAATAATTTTGGCAATCCGACCTACATACGAACTTACAAATTTTACCTCATTGTAATATTAGTATAGACTAGCTACTCTAGCGCGGTTTCACCCGCTCCTACATATCATAGCGCAATGTTATATAGCCTAAAGCCTTCCTTGATAAATAATCTATTCAGAAAAAAAACTACACTAGGATTTTCTCATGCGTCATGGGTTCGTTTACGTTACGGGAATCGAACCCGCGGCACGTTGCGCTGTAGCCATTTGCCCAGGCACCGCGCCAACTGCGCTGTCAATAATGAAACTATAGTAAGAAAAAAATTTCAAGATTTTTTTTAAAGTAGTAAGTCGGCAGACGCGAGCAGACGGATTACCTGATGGTAAGCAATCAGCGCCGCCCATGGACTCTCGCAGCGGAGGAGTTACGAGTGCGTTGCCGACCTTTTAGGGATTAGGGTTTTGGAGATTTAGGGATTGACACAACGCTGTGGTTGTTTCACGCCGGTTTTGTGAGGCCGTGGTATCACACATTCGTGCCGAAGCTTGGCTCTCCCACACTATTTGGTGACCTCTTACACTAGAACAACAAGGCCTATACTTAGTGAACAAACAGGGAGGGTAAAAAGAAGATATCTTACCTCCACTGTAGAATGGATGATTCTGTTGGTTCGCCTTGTGAGCTTCCTTGATGCCTTCCTTTTCTTTACTGGCCTGTCTCTCTAAGAACACCTGTGAAAACACACATCACCATTATCATCATCATCATCATCATCATCATCATCATCATCATCAGCCTATAAGTGTCCACTGCTGAGTTAAAGCCTCTTCTCATGGTTTGAGCATTAATTACAGCGCTTGCTCAAGGTGGATTGATGATTTCATAAATATAATTAGAAATTTTAAGTCCAGAGTTTGTCAATAGTGTCTAAATACATTTAGAAGTAATTTTTAATTGAAGTTACATTAGAACTTGATAGGTTTCGAACCTGAACCTTAATACGTGAGAAGCAGGAGCCTAAAGATTAGGCAAAGATCCCTATTATATAAACGAATCGCCAAATGGCTCAAGACTAACGGAATATATTTTAGTAACTTATTTTCTTATATAATATTATCGTCAGGAAAAGATTCTTAGTAAAGAAAAGTATAAATTAAAGTCGGAAAATAGCAATAATTTGAATCGACTTTTAATTTTAAATCAACATGACATTTATCTTGATTTCACTTTGGACTTCGCTATCTGTCGAACCTTTGACCTTAATCTTGATTACGACTTTCACCTTTACTCTATAGTTTGTTTTTTTAAATCAACTTCGACCTTCATATGACTTTGACTTTAACTTTTGACGTTGAGTTTGACCTTTAAATTGACTTAAGACTTTCACTTTAACTTTTGACTTTGACCTTTATATTGACTTAGACTTTCACTTTTGACATTGACTTCTGACCTTTGACTTACCGTGTAATAGAAATCATGAATGTAAGGAGTGCCGGTGTTCAGCTGCAACATCTGGATGTTGATCAGCCATTGCTTCTCCCGCGTGGTCATCAAACCCGCGTACTCGTCAGTGTCACTGCCGCTGGCATCATCGCCGTTGACTGTGTGTCTGAAATTAAACAAAACATTCTTAAATATTACAAGAAGAATATTTGTCGGTATGAATGTGTATAACTCAAAAACTACTGGAAGTATTGAAGTAAGGTTAGATTTAAATTGATAAAAAAATATGTTTCCTACACTAAGATGTTTTCCCGTGTCGTGAGTGACAAAGTTACAAACATACCAATTCACATACACAGACTTGAAACAACAATTTGTGGAACACACAAAGCCATCTCGCGCATATTATGTTAAAAACCAGGGGTGTTAGGGAGCTCCGTAACCGTAACCGAAACTATCGGATATCCGATATAAAAAATCACCCGTAACCGTAACCGAATCCGAAATTAAAGTTTCGGATAATATCGGATAGGGGCGGAGCATAATTGAGACACGTTATGACAAGTTGTTTCGATCGGCCGGCCGCTGCCAGTGCCGACACACAAGCTGCGCGCATTGTTTGTTTTTTTTCTTCTTTGACAAATGTGTTGGTTGTGTTACGGAATCGATTGAATTTGTACAAATATTTTGTCGTCCTAAGTCGAATGCAGTTTGCTCGTTTTTTGATGAAATGACCGATTCCGCAAAATGTAAACAGTGTGGTAAAAGCTTTTCAAGGAAAGGAAGTGGTACTACATCGCTAAAACTTCACCTTAAAACATAGTGATAAGTACGAAGAATTTTACTTTTAAAATTCCTTAAAAATATAATATCCGTAACCGAAACTAACGGATAATCCGAAATAATTTATTATCCGTATCCGTAACCGTATCCGGTATAATAAACATTCCTATATCCGTATCCAATCCGTAACCGAAATTTAATATCCATAACATCCCTGTTAAAAACCCAGTATATCATAACAAAATTCATAAAAAATTGTCATTGTTAACATTTTTTATTTATGCCATAGGTTGGCAAACGATAAACGGATTACCTGATGGTAAGCAATCAGCGCCGCCCATGGACGGTCGCAACACCAAAGGAGTTAGTACAAATACATTGGCATCTACTTGTGGATTATTATGGGCTCAAAGATAAGAAGTAGAAGGATTGGACCTTAGGTAACCTCACTCACACGGCGAAACACAACGCTGTGGTTGTTTCACGCCAGTTTTCTGTGAGGCCGTGATATCACCTCGGTCGAGACGACCCATTCATGCATTTGAAATTTTAAAATAATAGAAATATCAAAACAACCATCTCACCTATTATTATAAGCTCCGTTAACCCTTTGGTTGAACATAGGATGGTTGAATTGTGAGTTGGTGAACACATTGCTCCTATTATTCAACATCGGATGATGATTTGCATTGTGATAACTATTATTAAATTGTAACATTGGATGCGTATTTTGTATCAACTGGACCAAATTTTGTGATGTCAAATTTTGACTTTGACCTTGACCTTGACTTTGACTTTTGGAATTGTTGTAGACTCTACTCTTTTGCAATTTCTGATCTTTCTGAACTGGTTTTTGTATTGTTTTAGCTTGTTGCTGCTGTTGGTTTACGTGGTTGAGCTGGTTTATTTGACTGAGTTGGTTGCTGGTTGAGTTTTTAATGTTGTTTAATGGTTGCTGCTGGTTTTTCACTAGCATTTGCTGGTTCATCATCATGTTTTGTTGGGCTATTGGTTGTTCTGGTTTGTTTGGCATTGAGGGCTGAAAAAAAATGAAATCATACATTAGATTGGCGAATGAAAAAGTATTGTTCTAAGCTAGATATTTAAGAAGCCTAGATCGGGAAAATTCTTGCTAATAAGTACATACATACATAATTGCTTAAAATTATATGAAACAATATCAATAAATTTCAAAACATACGCGAGCAAGAATTGAAGCTGCGGATTCTATAAATTCTATTTATTTAAACCTTTTACATAATAGACTAGAAATTTTAATAATACTTACACGAAAATTGGTGTTAAACTGAGGCATATTTGAGTTGAAGTTTTGCCTCTGCATATTAATGCCAGGCGGTGGTGCCATCATTCTTGGCTGACCCATCATATGTTGAAACTGGTTCATGCCAAACTGGTTACCGTTCGGCATAATCTGGCTATGACTCTGACCCATCTGGTTATTAGACAAATGGTTGCCCATTTGATTCATATTCTGTGACATTGATGACATATCGCCCATACGGTTTTGACTCATTTGGTTTTGACCTATCTGGTTCTGACTCAGTTGGTTCTGACCCATTTGGTTTTGACTCATTTGAGATTGTCCCATCTGGTTTTGACTCATTTGATTAACATTCTGACCCATCTGACTCATTTGGTTCATACTCTGACCCATCTGATTCATATTCTGACCCATTTGTCCCATATTCAAATTCTGACTCATTTGATTTACATTTTGACCCATCATCTGGTTGTTACTCATTTGGTGAACATTTAGGTTCTGTGACAACTGACTCATAAGGTTATTTCCCGGACCGATCGGGTTATTTTGGAATTGGTTGTTCATTTGGTTACTCATTTGGTTGTTCATGAATGGAGTAACGCCTTGGTTGAGTTGGTTGACATGGTTTTGCATGAGTTGGTTGTTTTGTCCCATTTGGTTCATGAGTTTGCTGAGTGGTTGGTTCATTTGGTTCATGTTGTGGGACATTGGTTGTTGTGGTGCGAATGGTAATGGTACGGGCGCCTGTAGACCAGGCGGCCTCTGTAGTATCACCGGTGGAAATCTTGGCTGAAAATAAAACAAAAAAGGAAAACATAAGATTTTGTAACCTATATGTTAAATAAATCGATCCGATAGAAATAAATTGTGTTATTAAAGCAGATATTTATTTTTAGTCTAACAATGAATGCTACGGGACGTAAATAACTATTGTTGATCATGTAGAACATTTCTGGAGATACATTATTTTTGATATACTTAAAAGAAGAATTTACGGATTTGTAGCCTTAACTCTGAGTTTGCCAAGGCAAACGTTTAATAGCGAGATGCTTGACACAATAATAAAAAAAAAATATGTACATTAAGCTTTTTAATATTATTAATTATATTTAAGGCCTGCAGACGTACCTGGAAGTAGTTTTGATTGTAGGAAGGCTGGGCCTGCTTCTGCCGCAGCTGGCGTTCCAGCTCCTCCACTGTGCATACATTCTTAAGTCCTTGTACAGGCTGCAAGGCAAAGGTATATTATATTAATCATTTTGTTGAGCTTGTCAAAGTCAAATCATTTATATAAAATAGTTCACAATTAAGGCACTTTTAAACAACAGTCGTGTGTGTCAGGCTGTCCTCTAGTAAAGCTACATGCTCATTACAAATTGTAGATTCCAACAGAGAAGAATGATCAAGAAACTCTATAGTTACTCTTTTTCAATAAATTGGTACTTGCCAGGTTTCGAAAATAAAATAGAAGTTGCATAAAACGATTGTACTCACTGTAGGCGCGCTCGGGAAGATAGGGTCATGTTTCCATACACTGGACCCGATGGTCCTTGACTGCGGCGCGTCAGTCTCATCCAGTACTAGCTGGGATAACGATGCCTCTGTAACGATAAATACAATTAAATTAACTCGATTGATTCAGAACTGTCCGGAATAAACCCATAGGTCAATTAAAATATAAAATACTAGCTTCTCTCGCGCGGTTTCACCCTCTCCTCGGCTCCATTTAATCGTAGCGTGATGTTTTATAGCCTATAGCACTCAGGAACATTGTAGCTATTCATCAGTGAAAGCATTTTGGCAATCCGACCAGCGGTTCCAAAGATTACCCCTACATACAAACTTACAAACATACAAACATGCAAACTTACAAATTTTTGGCAGGGGGTAAACTAGCAGACTGATGGTAAGTAATCAAAACTGTCCATGGACCACCAGGAAGCCATCCTATGGCATCTTTCATCCAGGATGATTCTTACTGACTAAAAACCACCCAATGCCTTCTCCTACTACTGGTCCAGTCGCAGTGCCTTATTACGCTTGCATCACAGGCGCCTTGCCGAAGTGTTAAGAAGGAGTACGCTCATTTCTTGAACATATGAAGGTCATATCGGTTCGGAAATACTGCCGCCAAAAGGCCATTCCAAAGTATTGCTGTGCAAGGCAGAAAGTTTGGCGAAAATCGATCTGTAGTTGACAACAACAACAGTGTTATTGTACATCCGGGGTTGCGGGGTAAGCGTAATGAGGCACCGCGACCTCGGCCTAGCGCAGGAGAAGAAACGGGAGGATTTAGTCAGTAAGGTTGCAGTTCCATTGAGGTGGAGCGGAGCAGAGCGGAGATGAGCTGTGCCGCGAATCACATGGCTTGAAATCCACATCTCTAATGTGGATATATCTCGAATGTAATTTTCAAGACATGTGATTGGTGAATCGCGGCACAGCTCTGACACTCCCTGCTGCCCGACCCTGGGCGAAAATACAGTGTATTGTAGGAATATAAAAGTGTTGTTATCAACTAACCGAGCTGTGTGTTGGCGAGGTCATCGATGCCGCTGTTATGTCTGCGGCTACTCTCCAGCTGTTCCGCCAGCTGTTCATGTTCCACCTCCCAGTCGAACTCGTCAGCTGAAATTAAAATATTTACGTTAATATAATAACCCTCGAAACGCATCCAGCTTAAGATTTTAGGCTCCCGACGTGCAACGAAATCGGTCGAGTAATACATAACTGTGGCGTGGCTTAACATGTGGCGATGAAACGCCCCGGTTTTATACATTTGACAGTAAACGACAGGACACGCAATAATGGCATAGGTCGATACGAGTAGACGGATTATCTGATGGTAAGCAATCAACAAAACATACCATTTAAACACAAAAATACACTTTTATACAAGTAAGAAATAATCACCGCTAACACCAGCAATTGTTTTTAATTTTATTTAAGTCTAGGTTAAATTTTAGTCAACCATATGTTAAAAAAAAATAGTTCCCAAGATTCCCTTCACCACCTTATCACCAAAAATTGTTTAAGCGAGCTTTATAAGATAAAATTTGATTTTAAGTTTTTTAAGGCAACGTAAAATTATTATCTTTCAGTCTGTCTAAAGTCCTTTTCTAAAAGTCTTTATCTTTTTAGACCTTAATATATTCAGCCGGGGTCTAAGTAACTGCTAGGATTTAAAAAAAAAACGTTGCCACATCTTAGGATTTTCTCCTGTGTCGTGAGTGCTGTTACAAACATACAATTTCACATACACATGACACCCAGACCCGAAACAACAATTTGTGGATCACATAAAGAGTTGTTCCGTGCTGGAATCGAAACCGCGACACGTTGCACGGCAGTCAGTTGCCCAGCCACCGCACCAACCGTGCAGTCAAAAAGTGTTTTAAGTACTATACATAAAAATGTCTCTAAATTGATTAGTTTTTGTTTACTTTGGACAGTTATCAAATAACACCATCAGACTCTTACTGACTAAAAAACCAGCCCATTCTTATTTCTTCTACGAACTAAAGCTACTGTAACTTTTGGCGCTTTATCCGCAACCACAGCGTTGTGTTTCGCCGTGTGAGTGAGGTTACCGGAGGCCCAATCCTTCCCCTCCCCCAATCCCTAAATCTTCAAAACCCTAATCCCTAGGTCTAGGTCGGCAACGCACTCGTAACTCCTCCGTTGCGGGTGTCCATGGGCCGGTTGATTGCTTACCATCAGGTAATCAACATTATAAAAAAAAATCCCGATGGCAAATTTCAGTCTTAAAGAAACGGTTAGTCTAAACAAGCATAGAGAAGCATCCAGCACCCAAGCTTAGTATAAATACTTACAACCTTGACCGAACGTCTCGTCGTTAAGTGCATCGTATTCATCTTCAGAGGGCTCCCCGCCTCCTTCATCATCATTTAAGTTCTGCAACAGAGAGAAACACAAATTTATATTAATATTATAAAGAGGTAAAATTTGTAAGTTTGTATGTAGGGGGTAATCTTTGGAACCGCTGGTCGGATTGTCAACATTCTTTCACTGATAGCTACAATGTTCCTGAGTGCAAATGGAGCCGAGCAGCGGGTGAAACCGCGCGAGAGTAGCTAGTACAGCATATAGTTACGCTGGTATTAACGCGGAAAATAATTATTTAAATATCTTGGTAGGTTTGACGTTTCGACCTGGTTGCACAAGCAGACAGTCAGAATTCTATATGTTGTAAATATAAAATGCATTTTCATAACACCAGACATGTTTTACTACATGATATAAAACAATGTTGCATTCTCTGTCCCTATATCCCTATGTATGCTTAAATTCCTAAAACTACGCACTGAAGGCGTAAATTTGCATTGCTTTAAACGCTGCTGTTTTTTTTTTTAAATCCAGAATCATCGGTATTAATTGAACAATAATTTTTATCTTGGATAGCATATTTATTGAAGAAGACTGTGCTCCACGAAGAGTAGCTGGGTGTCTTCAAGGCCCGAGTGAATTAGGTGACTTATGGGTAGGCGTGCTCCATCGTAATCGCATCATCGCTTCCCACCACGGCGAAATATCGCTCCTCAAAAAGCTTGCGTACAAGCAATTATGGTCAGAATTTGAACTAGACGTGAACGGATCCAGAGAGAATTCCTTACAATTCTTTCTCCTGTGAGACTGAATATAGCTGACGTATTTCTGACTTGGCAAAAACTTAGGTAATTTTTTTTATTACATCCCTACACAGCGATTTTTTGCTTCACTAGAGCAGGTAGAAGATGTTTGCTTGTTATTGTGTATTGTTGTAATAATAAGTAAAAGATGAGGTTAGCTATAAAATATTGGGTCGATTTTAATGTATGGATAGCGCTGGGAACGATTGTGAGGTCCGCAAATTGTTGTTCTAGTTCTGGGTGTGATTTTTGTAATTTTTAATGTTTTAAAACACACCAACGACAAAGGAGGTGATCCATGGTGGGGGCAAGATATATTAAAAAACTAGCGGCCCGCCCCCGCTTCGCATGAGTCCAACTATCCCGCTCTCAAAGGGTCACTTTTTCCCAATTCTCCCTTCTACTTTTCTAATACTTTTTTTGATAAGAACCTTCTCCTGACAATAACAAATATAACAAAAATAGAATTAACAAAATTGGTCCAGGCGTTGTTGAGTTATGCGCTTACCAACACATTTTGCGATCCATTTTTATATATATATAAGAAGACAACGAATATTAAAAGATTTATTTTGGCCGATATTGATATTACAGAAAATTTGTAAAGTAACTAGCCCTACACGTGGTTTCACCCTGTACGGGTTTAAGGGATTACGAAAATCGTACACACCGGTTTTAGTACAACAAATTCATTCATTAATATATGTAAGAGTAATTTTAGATTATTTTTTCTAGCAGATTTTCCAGAAAATTCAGAGATTAGGCGGATTCAAAAAAACAAATACGAAATTGAACTTTTTGATGGCTGGAAAATCATCAAATTTCTTCTTCCGCCATGAATGTAAGGGGAACGAACTGTCTGACTCTTTTTGACTAAAAACCACCCTGTAACCCACGGAGTTAGCAAGAGGACTCGAACACAATAAGTGAAAAGTGCCAGTCATATTTCTGGGAAAAGATTGGGCCTCCGGTAACCTCACTCGGCGAAACACAACGCTGTGGTCGTTTCACGCCTGTTTTCTGAGGCTGTGTTCGATAAATGAACTATCCAACACGACAAGAATTTGGTATTTTTTTTTAAATCCATTGCGTAGTTTCAAAGATTTAAACATACATTGGGAAAAAAAGCTACTTTGTTTTATCCTATGTAGTGATGTATTCAACCTTACCCAAACCCCTATAAAAATTGAAATTACACAATAAGCGAAAAGTGCTAATCCTATTCCTACCCTATAAAAGAACAAAACTAATAATGCATTTCTCTGACAGAACAAGAAGCAAATGAGGTCAGTGCTAACAATCACAACACCATCTAGAATAATAATATAATGACCTAGATCTGACTCAAAACTGCATTCATAGCAACTCTTTTCACATACATATGTACATATCTGCTTCTCTTGCATGAGAAGCGAAACCTGGCAAGTATCAATGTTTTTTTTATGTGATAGGATGGCATATGTCTCTACGGATTACCTGATGGTAAGCAAGCGACGCCCATGGCCACCCATAATACTAGAGCACAACGGCAACGCACTCGTAACTGGCGAGTGCGTTGCCGTTGAGAGAGGGGAAGGATTCGGCCTCCGGTAACCTCCCACGACACAATGTTGTAGTTTTTTTATGCCTGTTTTCTATGAGGCTGTGGTATCACACCAATTTGCATTCATGCCAAAACATGGCAAAAGATTATTTAGATACCACCGACAGATGATGAAGGAAAACATCGTGAGGAGACGTGGACTTATAATCCCTAATTTGAAGTATTGAAATTGCCAACTTGCCTTGAGCAAGATTGACTTAATACTCATACCTCCTCCGTGTGAGAAGAGACCTTTGCTCAACAGTGGGCACTTATAAGCTTACACAAGAATATTTATACAAGAGTTATACAAACATGTATGAAGGGCCTTTGTATAATGTTAGTAGTTAGTTAGTTTTGTAACGAAGTATCACATTACTTAGTCGGGTCATAAGTTCTGTCAAAACCTTATATTTTTAATTTTCGATTACTGGCCAGAAATTCTTCGACTTATTTTAAAAATAGAACTTTCGCGCTTGTAGAAAATAAAAAAGAAATTATTTTTTATTCATTTTTAAATATGGAGTGGTCGAATAAAGAAGACAGAATCGCGGTTATCGCGTTGCACCGCTGTGGTTACGCGCCAAAAGACATTTTCAATATTCTTCAAAATTTGAAAATAACGTTACGGTTTGTTTATCGTACTATCAAACGATACACCGAAGAGTCAAGCTTCGAAGATCGTAAGAGAAGCGGCCGACCTCGCACAGTTCGGACACATAAGGTCATCAAAGCAGTGAAGGCGCGAATCGAACGAAATCCCGTACGTAAACAAAAAATCCTAGCTCTGCAGATGGGGCTAAGCAGAACCACTGTTAAAAGAGTACTAAATGAAGACCTGGGACTACGAGCTTATCGTAAAAAGACAGGACATTTTTTGAACGAGCGTTTAAAAAAAATTAGGCTAGACAGATCCCGCGCTTTGCTACGACGGTACGCGGGAAAAAAATACCGCGAAATTCTTTTTTCGGATGAAAAAATTTTTACTATTGAAGAAAGTTTTAACAAACAAAATGATAAGGTGTATGCCCACAGCAGTGAAGAAGCAAGCGCGCGTATTGCGAGGGTCCAGCGTGGGCATTACCCTTCCTCATTCATGGTTTGGCTTGGAGTCTCATATTCAGGCGTAACTGAGGTGTTTTTCTGTGAAAAAGGTGTGAGAACTAGTGCCGAAGTTTATCAAAATACTGTCCTAACAAACATAGTGGAACCTCTTTCTCAGACAATGTTCAGGAACAGGCATTGGATATTCCAACAGGACTCTGCACCGGCTCATAAGGCACGAAGTACGCAAGACTGGTTGATCGCTCGTGGAATTGACTTCATCCGGCATGAAGACTGGCCCTCTTCTAGTCCAGATTTAAACCCACTGGACTACAAGATATGGCAATATTTGGAGGAAAAAGTCTGTGCTAAACCTCACCCGAATTTGGAGTCTCTCCGAGCATCTCTGGTTAAAGCAGCGGCAGACATAGATATGAATGTGGTGCGTGCAGCGATCGATGACTGGCCGCGTAGATTAAGGGCATGTGTTCAAAATGGGGGAGGGCATTTCGAATAATGTAAATAAAATTATATTGTACATTTAATGACCTTTCATTTCATATATAATTTTTAAATAATTGTCAAAAGGCGTATAAGTTATTACATCAAAAGTTTGTGACAGAACTTATGACCCGACTAAGTATAGAGGAAGTCCCACAGTTATCATAAATATTAAAGTGTGTTGTTGAACAGTTGTTGTTTTCTTATTTTAACGACTAGTTAGTCTCTCAGGCTAGAACCTTGAAGGACTAACAACTGACAAATTTTTACCATTTCTCAAAAGAGTTTAATTAATAACTAGCTGACCCGACAAACTTGATACTGCTTCAACTATGAAATATAAATAACACTTTTGTTTTTTTTTGTATTTTCACCTTTTAAACCTTCCCTGTATATCTAGAAATATTTTAAGACCACAATAAGCCATCTGCAAAGCTTTTCTCGAGTTTTGAGACTAACAAACAGCAATTATTTTTTAACAGACTTCAAAAAGGAGGAGTTATATACATAGAGCACATAATTTTTAAATTTCAAATGGAACAGATTAATTTAGGGAGTCAAACACAAAAATAAAACATTCACTCAACTTTTTAAAATCACATGGCCTGTCATGTACATAAGGTTAACTAGCACATAATACCACATGGCAGTAAGTCCACATTGTACAATTCTATTCTTAAAAAAAAAAATTAAATTTTGTGCAGCACTTGTCTAATTCCAATTTTTTTAATACTTAAGTCAATAGCAACTGGGCTTTCAGCTAGGTCTCTAACTACTCCAGTATATATTATTATCACTTCAAAATAACTACTACAGGAGATAAACTAATGTAACTAATGTTAATAAATGGGAAAAGTCATTAAATAATGTGAGTTTTAAGACAATAAAATTCTGGGCACATTTTTTTTTAATTAAGCTAATTCTACTCCTGTTTTTCACCCTTATGTGATGAGTTTATTGTCCAATACCAGCCTTACACGCTATCTTTATAGGACCAGAAGTTTAATTAACAGTTTTTTAATATATTTATATGAAATATGTCAATAAGTCTAATAGACACTAGACAACATTTTATGAAATGGGCCTTTTAAATTGCACAGTTATAGATAATTAAGAACCAACCTTGTTTTGAATGGAAACTCATTAGACATTCAAATAAAGTTATTACAGTCATTAATGAACTTGAAACATAAGCACAAAATATTATGTTGTAAATTAATGTAATATTAATAATTAGTACAACACAATTACTTTATCTAATAAATGTATACAAAGTAAAGGGTTTTATCTCTCAGTTACTTATATACATGCTTACTAAGTATCCTTCAAGTATGTATGTTATGTATGTATGGATATACCAGTCTTACATATGGTAATTATGAAATCACAAAGTGAATGACCTGCACTTTAACCCATAAATGCGACTGGGAATTGGTTTGGAAAGTTCCAAATGCAAATACAAGCACTAAATGCAACATACACAAAGTATATGTCCACATGAAAACAAGTGTGACTCAGGTATCACTAAAAATACACAGCCTAAAAAACCATATTTCATAACGTTATACCACACTATATGCACAATTTTTGGCGCGCATTCTGTGGACACTTGAGCTAAGGCGTAGTTTATGGCTATAATCTAGCCTATTACGTGTTTTTCTCGAAATTCTCCGCCGAAACAAACAAGTGACAAGTAGAAATGCGAAAATACATAAATGTAATATGTATAGCCAACACTGTGACGCTTATTGTGTTTATTATGGTAAAATAAAGAATCCAAGAGCTGTAAGTTAGCCTAAATAGGTATATAACACGTAAATACAAGGTAGAAAGTGGTAATACTTGATTGTGTAGTGAAATGCTGCGTTTTGAGTGGCGTGCTGGCAGAAGGTAGCCTCGCAGTTTTAGGGTTATTATATGTCAAATGACTTGGATTTTTTAATAGAATAACGTTTAGACTTACCGATAACGAAGTATCGAACCCGAAGAAAGAATCTGCCATTGGAATTTTTCATATATCATGGACACAAATGACATGACTTGTCACGGTACATATGTCGCAATGGCGAAGGCGGCCATGACATTTTGGCTAGTGTTGTACCAACACTCACTAAAGATTAGTGACACGATCAATTAGTATTGTTTTCTAAAGTATTCATTTATTTTTTCGTACCTATATTTTTATTATCACATATTTATTATTTAATAATAACTTAATTTACTTCAATCTCTGTAAGTTTTTAACACATTCCAGTTTTTTAATCATCTCAACCTATTAAACTTTCACCTGCTGTATTTACTTATAGTAAAATGAAAGAATGATAAGCAATTGAAAAATAGCTATTAAAATGGTTTTGGGAAACATGGTAAATATATTGATAAAACTAGTGAAGAATAGAATAATTAAATATATTATTTTATTTTGATATAATATATTTAAACTGTAACAAAATTTTGGAAACTTTATCTGATTTGAGGAATTGCAAAACGTAAACTTTATCTTTGTTCTGACATTCTTGTTGACACACTAAAGTTGTGTCAAAATGTTCAAATTATTTTCAAATTAAACATTGTTATTGTTAGTCGTATCTCGCAAAAAAATTCACGTTTGGCAAAGTTAAAGTAAAAATTACGAAAGTTATGTGTTAATTTACCAGTTCAGCAAAAAACGGTGAGTTTCTTAAATATATGGTCTAAAGGTTCGCTCCTGAAAATAATACGTTTAAAAGTAAGTTAATACACTTAGATAAATGTACTTTGGAATGAATTATCATAAATTGTAATAGTACTCGTGCGCTCGATAAGTGGTTTATGGTTGGTATTAACTTTTATAATGGAAACTTGAATATATAGATCGAACATGACAATTCCAAAATAAATATTCTTATCGTATTTAAAAAATAGCTGGTTAAAACTTTCATAGCTATTTTTTCGAATAATATTTTTCTGACACTTAATATATCAAATCTTTATTTTATATTTTTACTTATAAGTTTACTAAATTCTGCCAGCTACTTGGCCCATACCAGGATGGAAAGTCTCCTTCATATTTATTTAATAGTGGCTAATTTCATTCAGATTCATTCATTCAGTACCTACTTTTAATTTAACATGAAAGGATCCTTCATTTATACTGATAAATATTCATATTTTATAATAGGTACTGCCAGGAAAAACATGTAATAAGTATAAAAAAATACTTAAAATTTGTGTTCATTTTGGTTTAGAAAAAAGAAAGAAAAAAAAATATATTCCCAAAAATTTTTTATTAAATGTTTGATTAGGTACTTTAAAACATGTGTATGGAGGTGTAATGTGTATGTGAAATTGTACACACTAGCAACAGAGACGAAAATCCTAGTATGGGAATGTTTAAACAGCAAACATCACATAGTTATAATTATATATATTTTTCTGGCCCTAAAGGAAGAATGGTGGGTGAAGTATACTTCTTTATATATAAAGATTTCATGTTTGTCCGCAATGGACTCCTAAACCGATTTTAAATTTGATTTGCATTCCATGTCATTGTGTATTTTGATTCAACTTGAAAGATATAACTTGATAGCTTACATCTCAATTTGTAGTCACAATATTATTTACCTTAGCCGCAGCAACGCGTGGCTGGGTCTGCTACTATGATATATATAAAAAAATATCTGTATGTCAGAAACTGGCTTCTCCACCCCCTGCATAATATGGACCTGTATATTTGGACTTGACCTGCAAAATGACATATAATAATATGACAATCTCTCTATCTTAAAAATTCATTAATAGCAAGTCAGTGCTCAAAATAATGTTAGCTAAATGATGTAAATAATGTCTAAGCATAACCTTGAAGAGGAAGTTATTAAGTTATACAATATAAATATATAATATCTTGAATTGAGCAATAAGTATAATAAGATGATTATGTATGTGTAAAATCCCATTGTGTTAGAATTAGAATATTTTCATAGATATTGTTAGGTTTTCTGAGGAAAACAATAAAAAAGAGAAAGAAACATTAAATGTGGCCAGTGTTTTTTAACCTTTTCTATGGCACAAACCCATTTGTATGAAAAAATCGTTTGCAACATATTTTAAATCCAGTATATATCAGTTATTAATCTTCATTGCCATAAATACAAACTGGCCTCTTAAAACCGCATCAAATTCCGTTCTGTGGTTTTAAAGATTTAAGCATGCATAGGGACATATAAAGAGTTGGTTTTATTCTATGTAGTGATTGATAGTGATTCAATGTTTTGGTTGCTTGTCAATCGCGATTTGTTCAAGGGGCCAGTAGAACACCAGCGCAAGGCTCTGTCTTCAGGGAAGTGATCGGCGGCGGCGACCTCTCGCGCCCTGCCTTAGTCGAGGCTATAGTGCGGAGCGAGAGGATCTGAGGACGGCTACTCAGTTCCTCTCGCTCCGCACTATAGACAAGGAGGCGGACCGCATGATGGACGTATCCTCCTCCTCACGTCCCAGCCGCCGTAGTAGGCGACACTCCAGGCTTCAGCAATCGAGAGATCCTGTCACCGCAAGCGCGGGTCGGCGGGCGAAGAGTAGAGGTCCGCGCGCGCCTCAAAGAAATAGACCACCACCGCGGGTAGGGCTGATGTACAGACGGGGCTAGGGCTGACACAGGGTTACGGGGCAAGCGCAATGAGCCACCGTGGCCGGTTTTTGTTTTGAGTCAGTAAAAGTCTGACACTCCCTCCCGCTCTACCTTGGGCGGGAGAAGTCATATTTTTATTATTATTTTCCCCTTGCACATGCTGAACTGTTCAACGTAGACTTGGTGCATTACCCACAAAATTATTTCTTTGTAATGCTACAGTATATTACTCTATGTTTTTTATCTTGGTTTTTAACGTATGAAATATTTAATATAATATAATTATGTTTCTTTCTTTAAAACATTATAAATTAAAATAAACAATTTATTATTCTTCCAATGTCAGTAGAGGTCTTACCAATCATAATTTATGTACATGTTTAAATAATTACTGTTGTAGGTAGCTGTAAACGGAACTATACATTACGAAATTTCTTATTCCGCACTTGGATTGAGCAGTTTTTTATAGGATTAAAGCAAAAAAGACAGAGAAACAGTGTTGATAGAAATGAAGTTACCTTATTTGTTAGTGACCAGCGCCGCTCAGAGACGCGCGCATTACCTAAAGAGTTTAGTACGAGTGCCTTTTTAAAAATAACGTTCTTCGGAGTAAAATAAAAGTTAATGTTTATAACTCATGTGTGTGTGACTAATTAAAAAGTTTTACCTTTCGTGTGTTATACGTGGATTCAGCACCATTAGATAAAATGTATTTTCTACCGTGTCTTATGAACCAAAATCGTGTATTATCAACAAAAGTCATACCGACATTCAACAGGTTAATGTCCTGTTTGTGCCCAAGCTGGCGCAGAACCGACTGTCCTTGGGGTAATTAATAAAGTCAAAATCAAAATCAAAATCATTTATTCCAACCAACCATAAATAGGTACTTTTGAAACGTTAAAACAGTATAGTAGTCCGTCAGTTCGTCAGTGAAAATAGGTGCTCATTCCAAATTGAAGATTCGAATGGAGAAGAACGAGCAAGAAATTCCCAAAATAATTCTGTCCTCCAAAAAATCTGTTCGTTTTGACTTGCAAAACAAGAAAACAGCGTTTTAGCGTTTATCTATACTAATATTATAAAGAGGTAAAATTTGTAAGTTTGTATGTAGGGGGTAATCTTTGGAACCGATGATAGGATTGCCAATTCTTTCACTGATGGATAGCTACAATGTTCCTGAGTGCTATAGGCTAAAACATCACGCTACGATCAAATGAATCCGAGCAGCGGGTGAAACCGCGCGAATGTGGCTTGTAATATTAATAAGGCACCTGTTTATTTCCTTGCAGAAGACATGTTCGCTCAAGTTGAAGTTTCTCAAGGTATATTGAAAGGGAAAGTATGTGAAACGGTTTTTGGAAAGAAATATTACAGTTTTGAAGGCATACCCTATGCGAAGCCGCCTGTTGGAAACTTGAGGTTTAGAGTGAGTATTTGCGATTTTTACGTATGGTCTAGAATGCATCATCATCATCAGCCTATAAGTGCCCACTGCTGAGCAAAGGCCTCTTCTCAAACAGAGAACGTTTGAGCATTAATCACAATGCTTGCTCAATGCGGATTAGCGATTTCAAACCTATAATTAGAAATTATAAGTCCAGGTTTCCTCACGATGCCGATGTTTACTTTCACCGTATGTCAGTGGTGTCTAAAAAATCATATAAAGTACCGACCACCGGATAGAATGCATAAACCTGTTTATAAATGCGGATTAAGCGAAAAGTTATATGTTTAGAACGCAGCCCCGACGAATACTATGATTTTCTACTGCGTTTGTAAACACAACATTTCACATTTTTTTGAAAATAACGGCTTATGTGAATTCTCTGGAAGACTGCAGGTTGACGTAGTGGCTCTCTGGCAATCTGGCTGTATTGCAAAGTGTCGCGGGTTCAGTTCCCGCGAGAAACAACACATTTTATTTTTAATAATTTTATTCATACAACATTGGGTATCTTACCTATAACTAAACTCGCCAAACTAATTCGTTGGATGGCGAGAGGCACTCTCTTAAATTATATTTAGACAATATGTAGGTAGTTAAAATCTTCGGTAATTTTTAAAATAAAATAACAAAAAAAAAATTCACACAGTTATGTAGACTTGTAACATGATATATTTTAGAATAGAAAAAAAAATATTGTTGTTTCGGGTCTAGGTGGTTTGTGTATGTAAATTCGTTTGATTTTAAAACGCACCTACCACACAGGACAAAATGCGATTGTCTGGTTTCGTTCGAAAAAAAAAAATTACTGAGAAAAGCTCTGTTAGTTCCGGGACGGGACCTTTATTAGCAGCGTACACGTGGCGTCAACGTCGCGCAACCGACTAAGACTGAAACTGAGAAACCCGTTGTGAAACTTGAAACTAATAGGGGTTTTCTCAGGTAATTCAACCTCTCCGGCCGTTTCAACTTTACAATTTGGACCTTGGATTTTATAACTTCTTGAATCAATGTTATTAGTATCTTGAAAAACATAATTTCACATACACATCAAACCTAGACCCGAAACAAAAATTTGCGAATCATAAATACGACACCCGGCAGATACCTCTCGTATAGTCGTCGCATTCCAGCCGTCTTATTCATCCTAACCAGCAAAATGATAGTTGCCCAAATTAGTTCTGTTCATTTTGGCCAGAAACCTAATAAACCCACGCCTTGCTAATTTCCAGGATCCACAGGAACCAGAGAACTGGAAAGGTGTCCGCGATGCCACGAAACCAGGTAACAAGTGTTGCCAGCTCAACCCATATACTCAAACAACAATAGAAGGCTCTGAAGACTGTCTCTACTTGAACGTATACACACCAAGCTTGCCAGGCGATGAAATAGAAAACCTACCAGTCATGTTTTTTGTCCACGGAGGTCGATTTATTTTCGGTTACGGGGACTATTATAAACCGGACTATTTTCTCGAACATGACGTTATTTTAGTAACTATAAATTACAGATTAAATGTCCTTGGGTTTTTGTGTTTAAATATACCTGAAGTGCCAGGAAATGCTGGGTTGAAGGACACGGTTTTCGCTTTAAGATGGGTTAGAAATAACATTGAGCATTTTAATGGTGATTACAACAATGTTACCGTTTTTGGCGAAAGCGCCGGGGCAGGAGCTGTTGCGTCGTATATGACTTCTAAAATGGCTAATGGCCTTTATCACAAAGTAATAGCGCAGTCAGGAAACTCAATAGCTGATATCTACATGATTGATGACGACCCTATAGAGAAGGCAATAAAAATAGCCGAGAATTTGGACCAAGAGATCGAAGACGAAAGATCTTTATACGAATTTTTGGTACAAGTACCAATTCAGGATCTCATAGTGGCCTTCAGTGTTGCTGAAATTGGCCGACCAGCGTCCGTTATCAACGCATATCTACTACCAGTGGTAGAAAAGGAATTCCCGGGCGTTGAGAGATTTTTCGACGAGTTTCCGAGAATTGATTTTCCATTGCAACGCTTCACAAAGGTCCCTGTGATGACTGGAATGAATTCTCACGAAGGAGCGCTGTTTTTGCAAAAAGACGAAGATGGGCATGTGGAGTTTGAGAATGATTATCATTACTTTATACCAAAATTTTTGCACATCCCAAAGGAAGATGAGAGAACAGCTGAAATTGAGAAAAAGATTAGGAAATTCTACTTCAATAACCTCGAAGTGGATCAAAGTTTGAAAGAACAATACATTAATATGGTTTCCGATACATTTTTCCAGTTCCCTATAATGTTGTGGCCTGAGATCCTTTCGAAATCGGATTGTGAAGTTTACATGTATAAATTTCAGTATTCTGGAAATTTGAATACTCGAATTATGAAGGCTTTGGGGATTTCGGGTGCCAGCCATGGGGATATGATACAATACCAGTTTTATAGAGAAACGAAGCACGAAAAGGCTGATCACACTGATATGAAGATTATTAAGATGCTTGCTGAAGCTTGGTGCTCATTTGCTAGAAATGGGTAAGTGAAAAATATTACATAGCTAAGACTCCCCCGTAACCTCCCCGCAACGTTCATCTACGTAGAATAATGCCTTCAGCCGAATTTGGGATTTTTAACTCATCGCTTTTTCTAAGGTTTCTTTTTCTATGTTCTTATTCTAGCCTACTACGGCTGTATCTATCAAGAATCAGTTGAGTTTATTCTTCCACGACCACGGTACACGATACACTAGCAACCCTCGCTACACATCAGCCCACTTCAGCATCTAATGGCTCTTTGAGGAGCGCCGTACACTCATTCCCTGGCCTGCCCCAGCGGGGTTTTCCACCGGAGCTAAATGGAAATAAAAATTCCCAATTGCCTCTGCAGCGACAACAGCCGGGGTTGCGTGTTAAGCGCAATGAGGTACCGCGGCCTCAGGCTAGTACAGGAGCAGGAACAGGAGGGTTTTTAAAAGTGCCCACTGTAGCCTAATTGAAATAAATGATTTTGACTTTGACTTTAACTTTAGTCAGTAAGAGTTTGACACTCACTCTCGGCTCACCCTGGGCGAGAGAAGTCCTCGGATGATTTTCCCCTCTCAAAAAACGTACATACAATAATTGTAATTGATCTTTATTATATGAATTTTAATTTATGTTTCAGACATCCTACTTGGGAGGATCAGGAAACTGAATGGTTACCATACACAAGAACAGGAAAGCAAGTCTTGATCATAGATAAAAATATTGAATGCGTCAGAAATCCAGATTTAGACAGGCTTAGATTCTGGAAGGGCGTTACAGGCGAAGTTTGCAAATTGTAATTAAATTGTTAAGAGTTCGATTCTTGAATGGATCAAAGTTAGTCAAAATTTTTAGGTGATGGTATTGATTTTTATATGTCCAAAAGTTTAAAATAATGTTTTGCATCGTCCCGGAGCTTTGTAATTAGTTGAATGGTTATTTTTCTTAAAGGCCTCCGACAAATGGTCTCACTTTAGGATACACAAGAATTCTTGATAAAAATTCTCATAAACATGTCCGGATCAAGAATCGAACGTAATGCTCCATTTACGTCAGTTGTCAGTTATGCTCGCATTTTTTTACTACAACCGTATCTGTGATAAAAAGTTTATGTTTATTTAAAAATGCATAATTTTATGGTGGTTGTACCTAATATACCTAATATACGCGTATTTATTTAGTATTAGTAAAAGTTTTGTTAAAAAATAAATTATTCCGACATTTCAGTGCAATAAAATATCTTTAAAATATAACCACACATTTCATTAATTGATTTTAATATACACCTTAGGGCTGATTTTTCAATAGTCCGATAAATGTTATCTCAGGAATAAAATTGGTGCTGTCACTTTATTGTGCAAACATTCTGACGCGACAGCATCATAGTTATTCCCTAGCTAACTTTTATCTAACCATTGGAAAAACAGCCCTAATATTCCAAATTATTTATTTTTCTAAACAGTATGGTATTTGACGCAGTAAAAAACGTGACGTCACAATACTCTATGTCAAACAAATGTCATAGGTACTGTCAATTTTGACAGTACGAAAAAAGCAATAATTTTGATTAATTTTTTGAAAATACTGATTTGTATTAATAAGAAATGCAACTGGTTTTGTTTTACAGAAATAATTTAGGAATATTTTTTTCATTCGTCAACCAAAGTTTCAAACCAAATTCTTCTAGTTGTTTTTTTTTAATGATTAGGTACCGTGTTACTAATTATAATTTAAGACGTAATACTGGCTAAGATAGAGTACTTTATTAAGTAAATATACTACTTAATCAAATTGACTGAAAATAACGACATTTTCGCTAATAACAAGGAAAGTCACGTGTATTGACTGAGAAAAGCTATACTGGTTTCAATTCACAACCAAATAACTCTAACTCCAAGTATTATTTTCACTTTTAGTACCTATTTCTCACGATAGTTACTATTCAAAGAGAGAAAAAAATCCGACGCGCACGATGCTCATGAATAAGAGTCCCGGTCTAACTTGAAACTAGTCGAGCTTTTCTCAATCAATTCATGTGAGTAAAGCATTACTTTTAATAAATTTAATACAGTCCACAATAGGTCGTACACAAAAAAGTGTACATTTTATTTTTGTTTTCTTGAAGCGATTTTTATTGATTTAGCAATTTTGATCAAAAATTATTCAGTAGTTCTACGTGGAAGAAATAACAAACATCCAAACTCACAAATAATAAGAAATTTTTTAAAACTATTTATACTTATTGTTTTGTTTTTATTTTTTGATAAACAAAATTCTAGTGGATGGAAGGGTTGCTTTTTAATAAAATATTAAGAAAATACTGTTTTTGTTATTTATTTTCGTAGTCTGTGAACCGATACGACCTTCAAACCTTCAAGGAACGAGCGTACGCCGCTGCCAGTGTACGGCGATCGGCAAAACATCACCTCTGGTGTTTCAGGTGTCCATGGGCGGAGCTGATCACTTACCATCAGGTGATCCGTCTGTTCGTTTGCCGACTTATTACATAAAAAAAATTCGACGCCACGTCCCTTTCAAATGAGACCTGTGTTGATGAGGAAATTTCTGTTGTAGTAGTAAGGAGAAACAAAAACGCCAAATTACATAACATAGTATTTTATTTACGCATAATAATTAATTAATAATTATACAAAAATATAATTCTAATCTATTTATTAATTAAAATGGAAAATGATAGGACTAAATAATTATATTGGCACAAATAATATCTACATTATAGATATTAGATTAATATATAGATTTTTTATAAATATATGTATAGCACATTTTCATTTTACCTGCTTTTTAACATTTAATTAACATGGAATGATGTAGGTCGCTACTCAAACAGCTCATAGTTATGGGCCCCGGTATGGCTTGAAAGTGATCGAGAATCATCCAATTTCAAGGAGGAACCATAGATAATTTGTTATTTTAATATAGTTAGCCTTCTTGAAGAAGGGTAAGTACATAAACTTTTTTTTTACGTAATTTTTTACAAGAATATTGTTTTACATAATTTTCAAATATAGAAGATATTAAGTAAGTATACAAGATGACTCTACGCTAAGCTAGCTCCATCTGCCGATCACATATCCGAAAAAAACTTCCTAAATATTTTCATAATAAAGACATTGATTTTTATAAACATTATAGAAATAAAATAAAATTACGACATATTTAAGAAAGGCCACGTATAGTAGATATTCTTTATATAATAACTTCATAATACGGCAATGCTTTTGCAGTCAGTTAGATAAAAGTATAGAAAAAAAAATTGTAATCATCAACCTTCTAACCTTTTGACCGTCATAGCCGGCTATAGACACCATTATACAATACACAATGAACGCGCCAATGATCGTGAGGAAACCTAGACTTATAATGTCTAATTATAAGTTTGAATTCACTAATCCGCCTTGAGCAGTGTGATTGCTCAAACCTTCTCCGTGTGAGAAGAGACCTTTGCTCAGCAGTGGGCACTTATCGGCTGATGATATGATGTAATATAGAATATTGAAATATAATAAAACATGGTCTGTGTGTCGCGTAAACAACAAATAAGATTAAAAATAATAATATACATAAATGATTTTAATACAACCGTAATGTAGGAAGACAATGATATTGATAACGGTTTAACGAAAACTTTCGTTCTAACGCGAACGATTTCGGACTTGATCCTCTCTCATGAAATAGTGTTAATTTTAACTCTAATAGTATTTATTTATTTAAATAAGTACGTTTTTAAATCTATGACCGGCATAGAACTGAAGCCAATCAAAAAAAATATTACAATCAATTGACTCATTATTGCTATCTTCTTCTTTACAATAACGCGTGAAAGAGATGGGATACACCTGTCAAAATAATGACAGTTAGCAAAATAGACGTGTAAGTCAGAAAGAGATAACAATATATAGTTGTTTTTTTTACAAATGGAGTTTTAAAATATTTGAAGACAAGAAATAATAGTGAAAGAGTCTTTATGTCATTGGGACACCATAGTCGTACGATTAGTTGCGCATCTGTGGTGTCTATATTAAAGACGAATTGGTCGCCGGCAACAAAGTTTCGCAACTAAGTTTGTGCCGGCCAACCTCGCTTTATACCGTGCCCTGTGAGAGGGCGCCACTAGTCATATACGATAGTGATAATACATTTATTTCGGGAGCAATCCCCTTCACATATTTTGATGGTGACCATGGTATCTTAATGAAAAAGAACTCTCCAAAAAATTAATCTTATAATTTACGATGTATGGAATGTAAATAAATACTGTAAAATTAGAAACTAATTTTAATGACTAATTTATATCTACAAACTATCGATGTGTTATTTTAGTTTTGGAGTGAATTTTCAACGTCCTTAGTCAAGAAATCGACGGAGCCCTCATTGCTTAACATTACTACAATAAAGGAATAGATAATACTTGGCCTGGATTACAATGGATTATTAAAAAAGTCTCTACATTAGGATTTTCTACGAGGTCGTGAGTGATCACACCCAGACACGGAACAAAAACCAGTGGACCACGGAGACTTAAAAATTAATTTAAATTATTTAGCAATTCGATTAATTGTTTGACATTACCAAAGAGCTTGGTTATGTAAACAGAAACTTGAATTTGTGTATCGTCAAACTCATAAACAGCTGAACCGATTTTCACAACGTTTTGTTGTTCATAATTGGTTCACCTACTGACGGCGTTAGGAATGGTGATATTTTAATTTAAATAGACACAACTAAATACGCAAATGTTTCTAAGATGAAATTCACTCCAAAATAAAATGGAATACATCTAAATGACTATCATTTACTTCTTACCACCGAGTGATTCAAAGAAATTGACGAATTTGTTCACTCCAATGTTCTTGGGCAGATCATCTTCGGGTGGGTCATTTGCCCTAATCACGTCTTTAGGAGCTCCGTTTGACCTTGAAACCATTTTGATCTCGTTCGAAGGCCTCGGCTGGACCTTACGATCACCGTTCAGTACAGCGGTTACAGGAGTTGGATGGCTTTCCTCAATTTTGACCGGCTCTTCGATTTTTTCTTCAACTTTAGGATGGTCTATTTCATTCTTTTCTACAACTTCGACGTTTTCGACCACACCTTCCTTATTTTCTACGATAGGTTCGTTATTTTCTTCAACAGTACCGTTGCTTTCTACCACGGTTTCGTTGTTTTCTACCGCAGCTTCGTTGTTCTCTACCACAGCTTCGTGATTTTCGCTAACTTCAGCGACAACTTCGTTTGTTTCAACCGGTTCTCCGTTATTTTCAGTGATGGATTCGTGTTTCTCGGAAACGATTTCGTTATTCTCTTTAACTATCTCCGTAGACTCCGATACGTAAGTATGGGATTCTGTGAATGCACTGGATTCGGAGTATACCGTTACGGTTTCGGAGTAAGATTCGATAATTTTCGGTTCTGATGATTTTAGAACAACTTCATCGTTGTTTGACCTTGGATGGTCCCAGATTCTGTAGTATTTGCTGTATAGACTGTCCCAGAAGTCCATCTTTTCCTTATCTGGATTTGTGCCCAGGGATAGTTCTTGCCCTAGATTTAGGTAGTAAAGGTTGTCCTTGGTGACTGGCAACCAGGTTACGGTGAGGTAGTGGTTCTCGTCAGGAGTGGGATTCCTGGAATTGAGAGAATAAAGGGTTAGAACTAATGAGGATTATAAATACGCAACCCGTATTACAATTATCTGCCCAGATGTTTTGAGTAATTAATAATATAATATGATAAGAATTGACTGTAAGATGAAAAGAGCTGTTAAATTGCTGTGTTTTACGGTTAAAATAACATACATGATAATGAACTTGTAGCATGTACCTATCTATACTAATATTATAAAGAGGTAAAATTTGTAAGTTTGTACGTTTGTAAGTAGGGGTCTCCATTCGAAACTACAATTTGGAACGAGCACCTAGCTTCACTGACGAACAGACTGACAGACTACTATTCTATTTTGACGTTTCAAAAGAACCTATTTATGGTTTAGTTGGAATAAATGATTTAGATTTGATTTGATTTAGGGTAATCTTTGGAACCGCCCGCCCGCGTACAATGTTCCTGAGTGCTATATGCTACAAAACATCACGCTACGATCAAATGGAGCTGAGCAGCGGGTGAAACCGCGCGAGGGTAGCTAGTAAATAATAAAACTGGTAGAGAAATTCGAGTAATCAAAACTGCACCTCAGCAAAAGATTAACCTTCCAGGAATATCAATATCAAATTATAAATTTCAACTCACCCGCCCTTAGCGAAATTGGTCCACAGCCTCAACATTCGCTCCCGCATCTTAATATCCAGGGTTGTTGGTTCAACATCCTTCTGCAAGTCATTACGGAACAGGTATCCAAGTTCATCCATATGCATAGCTCGTGTCAGTCCAAAAGTATTCAGAATCTTCTTGGAAATATTTAACTCCCCGACGTAGTCAAACTTGTAATAGTAAATTGGCTTTTTGGATACGTTTATCAAGTATTGTACGTGTCTATGTGTATCTACATTGATTGTGTTGTCTGATAGAAGCTCAAAGTACTCTGGAAGACTCTCCACACCAGTATGGCTACCTTTAAAGTACAGATTCTTGATCTGTTCTGCGATTTCCAAAGCTTGTTCCGAATTCCTCTCGATATTCAACTCTTCTGGGATGAAAGCTTGCAAATCGTCTGACCTTCTCTCGAAAGCAAATTCTAAGGAAGTTGATCCAATCATTACTGGTGTTTCTGCTATTCTACCAGATGTTAGTAGGTCAATAAATGGCTCTGTGATAATAGCTTCAACCCCTGGGAACTCCTTCTCAACGACAACACCAAAAGCGTTGGTCACTTCAGGGAATAAGTCCATAGGTGTTAGTTTCTCATGAGCTTCCACCAGCTCCCTAGCAGAAGTAGCATTTAAGAAGTCGAGAACTTCTTCAGGGTCGTCAGACTCGCAGCCTAAGATCTTCGCTAGGTTTCTTGCGTTTTCAATTGGTGTTTTTTGCATAGACCATTTGGATAATGCACTACCTGACTGAATGATCGCTTTACTGATCAAACCCTTGGTTAATGGACTAGCAGTGAGGAGTGAAACGGCCACTCCACCAGCGCTTTCACCGAATATGGTGATGTTACCGCTGTTTCCTCCAAAATTGTGGATGTTTTCCTTGATCCACCTCAGAGCTTGTACCTGGTCCTTTAATCCAGCATTTCCAGGGATTTCTGGAGTGTTCATACTCAAAAATCCAAGGACTCCGCACCTATAGTTTAGAGTTACTACAACTACATCTTTTTCTACGAGGTAATCTCCTCCATATAAGCTGGAGTTGCCAGAACCGAAGACGAAACCTCCTCCGTGGATGAAAACCATGACTGGGAGGAATTCTCCATCTAAATTGGGAGTGTATACGTTCAGGAAGAGGCAGTTTTCATCACCTATGTATTCTTTCTTAAGGAAGTCGATTTGTGCGGATACGTTTCCTTCTGCGGTAGCGTCGCGGATGCCGTCCCATGGTTCTGGTGGTTGGGGTGACTGGAATTAGAAAATTTGATACTTAATTATTCCATTCTACATAAATCAGGGTTATTGTTCGTTATAAAAGTTATATTTCTTAATTCTCATGCCCTATACCCCCTTCAATTTTTCAATCTCTTTGTTGAAGGATTATTTTCCTAACATGCGGGTCGTGACCACATGCGGGCAACCCGTATTGATGGTAAAACACTCAAAGCATTGTTTTATATTTCGTATATTCTTAGACGTTGCTTGATTTAATTCCTATTTAATTATTTTGTTTTTTTTTTTGCACAATTTAGCAGGAAACTGCTAACGATTGAAGCTTGAACTAAACAGTGAAATGTGCATTTTGGAATACGGCTCCAAGAAGTCTTATTTTAGGGTGAAATGCTTGCATGGGATATTAGTGGTTGCATACATATAGGCTTGCTTGTCCATTTGGGAACGCCAAATTACTAGTTTAGGTAACTCTGTCGCTTTATGTACTAAAAAGTAATTGGTAAATGTATAGGTAGTGTTTCTGCAGTTTTAAGTTTTAGTATTAATGCAAAAATAATGCAGAAGAAACCAAAGTTATTTAAACTTTTTTCTTAACGGACACAGAAAAACCTTTTTTCATGACTGCCTTTTTTTCCTTATTTTTTTATCCGAATATTTTCACCACGATTTTCACAATATACCTATCTTTTTGTTACCATCCCACAACTTACATAAGCGATGACGTGTACATAAGATGCTGTTTGTGTTATCTTATTTACTGACATACGAGAGATACAGATAGCATTTATCACTGAAACGACTGAATAATATTTGTTCACCTGTACTATGAAGCGTCTTTCAGCTGAATTGTATTATTTTATTGATAGAAAATAAAATGGTAAATTGATCTTAGTCAACGAAATTAGGACAATGTTTTCCCATATCTACATTCAAATTAACTTACTACGAGAAATATTATAGTTATCAATCATCGGCACAGGCCATTTGGACCTTTCAGCCGGGGTTGCGGGGTAAGCGCAATGAGGTACCGCGACCTCGGCCCATATCAGGAGAAGGAACAGGGGGGTTTTTAGTCAGTAAGAGTCTGACACTCCCTCCCGCCCGGCCCTGGGCGGGAGAAGTCATTTGATGATTTCCCCTCACAAAAAAGGCCATTTGGACATGCTTACAATATCTGAAAAAAATCGCCAATGCATTGCTGGCTTTTCCCGTGAATCCACAATTTGTCTCGCATAGATCCGCGTTTCAGGTTAAGGGGAAGGTAGAAGGTAGTTAGGTATATGAATCAGTCGAAGATGGAAAGATTGTACCTTCGCTAACCTATCAACATGGAGTAACACAACGCAAACGGAAAGCCATGAAGACAGTGAAGCCGGCCTATGATTGCCGAACCAAAATACTATTCAACATTCATGAAGCGATGGGACGGTCATCTGGCGAACAGGGGCGGAGAGAGTATAATTAGATCTAGGTTTTCAGTGCCTTCAGCCAAGGAGCTCAGATCCTCAAGACGAGAAACTCTATCTTTATCTGTGTAGCAAGCAGTCCTTGAAGGGACTCGGAGCGGAATCGTGTTTTATGACAACATTAAAGAATAGCCAGGCTTACCTTAAACCTTAAAGATCCTAGTGGTGGTTTAGCATAAGGAATCCCCTGGAAGCTGTAGAAGGCTTTACCAGTGGGGCTGTTCACCACGCGGCCTTGCAGCTGTCCTTGTTCCACGGTCACTACTGGTGCCTCGGCCATCCTTCCCCCTCTGTGGACAAAGGGATGTAATAGTTAGTTCTGGTTTAAAGACATTCTTTGATTTTGGATCTACTGAAACCAACCAAAACTTAACATAATTTAAACAAGGTATAACATCACTATCACGGAAGAAAATGGCTAAAGGGTTTTTTTAAGAACGCATAAACTTTCTGTAAGTTTAAATAAAATATTAAAAAAGGTCGTATCATTAATAACGGATACTCGACTCGCAAGCAATAATCATAATTAGACTAGTGAGTATCTATACTAATATTATAAAGAGATAAAATTTGTAAGTTTGTATGTAGGGGGTAATCTTTGGAACCGCTGGTCAGATTGCCAAAATTCTTTTACTAAAGCTACAATGTCCCTTACTGTCCCTTTTAGAGTCCCTTTCCTTAGTTATCAAACATCACGCTACGATAAGATATATTCTTCTAATAATCATTTTGGATTAAGTATAATAATCTTGATTTGTGGAACGGTAATGAACAATAGCTCGATAACCAAGTGCAAGTTTGCTTCACTTCAAGACGTTTGACAGTTTTATGACGTTTAACGCTTTGATCGGCCAGCTCCAAGTTAACCAACCAATCAGAGGGATGTCCGCAGTAACGTTAATTAAACTTAAACTACAGTGAAGTTAGCCGATTAGCTGCGCAGTACTCAATTTTGTTCCTAAAGGATCCATTGCGTAGACATATGACAAGAAATAATTTTGAGGTAGTTTTAATATTTATTGATTAGTTCATAATTAAACTGTCCTCATGTCAAATCGTAAAAATGGTCATTTCAATGAAAAAATACTGTCATGCAAAACAACATTCTTAGTAGATAAGTGCATATAATATTGTAACGTAAATAAATCAAATCAATATCAATAAAGCCGTTCCCGAGATTATCGCATTAATAAACAGATAAAGAAATTAAGATATAAATCAAGAATTTTAAAGTGTGTTGATAAAATCTACTATAATAACATAATATGCAATAATTCTATTTTAATGTATTTTGTACAAACATAAACAGTTACTTTTCAGTGATATTGGCGAAAAACCGAGAAGGTATTTATATACTTTGACTCTACTACGATCTAAATGGTACATAATAATTTTACTGCACGGTTGGAACGGGGGCTGGGCTGGCTGCCATGCGTCGTGTTACGGGTTCGATTGTAACAACACTTTGTGTGATCCACAAATTGTTGTTCCGGGTCTGGGTGTGATGTGTATGTGAAATTGTATGTTTGTAAACGCACCAACGACCCAGGAGTAAAATCCTAGTGTGGGGCAACGTTTTTTTTTTTAAATAAAAAAAAGGGAAATCTCATTCTGAACCAGTTTCCGACATTTTTAAACAGTTGTGTACACATTTTAATATTGCAAGAAATATTATAAACTAATTATTTTCATATTAGTCAATTAATGCAAATGTGTAAGATCGAGCTGACATATCTGTTAATGAAATGTGCTGAACAAAACTTTGTATTAGAAGAAATCTATCTTTTTTGATACAACTGACGGAACAAACAAAATGTAGGTATAGTTTATCTCATGCCAGATGGAAAAAAGGTTACTGCAGCTTACGTACGTGTGTTGGGGGTTGCGGGGTAAGCGCAATGAGGCACCGCGACCTCGGCCCAGAGCAGAAGGAGGAACAGGGGGGTTTTTAGTCAGTAAGAGTCTGACACTATCCCGCCCGGCCCTGGGCGGGAGAAGACATTTGATGATTTTCCCCTCACAAAAAAAGCTTACCTACGTGTATCCTCGGGGTTGCGGGGTAAGCGCAATGAGGTACCGCGACCTCGGCACAGAGCAGGAGAAGGAACAGGGGGGTTTTTAGTAAAAACCTACGTGTATCCTGTACATCATCAACGTCAAGACCGTTGACACTATCATGCAATCTCTTCACTTTTACTACGTCTTTCCTATCGAGTAGGTATTTCAAAATCACGTGACGACCATATGAGATAATCCTATTAACTTATCAGTACTCCATGATAAAGTTTATGAATGTAACGTTACGGATAAACTCTTCAGTGGTGAGCGGAAGAATCTTTTTGAAATGATAGAATGATGGATGTTAATTTAGCCATTATCATATTAGTAACAATACTACCACTACTGATCATAGGTCTCCCCAAATAGCCGGGGTTTCGGGGTAAGCGCAATGAGGCACCGTAACCTCGGCCCAGAGCAGGAGAAGGAACAGGGAGGTTTTTAGTCAGTAAGACTCTGACACTCCCTCGTTTGATGATTTCGAGGCCTCCCCTAATGCATCCGAAATTGCCCTAACCCAGTCACAATAGTGTACCGCGGCCTCAGCCGGGACCAGAAGAAGAAACAGGGTAGTTTTTAGTCAGAAAGAGTTTGACTCTCTCCCACCCCATACAGGACGGGAGATGGCATGAATTACTTTCCCCAAAAAGCCCCTCCCTCATTTTCAGATCTGGAAGACCAGATGGACCTGAATCCAAAGAGATTGTTCCACCGTAAGTTAGTGGTGAAGAGGTTTGAATATATGTTTTTATCTTGTCAGGGGAAACTTCTCAAATGACTTCTCCCGCCCAGGGTAAGGCAAGGGAAAGTGTCACTGTTTAAAATCCCCCATTCCGTCTCCTGCTTTAGGCCGAGGCTGCGGTGCCATATTGCGCCTACCTCGCAACCCTGACATTGCTTTCTTTTTTGTATAAACAGAAATAGGTATAAAAGACAACATACATTTAAACTTAATTTGAGTATTGTATGAGAATGGAGGAAAATAAACGCAGAGCAAAGCGTCGAATGTCGAGAACCGAAAATTCGGTCTGATAATTGGCAAAAAAAAGATATGTCACCATATTACTCACAGAATTTGATCTTCAAGTATTTTTCCTAAAACTAAACACACTAAACCACTTCAGTTAAACGTTGGAGTAACACTAATATTTTATCTATTGTGCAGATAAAGGTCCCATATCTGCATCGAAATAGTATTATTTCGAAATGGTATTTGTAATATTTTATTATGATTGATTACTGTAATGTGATGTGCGTTTTTTTACATATACGAGTACCAAATTATATTTAAAAAATTCGAGTACTATGACTAAAGTATTGTTTGGTTGCCAAAACAATATATGGCTCCTTTTATGTGTTTTGTGATTGTATGTCACTAGCTACTCTCGCGCGGTTTCGACCGTTGCTCTGCTTCTACAGATCGTAGTGTGATGTTTTATACGTACATTATACGTACGTGATTTTTGATTTTTGATCCCGTCCAACCATTAGAAATTTTTAACTTGGTTAAACATATGGAAAATAAGAAATCTTTTGGACGAGACGAAATTCCAGTTAGCATATTAAAAGATAATATAGACATACTAGCTGCTCCGATGGCATCGATAATAAATGAGTGTGTTAATCAAGGTGTCTTTCCAGATAAACTCAAAGTAGCCAGAGTTTTGCCATTATTTAAGAAAGGAGATAAAACAGACCCAAATAATTACAGGCCCATTTCCTTATTACCAGTGCTATCGAAAATTTTTGAAAAAGTGATGAAAACTAGACTTGTTAGGCATCTGAATTGTCAAAATATTTTAAGCAACAATCAATTCGGTTATCAAAAAAGTATAGGCACACTGGATGCAATAGACACTTTAGTTAATAGTGTTGTCAATAACCTAAACAATAAATTAAAGGTTGCGGGCTTATTTCTAGACTTAAGTTCTGCCTTCGATACTGTAGAACACAATATTCTACTGACCAAGTTAGAGCATTATGGCATAAGAGAGAATGTCTTAAAACTTTTTAGTTCTTATTTATCGAATAGAAAACAGTATGTCGAAATTAAATCTGTTCAGGAAGGTATTGAAACCACACATACTTCGGAATTGTTCACTGTGAATAGAGGTGTTCCACAAGGTTCAGTTTTGGGTCCGATTTTCTTTATAATGTTTATTAATGACTTAAGCTCATATATCAAAAATATTTTGCCAGACGCTGGATTAGTTATGTTTGCCGACGATACCAGTTCTGTTATAGTTGCTGATAACATAGAGAACTTGGAATATAAATTAAATACTTTTATTACTGCTTGTGAAATTTGGTTTTCAGTAAATAATTTGAACCTAAATATAAATAAAACTAAATGTATGCTATTTAAATCGACGGTAAAAAATAATACTTCTTTAGATGTAGTGTCGTTAGGAAGCAAAATTGATGTGGTAGACAGTCAACAATTTTTTGGGGGTGCATGTGGATTCACTTTTAAATTGGAAGACAGAACTAACGTCAGTTGCGAATACAATAAGTAGCGCGTGTTACGCTATCAGGTCTCTTAGGGAAGTATTATCTATTGCTCAGCTTCGTTCTGTTTACTTTGCCCTAGTTGAATCAAAACTCAGGTATAGCATTAAATTTTGGGGAAATAGTTATAAATATAATGTTAATACTGCTTTTGTCATTCAAAAAAGAGCACTGAGAACTATGCTTCGTATTGATCAGACAGAATCATGTAGGGATCATTTTATTAAGTTAAATATTTTGACTGTACCATGTCTGTATATTTTGGTTCTTCTCACACATTTGCACAAGAATCTGCATAAATTCGAGACAGACATTGAAAGAAAAGAGAGAGTAGATACCCGTAGAAAAGATCTACCAAATATCTTGCAGGCGAAACTTAACGTAGTTAAACATTCATCATGCGTACAGTCAATCAATCTTTTTAATAAATTGCCAATAGAATTAAAGCATATTGATAATGTGAACAGTTTTAAAAATAAGTTAAAATCTTTTTTAAATGCAAAAGGTTATTATAGTATTGAGGAATTTACGAGTGACAAAAGGAAGTAAATTTAGATAATTACTGTTGACATTAAATAATTTATAATGTAATTGACAAGTACTGTACACAATTGACATGTAATATTTTATTTTTGACATTTGTTTTTATAATTTGTATAATTAATTTAATATTAATATGTTTGTACAGGTAATTAATTGAATAATGACATGTATAAATTCAATAATTGTAATAATTTTTCAACACAAATGTATTTTTGTTTATGAAATAAATAAATAAATAAATATAGCCTATAGCCTTCCTCGATAAATGGACTAACAAACACACAAAGAATTGTTCAATTTGAACAAGTAGTTCCGGAGATTAGCGCGTTGAAATAAACAAACTCTTCAGCGATATATTACAACGTAGTTAAAGATTAGATTTGAAAAGTTTGAAAATGAAAAAAAAAAAAGATTTTGAATTTGACTCCAGCCAAATTTGGCGAAGACTTAATTCAGAGTGCTGACCACAATACTTATTCGAGTGAAGTTAGAAAAAAGAATAAAAAAAACCACTTCTCCTAATTCGTTTTTAATTATTCAATGAATTTCTAATGAAGAAGAGACTTCCATACAAGTATACACAAGCAAAGAAATATGTACTTATAAACGACAAATATTGAGTACTGAACGTATAAGAATTCTTAATTTAATCTCGCTTCTTAAACAAGAACGACTTACTAGAATGATAGAGAGAATATTGTCTTCAAAAACTTTACCTCAATCGAGTTCTGAAGCTGCTTAAAAGATTCCTAGACGTAGAATCTAGACGATAACTCCTTGGTTCGTTAATAACACTCTCTTTCTCATTTTCAAATCTCCAATCGTAAATATTGACGTTTCTCGTCAAATCTTCACTGAATGAATCTAGAAAACCCGACCAACTATCGTTATGCTCATATTTGCGGACAAAATTGGCAATTTTTTTGTTAACAGGCTTCTGTCCAAGAGCAAGCAACTTTGATTCTCTGGTTAAAAGGTATCTCAAAGCTGTCCTTTTGAGTATAATCAATTCTTCTAGCGTTTTTGCCATAAAATAGAGGGTAGTTATAGAAAACCACTTCACAATTACAAACGTTGACACTAGAAACTGTTCAAATTAAGAACCACAAATATTAACACATTTATAACGACAAACTACATGTTTTAAAAATGGAATTATAGGATAAATTTTCGAATTCAACAGTTGGTTATTACTTTTTTTAAAACGACCGTAATATAGACAAAGGCGACGTAAAAAACAGCCAGAGACACTACTGCGTGGAAACTTCAAGACCAATAATAATTATCAGGGGCGTGACGTTATGGATAGTGTAAATTAGTTTTGAGGCTCTCACTGAATGGTTGTACATAGTTTATAAATAGGTTAACATACACGTAATATACAGCGTTATGTAAACAGATTTATCAAGACCTATTCTTCGTTTTAATGAGCGACTAATACAAAATCTCTTTTCTACTCGCTCCTATAAGTATTTGGGCACTAACAGAGAAGATTTAGTCACTAGTTTGGAGGTTGATTCATTTGCCAGTCGATCACAATCTATTGATAATTTTAAACTTAAACATTTGATTATATTATCGCTGCTGTGTAAGAAGAATTGTAACTTGTCTTGTGTTCCGGATGTAAATGGTCGTCCTGATTGCTTACCATCAGGTAAGCGTGTAATACGTATTCTTATTTACCCTTCTATCCTGTAATAAAGCCCTCTAGCCGTGGATGTAGTAACAGCTAACCAAGAGGCTGCGCCCGCGGATCTAAAAGCCAGTAGACCACCACAGACGGGGCCTGATAAGGCTGATGTTTAGCCGGGGTTCCGAGGCAAGCGTAATGAGGCACCGCTGCCTTGGCCTAGAGCAGGTGAAGGAACAGGGGAGGTTTTTAGTCAGGAAAAAACCCCTAAAGATGCATTTGACATACCTGAACCTGTTTAATTGCGGTCTCCAACCCACTTGCCATCTAAATAAGGAGGTTCAAGGTCCAGCAGAAAGGTCACAGAATGATAATAATTCCTCACACAAATCATCCGATATTTTACTTTAACCGTTTTAACTATTTACTTTAACTATTTACTTTAACCATTTACGATTACCCGAGCGTACGGCGCGTAGCGTTCCGCGCGTTCCTCAAAGAGCCAAGCCAATAGACCACCACAGACGGGGCCCTATAGGGCTGATGTTCAGCCGGGGTTGCGAGGTAAGCGCAATGAGGCACCGCGACCTCGGCCCAGAGCAGGAGAAGGAACAGGGGGGTTTTTAGTAAGTAAGAGTCTGAAACTCCCTTCCGCCCGGCCCTGGGCGGGAGAAGTCATTTGATGATTTTTCCCCTCACAAAAAAAAAATCATTTACGATTGGACCAAAATAATCTATTTTTGTACAGTCACTTAGGCTGTATTATTTCAAGGTCAAATACGTGAGAGACGTATTTAACACCATTTGGAATATAAATCACACATATTATGTAAAGGACATACGTTTTTATATAACGTTTTATATGATAGCGAGGTTATGTAAACTGGATTTACTATTTGCTTCGATTTTAAGGTACCTATCGAAGAATTTGATGTTGCGGTTGTATTGACGGAAAATATTGAATAGGATAGTTTTTTTTATAATCAAACTAGCGACCCGCCACTGCTTACCACGGGTGCAATGTTGATACTGATAATTGATAGTTGTCTCCACTATTGAATGAGTTATCACATCTTACAATCTTACATCTAAAACATGCTCTTCAATCGCGCTATGTATTAAAAAACCGTATCAAAATTTGTTACGTAGTTTTAAACATTTAAGCATACATATAGGGAGAGAGAAAACGACTTTGTTTTATACTATGTATGTAGTGATTGTCGATATTCGGCCACTATCTTAACTGGGGGTAATCAATAGTACTGCTAACCATACTGCGCCCCTGACTCATTTCATTATAATCATTAGCCTATAAGTGCCTACTGCTGAGCAAAGGTTTATTGTCATCCGAAGCAGTAAGCATTGATCATCTTTTCTTGCTTTAGATGGATAGCCAATAATCGACTTTCAAGCTGAAATTATAAGTCCAGGTATCCCTATCCCATAATAGCACAAATATACAAATCTTTACAAATCTGAAGACTTTACTTAAAGCATGCAGATAATTATATTATCTATGCATCACCCTAAGATGTGACTGGTAGAGAATGGCCACGTCATTATCATAATCGCACGAGAGTAGCTAGTTAATTAATAAATTGCAATTATTAACGACTCTATTTACGAGTACCAGTAGTTTCAAATTATCAAAAACCACTTATTAAAAAAAATGAGGAAATCAGTACGCAGTCTTAACTTTGGATTGGAGTTAGTATTAGTAAAGCCTATTGTATATTAGTAGGTTAGTCACGAAGCAATTTGTTAGTCATTTTATTTAGTGTTCCATTGAAAACAGCATTACATATTCAGGCAATCTTTATTTACTGTAACATCAGTCAATTTTGAGCTCTATCTCGTTTGGAATAAGACTTCTCAGTTCTGCAGCTTTTATTGGCCATTATCCGCATGGCGCTAGTGTAGCATTTGGCGTTAAAACTTGCAGACGGCTTAAAATGTTATTTATTTTAAGGATGTAAAACTCAAAATTGACTGGTCATGCTGTAAAATGGTTAATAATGTTATTGGTTAGTTCTTTGCAACAATTAACTTAATCAGTTAGTTACAGTAGTCAGTTAATTTAACCAACAAACGTAACTCACCGGAGATCGTCTAGAAAGTCGTTCACGGCTGTTATCATTTTTGATGTTTCTGCTGTAAAAAAGAGATGGATATATGTTTACTACTTTCTACTTCTACGAATACAACAACAATTATACTAGATTCTACAAGTGCATGCTTCTTAAATATGGCCAGCTTATACCCCCCGACTTCGTCCACTTTAAAATTGATTATCGCTATCGCGAGAAAACACTATAGATGTCCTTCGTGATAATACAATTTTATTATTCTAAAATATAAATGGCCCAAGTTAATCCTTATTACACCAGCTATCTACCAATAAAGGTCCCGGATTAACTACCACATTAGTCAAACAGGAAAAACAGCAATCCCCTATAAAGCTATAAATATATTAAATAAATAAAAATGATTGTAATTGTATAAATATAATTTCACGCAAAAAGGTCGGTAGGCAAGAATTAATTTTTTTTTAAGAGGTAGGACGGCTAACAATCCGCCGATTACCTGATGGTAAGCAATCCGCGGACGTCCGCTTTGTCGACCTTTTGGATATTAGTTAGGGTTGAGTTCAGAATTGGGCCTCGGTAACCTCACTCACACGGCAAAACAAAACGCTGTTTTTGTTTTAAAACGGTTTTCTGTAAGGCCTTGGTATCATGCCGGAGAAGCCGGCCTATTCGTGCCGAAGCATGGCTCTCTCACATTTAAATGAACAAAGTTAACAACTCATTCGTATCTATACTACAATATTATAAAGAGGTAATTGTATGTATGTATGTATGTAAGGGGTAATATTTGGGACCGCTGGTAGGCTTTCGAAAATTCTTTCACTGATAGATACCTACAATATTCTGAAGTGCTTTAGGCTACAAAACATGACTCTAGCAATGGGTGAAACCGCGCGGCAGTAGCGAGTATAAAAAAAAAGATACAAAATAACACAACCAACTAAACAGTTACCAGATATGCGCATTACGAAACGCCAATTCACGTCTAGACGTGCACTTAATGACGTCATAGATAGTGTGACGTCACAATGCGTCTACCTTGTACCCTAGAAAAACAAGCCCTAGTTTTGCAGACTAGACTGGCGCCAGATTTTGCAAAACAAATACTAACAGTTTTGATAATAAGACTTGTCATAAGGCTAGTTTGAATAGCAAACCGTCTCGGCTTCTATGCACACTACTAAATTTCTCCACCATTTAATGAATGTTATTAAATACATATAAATGTTCCTCTTCAATCACTCTTTCTACTAAAAAAATCTCACCAAAACCCGTTGCTTAGTTTCAAAGATTTAGGCAACTTAAGATATTGGGACAAAGAAAGCGACTTTGTTTTTACAATGACAAATCGCATGTTAAATAGAAAACAGGAATTACTTATAAAAGAGGGTATTTAAAAACAACATAAAATCTAATTAGATCCCCAGTTAGGTGGCAAAAAAAATATATGACACTATATTTTTTTTCTTTTGATAATGCCATTGGTACCTAAATGGAAATATTCTTTTTATGTTTCTCTGTATACACGCGTTACACTGTTCTTACATATTCAAACTAACTAAATAATGTATCAAAGAATGTTTATGTGACACTGATTTTAAAAGAGTAACCATGGAGTTTCTTGCTCGTTCTTCACCATCGGAATCTACACTTTGGAACGAGCGAATAGCTTCACTAAGAGGACTGACCACGACAGGGACTGACCGACAGACTGACACTTTGATCTTTAAAGTTGTGTTGACGTTCAAAAGTGCCTGTATGGGTCTAATTGAAATAAATGATTTTGACTTTGACTTTGACTTTGAATAGGACTAAGAGATCAGATACTTTTTTTTGTCAGGGGAAAATCATCCAATGACTTCTCCCGCCTAGGGCCGGGCTGCTAAACCCCCCCCCCGTTCCTTCTCCTGCTCTGGGCCGAGGTCGCGGTGCCTCATTGCGCTTACCCCGAAACCCCGGCCAGAGATCAGATACTTAAGGCTATATCATTCTTGTAGTAATAATTACTTTCCTACAAATTCTTGTTTTACCATTAGATACCTATTATTAGATCTACATATTAACTTCCTAAGGTTTCGTATTCAATCTAACAAAGATAGCCGTTTTAATAATATCAAAGTACATCAACAAGAGAACCTTCATCCCCTCGACAACTTGAAGCCTTACTTGCAACTAATCTGCTTACAATACTACGTATTTAACTAACTACACATTATTAGAAAAATGTATTTAGATTTGTTTGTGCCCGTGGAAACAGCAGCCCATGTAGTGTAGACGTCCAGTCAACAAGGATGTAGCGAGGTTGACTGTCCAGGCGACACACGTACTTAGGTATCGTCATGAGCTAATGTTCACATGTAAACAGCAGCTCATGTAGTGTAGATGTCCAGTCAACAAGGATGTAGCGAGGTTGACTGTCCAGGCGACACACGTACTTAGGTATCGTCATGAGCTAATGTTCACATGTAAACAGCAGCTCATGTAGTGTAGATGTCCAGTCAACAAGGATGTAGCGAGGTTGACTGTCCAGGCGACACACGTACTTAGGTATCGTCATGAGCTAATGTTCACATGTAAACAGCAGCTCATGTAGTGTAGATGTCCAGTCAACAAGGATGTAGCGAGGTTGACTGTCCAGGCGACACACGTACTTAGGTATCGTCATGAGCTAATGTTCACATGTAAACAGCAGCTCATGTAGTGTAGATGTCCAGTCAACAAGGATGTAGCGAGGTTGACTGTCCAGGCGACACACGTACTTAGGTATCGTCATGAGCTAATGTTCACATGTAAACAGCAGCTCATGTAGTGTAGATGTCCAGTCAACAAGGATGTAGCGAGGTTGACTGTCCAGGCGACACACGTACTTAGGTATCGTCATGAGCTAATGTTCACATGTAAACAGCAGCTCATGTAGTGTAGATGTCCAGTCAACAAGGATGTAGCGAGGTTGACTGTCCAGGCGACACACGTCACCCTACGCATCATCGTCTTCTAGTTCAGAGCGGAATCGGATGTCCAGTCATTTTTCTATACAATGTTTAATCAACAAAATTTTCTTAACTAATGTTTAAAGTATACAATAATTGTCCATTGTTCCGTTCATTAAAACTATGACGATATAATGAATCAAATTGTTGGAGTGTTTCAAAACTGTGTCATCAAATACAGACAGAACTATACATGGTTGACGCATTGTCTGGGCTTCAGTTTGATACGCAACGTATCGCGGTTCCGAATTCCGCAAGGAGTTTGTGTATCCCATAAATTGTTGTTCCAGGTCCTCATGTGATGTGTTTTGTATGTTTGTAGCTGCATACCGGATATATCCATGGGTTTTTAATGACATACGAGCAGTCGGATTACCTGATGGTAAGTATGGTAATCGGCGCCGCCTATTACTACAATTGCATGGCTGGTTCTTTGTGGGTTATCAGGGATTTCAGGGTAGGGGATTTGTGGATTGAGAATGGGGGAAAGGATTGGGCCTCCATTAACCTCACTCACACGGCGAAACACAACGTAAACGCCGATATCAGCAACTAAAGGAGTTTACCGCCGTTTTTTTTTTTGGAGAGGCACGTCATCAAAAGGCCTGGATAGGGCAAAAGGGAATGTTAGACTTGCGAACCAAAAACCGACCTGTTGGTCTTGCCAAGGATTTTCTCTTAATTAGTAATTTAATTACAACGAGAATCAACTGCTTAGAAATGTGTTGCGGGATCCATTTTTTTATATTTTTCTTTTTTTACTAACTAACTTACTCCTTTATGAAATGCTTCACCAAAAATGGAATGGCAGATGTGTTGTGTGGTTCCTTGAATTCATTTTTATTTTGGAATCTTAACCACAATTTGTGAATGAACAACGGGTTTGAATTGATGACGCATTTCGTCGTCATGGCGGAAAAGGAATCAGGATTCCACGACACAGCCAGATGTGTGTGTCATCCCTTTTTATTTCGTTTTGGATAAAGATTTTATTTGTTTTGCCTTTTTAGGTGTATTTGTGGCTAATGATTCGCTTTTTATACAAAACCGAAGCCAGTTCTAGTGAATAGTTCGTTAATGAGCAAATGTGCTTCATCCCAGACAGCATCTTGACGAAACAAGAGGCAAATAAAAAGGCTGCATATCATCGCACAGACTACGATTACATAAAGCTTAATTGTGTTTTTCAATTTCATTCTCAGTCCTATTTTAATCTGAAGTTAATTCGCCATACCCAATGACCTCCAGATGGGGTTGTTGACACGGACCTGCATCTAGCTATCGCTTACTTCCTTCAGGAAAACAATCTTAGCATACCTTATATACCAACAGACCATCACAGATGTTGTATCTTGTAAGGGCTGAACAAGGCTGATGCTGGAGCAGGAGAAGGAATGGGGTGGATTTAAGTCAGTAATAGTGACAATCCCTTCCCCACACACTCATGGCGAGAGAATTCGTTTTATAATATTCCCCATTCTAAATTTGAATCACCACCTCAGACGATATTTTAGCGAAAATCCCATACTTATACATTTCATATGTATGTATGTATATATCTATATCTAAGATAAACACTTCATACGATAATATAGTGATAACAAAGATAGTATCTCGTGAGAATTTGAGCTCTTACTTGGCCCACTTCAATTGGGAAGAAGATAAAGTGACGTTTTTTTTTCATTTATTTCAATAAAACTATTATAGGCCTTTTTTGTGGAATAGGTCGGCAAACGAGCACGGACTACCTGATGGTAAGCAATCAGCGTCGCCCATGGACACCTATAACACGTAAGGACGTTTACGAGTGCGGCTAGGGATAAGGGGTAAGTTCGGATATTTAAGGATTGGAAAGGGATGGGGGCAGACTGGCAGAGGGGAAGATTGGGCCTCCGGTAACGCTGTGGTTGTTTCACGCCGATTTTTGTTAAGCTGTGGTATCACTTCGGCGGAGCCAAACTTTGGCTCTCCCACACTTATTTAAGCATTTTGAATGTTTTGTGTCAGTCTGTCGGTCAGAGCTCTTATGGAGCTATTAGGTACTCGTTCCAAACGAACAAGAATCTCCATAACA